CATAAGATACGGACAACGAACACAATTGCATTTTATCGATGGCAATTTGAATGCACAGGTACCAAGGCCCATTGCCGTACTATTCATCCGCCGCCATTACCTAATGCATGTTTCAGCAAGATAATGCACATCCACATTTCGCAAGGATCTATAAACAATTCCTGGAAGCTGAAAATGTCCAAGTTCTTCCATGGCCTGCATACTCACCAGATATGTCACCCATTGAGCATGTTTGGGATGCTCTGGATCGGCGCGTACGACAGCGTGTTCCAGGTCCGGCCAATATCCAACAACTTTGCACAGCCATTGAAGAAGAGTGGGACAACTTTCCACAGGCCACAAATCAGTAGCCTGATCAACTCTATTCGAAGGAGATGTGTAGTGCTGCATTTGGCAAATGTTGGGCACACCAGATACTGACTGCTTTTCGGGTCCCCACCCCTACCTTTGTTTTTTTAAGGTATCTGTTTTTTTAAGGTATCTGTGACCAAGATGCATATCTGTATTCCCAGTCATGTGAAATCCATAGATTAGGGCCTAATGAATTTATTTCAATTGACCTGATTTCCTTATAGGAACTGTAACTCAGTAAAATCTTTGAAATTGTTGCATTTATATTTTTGTTCAGTATAAGTTCAATCAATTAATTGACCAACATTTCGATCCCACACCACATGATCATCCCTCACTGTTATGAAACAGGTCACTGCAACCTGGACTCAGGGGTAGACGTAACATACTAAACTTACTAATTGGAGTGTCCAGTAATTATGATACATATGGTATGTATTTGTGGATGTCCATCATCCAATTCGTATGACAAGTTACAATTCGTACGATATGTTACGAATTTGCAAAAGTATGATACACTACCAAAAGTATGTGGACATCTGCTCGTCGAACATCTCATTCTAAAATCATGGGCATTAATATGGAGTTGTTAACCCCTTTGCTGCTATAACAGCCTCCACTCTTCTGGGAAGGCTTTCCACTAGATGTTGGAACATTGCTGCGGGGACTTGCTTCCACTCAGCCACAAGAGCATTAGTGAGGTCGGGCACTGATGTTGGGCGATTATGCCTGGCTCGCAGTTGGCGTTCCAATTCATCCCAAAGGTGTTCGATGGGGTTCAGGTCAGGGCTCTGTGCAAGCCAGTCAAGTTCTTCCACACTGATCGACAAACCATTTCTGTATAGACCTCGTTTTGTGCACTGGGGCATTGTCATGCTGAAACAGGAAAGGGCCTTCCCCAAACTGTTGCCACAAAGTCTAGAATGTCATTGTATGCTGTAGCGTTAAGATTTCCCTTCACTGGAACTAATGGGCTTAGCCCAAACCATGAAAAACAGCCCCAGACCATTATTCCTCCTCCACCAAACTTTACAGTTGGCACTATGCATTGGGGCAGGTAGGGTTCTCCTGGCATCCACCAAACCCAGATTCGTCCATCACCAGATGGTGAAGCGTGATTCATCATGCCAGAGAATGTGTTTCCATTGAGTCCAATGGCGGCAAGCTTTACACCACTCCAGCGATGCTTGGCATTGCGCATGGTGATCTTAGGCTTGTGTGCAGCTGCTCGGCCATGGAAACCCATTTCATGAAGATCCCGATGAACAGTTCTTGTGCTGACATTGCTTCCAGAGGCAGTTTGGAAATCTGTATAGAGTGTTGCAACCGAGGACAGACGATTTTTTACACACTTCAGCACTCGGCGGGCCCATTCTGTGAGCTTGTGTGGCCTACCACTTCGCGGCTGAGCAGTTGCTGCTCCTAGAAGTTTCCAATACATAAGAACAGCACTTACAGTTGACCGGGGCAGCTCTAGCTGGGCAGAAATTTGACAAACTGACTTGTTGGAAAAGTGGCATCCTATGAAGGTGCACAGAGCTCTTCAATAAGGCCATTCTACTGCCAATGTTTGTCTGTCTATGGAGATTGCATGGCTGTGCGCTCAATTTTATACACCTGTCAGCAACGGGTATGGCTGAAATAGCCAAATCCATAAATTTGAAGGGCTGTCCACATACATTTTATATACAAAAGTATGTTACGAATTTGCTAAATGTATGGTATGTTACAAATTCTAATTTGTTGTGGCTAACGCTAACGGTAGCTAACGTTAGCTGGGTTAGAGGTTAAGGTCAGGAGTTAGGTTAACGGGTTGGGGTTAGCTAACATGCTAAGTAGTTGCAAAGTTTCTAAATAGCTAAAATTGTCTGTGATTAGATTCGAACAAGTAACCTTTGGGTTGCTGGATGCTTGCGTTATCTGCCCACCCATTCCCAGTAGCCTTCTGTTTTATGTAACCATACCAAACGTAACATCAGTGTCCAGGATTTACATTTACTATGTTATGTCTAGTCTATGAGACCAGACCAGCATCGTGGAATTAAGATAATTTCATTGCGAAAATGCTTTTGCGAAACCCAGCACAGGCTGGTCACTGCATGGAGAGAACCTGTAACGTTATTGCAAATCTCCCAGCCCTCTCATGCCCAATTATTCTCAGGTGTGTACAAAAAACAGGTGTACAAAAAACATAATAGCCTCTAGTAAAGTTTCATTACACACAACAGGATAAATAAAGCAGGGTGATTTTCACACTCACCAGGTTCCGAAGAGACGGTTCATCCAATGTTGAGTATCTTTCAGCAGACATTTTCAGTTTTTAGGATACAATGACAGGTGAAATGTAAAAAGTTCAAACTCAAAGGAAGAAAAAGACGGCTTTTGTTTTGGAAACGTCCGTCAAACGAATAAAGCAGACCAGCAGGATACAAATGCTGGCAACAAATGTGTCCCAAAAGACCCAAGTCCCCTTTTCACGTGTTGGAATTGATGCTCCACCTGCTCTTATATTTACGGTTTCTTCCAAGCAACTTCACATAGAACTTGTGTCTGATCACAATGCGAATTCCTGCCTCAAAATAAATGTTGGATTACGTTTATAAGAAACGATTGGAGTGCCCTAGAGTTGGAAAACATATTTTACAAAACTCTGCCTTTCACTTTTCTCTCCTAAAACCTTTAGAACACGAGAACCGGAGTTTGAAACGGATAGCGCGAGCTTTGAATCCAGAACTTCCACTAATGTGAGGTCTGTCCCGCCCATTCAAACTCCTCGACCAATTGAATAACAGAAATTCAAAACTGAGACACTTTGTGGATGGATTGTTACAGTCAAGAAGTAATTAATTATTTTTGCGAAAATCATGATTATGTAAAAGGTAAAAAAAAAAAAAAAAAAAGAAGTAGAGGACATACCTACTCTTTGGACATGCAATAGTATTATGTTGCCCTTAACTTTTTCCCAATCTCGGTCCAGGGGGGTCCCCCAGGACCGAGATTGGGAAACCCAGCTATAGGATGTGAACCTCATGCATAGACAGACATTAATATGCTGAATTGTGGATTCAAAGGCAGTGGCACAAATAGCTGAGTAGAGTGCGCCCACCAGTGAACAATATGAGAACTACCTGAAGGCAATGGCCGATGGCCACCCCTATAGAGGCTACAGTGCCTTCAGAAAGTATTCATACCCCTTGATTTATTCCACAGTTTGTTGCGTTACAGCCGGAATTCTAAATTGATTCAATCAATTTTTTTTATTCACCCATCTACACACGAAACCCCATAATGACAAAGTGAAAACATGTTTGTAGAAATGTTTGCAAATTTTTTGAAAATGAAATACAGAAATATCTCATTTACATAAGTTTTCAGTCAATACATGTTAGAATCCCCTTTGGTAGTGATTACAGCTGTAAGTCGCTCTAAGAGCTTTGCACACCTGGATTGTACAATATTGCACATTATTATTTTTAGAATTCTTCAAGCTCTGTCAAGTTGGTTGTGGATCATTGCTAGACAGCCATTTTCAAGTCTTGCCATACATTTAAAGCCGATTTAAGTCAAACCTGTGTTGGGGTAAAGAGATGAGGTTGTCATTAAAAAATTATTTTTAAAACTATTATCGCACACAGTCCATACAATTTATGTGACAAGCACATTTAATTTTTTAATCTATAAAACAGAAATCCCACTTTGACATTATGGGGTATTGTGTGTAGGCCAGTGACACAAAATCTAAATTTAATCAATTGTATATTCAGGCTGTAACACAAAATTTGATTTTTATTTTGTATGAATGAATTCTGATGATGTTCAGCCTATTGTGTGAGGGGTACAGCCAACACTGAACTGGAGGAGGCCAATCAGTCTGCAAACCAGACCGACATCAAATAGAGTACCATTGACAAAGTACTCATTTTGAATCTCTGCAAAGCTCACTCCGGTCAAACTGCATATGTGATATGTGCAGTTTTTACATGCGGAGGGTTCAAAGCATTATAGCCAATTATGATTATAGGAAAATAGCCATGTGATTAATACTTAGTATTGAGGACACTCTTTTACATTAACAGTCATCCACAAGCACCAAAACGTCGATACTAAGATTTATTAAAAGTATGAAGATAATATCACAAAGCATACAAAAAACAAACAGTTCGATAGGTGCAGCCCTAAATACAAATAATGCTTTGATACTGTATTTATTTGTCATTGATTTTGGATTATTCAGTGAAGAGTACAATTACTTTGTGGAGCTTTAAGATTTCTTACATACCGGTATACATTTTTACATAGGTTTTTCAAGAGTATATTAAGGCAGTTTTTCTAAATTCTATACAATTTATATTAAAAGTTTAAAACGTAAAAGATTACAAAAAGCTGAACGTTATATTACAAACTATTGTAATCACTAAAAGATTTCAGTTTGACTGTTTAGACTTTAAAAGGAAGAGCGACTGAAACATACAGAGACACACACACAGGCAATAAAGAGACTCTGGTCGTGTTCCAGGCGGACTACATTGCATCAACCACTGGTTTCGCGCCACGTCTTCTGTTGCGCAATCTGGCACCAGATTGCTATACAATTTGTGGTTTGCTGATAAGTTAAACACCTACCCAAGTGTGGTGAGATCTGGCAGGCGTCTGCAATGTAGTCAGCCAGGAACGCCACCACTGTTAGAGCGACAGTCTAGAGCACACACAAAAAGCATTTGGTGATTGCCTGCAGCTCTGTCCATCGACAGTCTTGCCCTCACTCCCCTTCCTGTTCTTTGTTTTGCTTCTTAGGCACCTAGAAATGAATGTTGTTACAGAAAAACATTAAACTATAAACAAATAATTATGGCCACCATAGAGGCTCTAAAGAAATAAGGATTGTTTGTTAACCTTTGATGGCCCTGCATTCCTTGGTCCCTTATTCCTTGGTCCCTCATTTTCTATTAGGGGTGGTCTGTCAGATGGATACAACATATTTCGTTACATTTGTTAGCCTTATCATTATATTATACAAAAGAAAACACATTCAACCCTAGTTCTGTAACACAAAACGTAATCCAAATATGAGGTACCCAAACAATTTTCAAATGAAGTTGTACCAAAACATATTAAACAAATGTTAAAATTACATTATTACAGCAAGTGTCATTGTTCTTACCCCACACCTGCTGCAGAGTTGGATTTGTGGCCTCCCTCTGCCTCACTGCCATGCTGGGGCCTGTTCTTCACCTGAGGATCACAGTTTGAGATCTTCCCTGGAATGGGTAGCCCACTGCGGACTCTCTGCCATTCATTTGGGCTTCGCACCTGGGGCAGCCCTCTGTCCAGCCCATCCAAGGGGTCCGCTTTAGACACAAGCGTGCACACACAAAATTAGTCTCTGAATTTGATGTAAATAATTATACATAGGTGGATAGATGGAACCCAAGCAACATTGACTTTGTTTTCAAGAAATCAGTGTTCAAAATTATTATGCATTGGTGAATGTGGGGTTCAGTGTCTTACATTGGTGCTTGAGTCTCCTCTGCACCTCAGGGGAGCTCCGTCCATGGCTCTCTTTGAGAGGAAGAGATGGTTTTTGAAAGGACACTTTGTTGACCTTATCCACTGAGGGAGCAGTGCGAGGTCGGAGGTCACATTTATCCTGTAAACAAAGTGTCAAGCTCTACTTGATTACTAGGTAATTACTATGGAACAGCATGTTAGTGCAATGAAAATACTGGATTAATTACAATGTTAATACACAGGAATGGTAGCAAAGTGTTATCAGATTTTTTCTACCCCTGTCGAAACATTGGTAATGTGACAGGACTATTTGACCTTACTGGCATACACTATTTGAACATGATCTACATTATACAGTACCATCTCTTGCACTGTAAATAATGTACCTGGTGGTGAAAGACAACGGTCTCCTCCAGGGCCACTCCACAGAACTCACAGGGAATGACCACGTCTCTCTGTAGTGGACTGGCAGGTGGACTGCAGGAGAGCGGGGAGACTGAACGGGGGAAGGAGGGGAAGCTAGGGTTGTCAGGTGGGATGTGCAGAAGACCACCAGCACCCCTAGCAATCCTGTCATCATAGCATGGAGATGGAGGTCGCTTGCTGAAAGATGCAAAGGCTGAGGCTGGACTACAACCAGTCTGAAAGACAACAAAGACAGGTGTGAGGATTTTTTTTTATTTCTGCTAAACAGATAGGTCGTGGCTAGCTACCCTCAGGTGATTACCAAATGAAACACACTATCGATCAGCCCTGAGATGGAAAATTGCTAACAGTTCTAACAGTCACAGATTGTGGCATTCCTCAGTAACTATTTACGTTACATAATTATGTTCTTAAAGGAGGTGGGGGGATACCAAGTGCAAGACACAAAATGGACAGTGAACAATAATGAACTGTTTTTGTGTTGTGTTGTTTCTGTATGTCAGTTTGTTTTGGATAGATTTTTTGCCTTCGTGCTTTGTTTGTGGATCCCTCTGTGATAATTTGTGTGTGTGTGTGTGTGTGTGTGTGTGTGTTGGGGTGTAGGTGTTGGGAGGGAGGGAGATGTATATTGATTTGACAGCTCTGTAGAAAAACAAAAAGACAAATTGTCAAAAAAAAGAATTAACTGTATTCAGGAGGGGCATCTAGGAAACTAGTCCAGAGGGAGTGAACGAGAGCAACGAAACATGCACTCACAGTAAGGAAATAAGGGGCACGAGAGGGCCTGAGTTTATAACTAACTGCTGCAACATATAAAGGAAATGGATTCCCTGGCCGGCTCAGGCTCAGCTTCCATGGCATTAGCGTGACTTGTAGGCTAAGCAGCATAAGATCCTTCTAACCTGGTGTAAAATAAGGTCCTCTCCAGGAAACAGCTCCTCACAGAACTCACAGGGCAACATGGTGTCTACATTGGAGAAAAAGAGCAGAGAAATAATGGGTACAGTAAGAAACATATGATTTTATTCTGAACATATTTTTAATCATCACAGGGTTGAAGAATGTCAAAATTTAAAAAGTAAAAAGGAGAGGAGGGCAGCATACTGTAACAATATCAATCTCACATGAAAACCAACTAGGACAATAACTGGTATTTTAGTACAGTATCTGACCTGTCTGGTCATGTTCTGGTGCTGTATTGGTGCCAGTGGTGATATGCTGGTAGTAGTTGTTAGGGGGAGAGATGGGAGAGCCGCTGTTGGACATCCTTCCAAATTTGTGGTCCCAGACATCTGTCCACAATGCCCCCTCTCCTCCCCCTGTGTCTCCATCACTCTGCAGGCTGAGGGCCAGTAGGTAGTCCAGGCTGGCAGAGTCTTCTCCCAGTGATGCCAATGAAGCCATGCTGTTATTGTTGTTGCCCTGCACTGCGGCTTCCTGTTCCAGCACTGGGGGACAACACATGAGATATTTTTACAATCACACAAAAAAGTTATTCCAGTGAAACAGTTTTCCACTTTAATATGGGCCAGGGCGTTTTATCAATACCAGACTAAGTTGAAGTAAATGGTTTTCGCATAATGTTAAAACTTGAACACTTTGCATGAGCCATTGGCGGACTTACAGTGGCTGAAGTCTGTATTCCTAGGGGCAATGTTCCCCCTTCCTCCCAGGCCCACTTGCCCCCGGGTGCTGTTGTGCACTCTGGCCTCCAGTGGCCGTGGTAGGGCCCTGCGGTCAGACGCACTGGCGTTGTTGTTCTTGTGGCCTCCTCCCTCCTGGGCCCTCAGCAAGTTACGGATGGAGTGAGATTCAAACCATGCTCCTGGAGACTGGGTCTCCGCTAGGCTGTGACTTGCCCGGCTGTTGTTCCTCTCTTGAGGAGGTGTGAGGCTACCACACAAGGCTGGGTGGACAGCTTGATCCCTCAACATTACATTGCACTTGCAGAATGGACAAGGCTCTGTGCGCGTCCCACAATAATCCTCATGCTCCTTAGACTGACTGAAAACCAGCTCCAGTTCACAGTACTGACACGGCACCATCCGCTGATTACACTCAGAGCTCTGGAAAAGAGAGGTCAGATGAAAAGGCACAGTCTCAGTTACCATGAAATACATTATCTGTGGCCATCACAAGTCGGGAAGGTGAGAAGATCTCCATCCTAATACAAGTTGTACATACCTGGTGGGATTCCATTAGGCTTTTCTCAACCTTTAAACCACACTTACATTTCACCTGAAATTAAAATAAAATGTTTGTGAAGCCTCCTGTGTAACAATTGTACAGCAACTTTGGGATGATGTTCACTCAAGTTTCTAGTTCACCCACTTCCCAACTCCCGCCCTCTCCATCTTTAGCACCGTACCTGCATGTGCTCCTGTTCCTTGTGCTGCTGCAGATCTGAACGGGGCACTGGCTCTTGGCACACATCACACAGAGCAATATTCCGGCGACAGTGAATCTCATGAGTAGTGAAATTAGCCTCTGGAATGTCATGCTGACTAGAGAGTGGGAGAGAGAGCGAGAGAGATGAAAAAGAGCAAGAAAGACAGCAAGTCAGACAGAATGTGTATCTAACATTGTCCCTACTTCTCAACTTGCCTGAATCTTGATACACTACATGACCAAAAGTATGTGGACACCTGCTCGTCAAACATTTCATTCCAAAATCATGGGCATTAATATAGAGTTGGTCCCCCCTTTGCTGGTATAACAGCCTCCACTCTTCTGGAAAGGGTTTCCACTAGACGTTGGAAAATTGCTGCGGGGACTTGCTTCCATTCAGCCACAAGAGCATTAGTGAGGTTGGGCACCGATGTTCGGCAATTAGGCCTGGCTTGCAGTCGGCGGTCCAATTCATCCCAAAGGTGTTCGATGTGCTGACGTTGCTTCCAGAGGCAGTTTGGAACTCGGTAGAGTGTTGCAACCGAGGACAGACAATTTTTAAGCGCTATGCAATTCAGCAGTCCCGTTCTGTGAGCTTGTGTGGCCTCCCACTTCGTGTCTGAGCTGTTGTTGCTCCTAGAAGTTTCCACTACACAATAACAGCACAGTTGACCGGGGCAGCTCTAGCAGGGCAGAAATTTGACGAACTGACTTGTTGGAAAGGTGGCATCCTATGACGGCGCCACGTTGAAAGTCACTGAGCTCTTCAGAAACGCCATTCTACTGCCAATGTTTGTCTATGGAGATTGCATGGCGGTGTGCTCGATTTTATACACCTGTCAGCAACGGGTGTGGCTGAAATAGCCGAATCCACTAGGGGTGTCCACATACTTTTGTATATAACGTGTACTTACCAATTGGCACAGAACTGTGTGCTTTCATCTGCCATGGCTTGCAGGGACATAAAAAGGGAGAGAGATAAAGAGGATACAATTGCCAAGTGACATTTGAAACTGGGGTGGCAATAACCAATCCACTGAAGAAATCTAGTTTGTTAGTTACCGATATAACGTTAACAACCCACATTATTGCTAGTTAGTTATCCCAGTATGTGCCCAAAGTAAAGAACCATATCGTTAACGTTAGATAATTAACACACAAGCTAGCTGGAAAACGTTCCCATTTTGTATTGTCATTTGGCTGACAATGACCAAGCAAATTTGCAACGTAGCTAGCTATTGTTTCAGTTCAATGCCGGTAGTTTAGATTTAGCCACTTGTACCTTTATCTATAAAATGAGAAAGTTACATACCTGCTGTGCTGTGACTTCGGTCCCTTGTAAGTTTACTTGGCTTCTTTCTAGGTAGCTAGGCGCTAGTTAGCTAGTAGCTAGCTAGCTAAATGAGGCTTTAAATCGCTGTTTTCAATAGCTAATGTCAGAATAAAACTTCCATAGCGACAAGAAAGCCCTTCTGCTGCTTACTTTGTTTTAGTTTAACCCTAGCTAGCTTGCTGCCTTCCAAGCTCGTTTATGCAAGCCATGTTAGCTTGTCAGCAAGCGTTTCCTGAAAGTAGCTAGCGACACACAAGTATCTAGTATGACTCGCTAATCGAAATACTGTTGACCAATGAGACCACCCAAAACGGTCAACAAACACTTCGACAAAATGAATAGTATTTCTGAATGTTGTCTTCGGATAATAACATTTCATTGACAGAATGTTGATAGAAATAACCAATAGCCTAGGACATATTGATGGGAGTGATTGTTAAAAGTAGATGTGATCTTATGCCAGGCAGAGCAAAAGCAGTGAAATGGTCAAGATGGGTTATTATCAAGAAAGATTTCACTTAGTTCCACACTTCTTTTTGACCACTTGAGCTATAAATTAAATGTCTCAACTCTCATACCCATTTCAAATCATTTCAATACAAACAGAATCTCCACAAAGTCATTTTAATGTTTATTAAGCTATTCTGCTGTGAATACTGTAAATTCAGACAATATTTTCTAAAGGCACAGTTTTGTTAAGATAATGTGCTGTAAATTACCCTATTTACAGCAGAGTATTGGACTCACAGTTGTAACATAAATCACATTGGCCACAAATTACCTCCAAAATATATAAAAAGTCATACCCTTTTTAAAATTCCTTAACCAAAGTTAGTTAATTTAACAGCAATATCAAAAAATAAGATTAAATGTAACTCCAAATCTATGGCTTTACAAACTGTTTTCATTGGATATCTGGGAGAAAAAAAGGTAGACCCAAAAAATGTAATGTGTAAATAAAAAGTAGCCATCTTTTTCCAACAAAAAAAAACTACACTTAATATATTCCAGAAACATACAGTGTGTGTATTGTCTTATTCCCAACATCGCATTGCCTATGGGGAATGTAACACCACATTCAAAATCAATGTTGAATGTAATAAAACCTATAAGTACACATACTGGCAGTATATCAGGTAACTTTATCCAGACAGATCAAACATAAGCACATATTAGGAAAGATTATGAATATTACAAACATGCTGGAGATTTGTAAAGACACACCAATCTCACACTTGCTTAATACCATGTGTTGGCTAGTAGATCATACTTTTACAAGGATGTATTTTCCAACCAGGGGGCCAAATGAGAGATAAGCTGTGTAAAAACGTATTTACATTGGCCGAAATTGTCTGAAATTAGTTAGAGATTCTCCAGTACTTTTCTATACTTTTTATCCAGTAGTTCTGAAAGTAGCACTAACGAGCCAAAAGTGGTCCCCCAAAATGACATACTTGACGTAGTATGCACAACACGTCATTGCTCCCTCTCACTTTGCTGTGTGTGCATGATGTGCCTCTTGCTAGCTATCACTCATATGGCAAAGGGCTGAAGCTCATTGGTTGAACTCAAATTGCTAGGGGGCTGGCCCACTTGGGGGAAAATAGCACAGCACTGATTCCAGAAAAGTCGTTTTCAAACTAGGGATTTCGTGGCTAATTGAGGTAATTCTGCTCATAGATTATGCATGTATGAACTACACATTAACACATCCTGCCCAAAGTGGGAGGTTTAAAAAAAATACTTAGTAGTCGCCAAAGTTCCGGAGCATGTCTAAGGTATCAAATGGAGTAGCACATAGACCTTTACACTCAGTCCAAATCAGGAAGAGGGTAAATACTAATAGCTTTTTTCTTTATAAATAACATTCAATTTGTGGCAAGGAATTTGGATGGAATGGGATCAAAATTGAATGTGTCAAGGTGGCACAACAAACAGCCCTGCTGCTTTAGCACTGTGCCTGGATTGAACACAATGACAAGGGTGAGTTAACATGTCACACACTCAGATAAGACAAATAACACAAAACATGTTTAAACATGAAAAAAATGACAAATATCACATACACTCACCCGTGTCATGTATTGGTGCGAGCACTATTGCTAATATTGCATTTTGCATGCTTGAGTAAAGGTATGTTTAATAAACAATAAAACAAGGATTGACTTGATAAACAATAAAACAAGGATTGACTTGATACTGATATTACAATTAAATACCAGCATGAAGGACAAAGGCATCCAAGGAATTTGACATAGTAAAAACATAACTGAGGCACATGTGCTATTTGAGTGAAATGAGAATGAGTAAGATCAAAATATTCACATTATACTATATTTCATTTTTCAAAATGTCCTCTCTGATACTTTGATCGCGTTCTCTTAAAATACCGTATAACACCTAAAAGTCAGGTCGAGCATAGAAATATGATCACTGATTGTTTATGAACTATGGAAGATTCACAAGTATATCAAAAGTGTCACTGCAAATATTTATTGATCAATATCCCCTGTCTTTTGCAACTTTGTTCACCTTAATCTAAAATACAAAAACGTTTCAGATACAAGATCCCAAAAAACAGTATTTAAGTACATTGACTAAAACCCCAACTGAAAATGTGATTGTTAAAGTTTTTAAAATGTGCTTGTAAAACTGTTTAGGGTATTAATATACTATAAACTGACCCAAATATTATAGGAAAGAATTGCTGGTTTCCATTTCAACTCCTAAAACATATTGGTCCACAGTACAGGTCAGTAGGTCCCAATTATAAAAATACCTTTAATATACTACACCCTGGTATCTTACCTTAAAGACTAGAGTGACCTTTAACAAAACAAGCTCTGAAACAATGTCAGACAACTAGAGGGAGAGAGCAAAAAAACCTAGAATAGAAAATATACAGGTAATGAATGTAGGGAGAAAGAGGGGGAATAAAAATGCACAAAGTGAAAAAGTTACAGAAAGCCAGAAAGGCGAGAGCGAGAGAGGAAGGCGTTTATCTGTCCTTGGAGCCCAGTTTCTCAATGAGGTCCTGCAGGGGGGCCAGCTCACGCCGATCAATGAGGTTGAACTCCTACACAGACACACACGGTAAAATACCACACAAGCTATATGTGATCGAACATCATTTTTACCTGCTATGCTATATTTACACAGGATAGTAACAAGTACGCCTGTTAACCATGAATTATAATTGCACAATGCATCAATGGGAATATAATACTATTTACTACATCCATGGAAGCATGATTTATGACAAGAACCCCTCTGACAGAATCATGACAATCATTTCTAACCAGCAATAAAGAGAACATTTGATATTTGGAATGTATTAGTATTGGCACCTGGACAAAGAAGATGAAGTGTTTGAAGGAGGTGTTTAGGTGGGCCTCCTCCTGCAGCTGCATCACAGAGTCAAAATGCTGGTGGTAGATGTGGGCATAGACTCTGAACAGGCGCTTCAGAATAGTCTTGGCCACAGACATGAAGTTCTTGGGAAAGGGCACTCCTAAGGGAGACAGAGCGGGAGTTCTATTGTCAAAAAGCCGAAGGTCTTGGCGAAAGTTGTGAAGGTTTCGAATTCATACGAACTGATTTTTCAACTAACCTATCTTGGAGGGGAAGAGTGTCTCATCATCCAGCTGATCCTGCACCCAGGTCATCAGGTAGTCTATGTACTTAGGAGCAGAGCACTTGATGGGCTTTTTGATGTTGGTGCCATCAGCCCAGTGGTATTCATACCTTGAGGGAGGTAGAGACGGACCAATAGCGAGATTATTATTATTTTTTTGTCATTTAGCAGACGCTCTTATCCAGAGCGACTTACAGTTAGTGAGTGCATTATATTTTTTTTCATACTGGCCACCTGTGGGAATCGAACCCACAACCCTGGCGTTGCAAAACTGAGCTACACGGGACTACAGATGGAATGAGAATTTTAATAACATGAAATTCTGGCTTCCTCTGAATGTTTTTGGCACAATTCAACATCAGTGTTTGTTGGACAGTCATATGGCTAGAAGAGGACATCTTCCTAACAAGACCCAGTTTGGGGTATAAAAGGTTGTCCTATTAAGACACAGCATTTTACCAGTGCACAAATTTAATTTCTGTTCTTCTTAGAAGACGACATTTACCATAAATGATTAGTACAGAGTATACTAGAGTAAGATTCAGGAGCTGGAAAAGAGCAGAAGAGACTAGAGGTAAAACACTACAGTGACCTTGATTATGGCCATGTTGGCAGGAAGTCGGCTCGGGTATTTTCCTCCCGATTAGAGACCGAAAATAGAGCAAGAAGAAGGAACTCTGAGGAAGTGCCAAAACTACACTGAACAGAAATATAAAATGCAACATGTAAAGTGCTGGTCCCATGTTTCAAATGTCCATACGCACAAAACGCGTATAAATGTTGCGTACAAATTGGTTTACATCCCTGATAGTGAGCATTTCTCCTTTGCCAAGATAATCCACCTGACAGGTGTGGCATATCAAGAAGCTGATTTAACAGCATGATCATTACACAGGTGCACCTTGTGTGGGGCCAATAAAAGGCCACTAAAATGTGCAGTTTTGTCAGACAACACAATGCCACAGATGTCTCAAGTTGAGGGAGCGTGCAATTGGCATGCTGACTGCAGGAATGCCCACCAGAGCTGTTAACAGAGAAATGAATGATCATTTCTCTACCATAAGCCGCCTCCAACGTTGTTTTCAAGAATTTGGCAGTACGTCCAAACAGCCGCAGACCACGTGTAACCATGCCAGCCCAGGACCACCACATCCGGCTTCTTCACCTGCGTGATCGTCTGAGACCAGCCACCTGAACAACTGATGAAACTGTGGGTTTGCACAATCCAATAATTTCTGCACAAACTGTCAGAAACAGTCTCAGGGAAGCTCATCTGCGTGCTCGTCATCCTCACCAGGGTCTAGACCTGACTGCAGTTCGGTGTCATAAGACTTCAGTAGGCAAATGCTCACCTTCGATGGCCACTGGCACGCTGGAGAAGTGTCCTCTTCATGGATGAATCCCGGTTTCAACTGTACTGGGCAGATGGCCTCGTATGGGCGAGCGGTTTGCTAATGTCAACGTTGTGAACAGATAGCCCCATGGTGGTGGTGGGGTTATGGTATGGGCAGGCATAAGTTACGGACAACGAACACAATTGCATTTTAAATCGATGGCAACTTGAATGCACGTGACAAGATCCTGAGGCCCATTGTTGTGCCATTCATCCACCGCCATCATCTCATGTTTCAGCATGATAATGCACGGCCACATGTTGCAAGGATCTATCTGTACACAATTCCTGAAAGCTGAAAATGTCCCAGTTCTTCCATGGCCTGCATATCTCACCAGACATGTCACCCATTGAGCATGTTTGGGATGCTCTGGATCGACGTGTACGACAGCGTGTTCCAGGTCCAGCCAATATCCAGCAACTTCACACAGCCATTGAAGAGGAGTGGGACAACATTACACAGGCCACAACCAACGGCCTGATCAACTCTATGCGAAGGAGAAGCTGCATGAGGCAAATGGTGGTCACACCAGATACTGACTGGTTTTCTGATCCATGCCCCTACCTTAAAAAAATATATATAGTATCAGTGACCAACACATGCATATCTGTATTCCCAGTGATGTGAAATCCATAGATTAGGGCCTAATGAATTTATTTCAATTGACTGATTTCCTTATATGAACTGTAACTCAATAATATCTTTGAAATTGTTGCGTTTATATTTCAAGTGGTTTCAGCTGACACAAGAATCAGAATTCACAAAGTGTCTCTGAGAAGGACTGCTGAACTAGGATCCGTTTTCCCTTTTAAATCATAATGAATAAGATTACATAAATCAGATCAGCACTCTTGTGAGACGCTTTGTGAATATGGGCTCAGAGAAAACTCCAGAAATGATTTGTTCTGTACTGCATTGACATTGTAAAAACATGAAGTGAAACTAACACACTGAACCAAAGTTTAAAATTAGGTAGCAAAATAAAGCATTTCTGTGTGTGCGTGTGGGAAGTCAGGCCTGGGCTGACCATAGCAGTGGCATGTGAATAACTACCATATTCAAGTTTAAAAGCGGAACTGACAGCGTTTTAGCAACATTAAATCTTATTATTATAATATACACCCCCAGGAAGGATATTCATTTTTTTTACATTTTCTGACAAGCAAGCACTTAAATATGGTCATTTTCAAGTTTTCAATGATTCATAGAATATTTGGAAATGACGTAGAGGAAGGCATTAGTGAAAACTCTATAGCAATATAGAGTGGGAAAGCGGCTGTGCGTTTGGACAATTAATAGACACTGCATTAAATAAAACATCTGTCTTGTCCAGGACAGGAGTCAATACAGACCGGTGCGCCATAACCAATCAGAGCTACAATAGGCCTATATGCAAATAAGCCATTGGCCACACGGGCCTGCCATCATTCACTTTTAACTGGATCATGTGTTTACAGGCAGTAGCGCGACTTTAGATCTTAAAAGGAATTGGCCAAAAGCCACAAACTACACCTGAATGGATTTCTGCAAATATGTAAATACCACGGGAGTCTTACATTTGGAAACTTTACAGTCCTATTGATCAAACCACCATGAAAAAGGTAGGCTCACTCTCCCTCAGTTGTCTATACATCAACAATATAAACTGTTGTTCGCAAGCACGATATGATCTAAAATCTAACGAGGGAACAGTAGATAAACCCTCTCAAACGTTTTTCAGCTTGTAGTTGGCTGTCAAAATTGCACTGATAAACGACGGGGAATAGTAGCCTGCTCGCCCGCCAATGCATGCTTGTCCCAAGCCACGTTTTGACAACTGAATGGGAACTTGCCTGCCCGCCCATTTGACCGATGCTAAATACATTTGATTGACAACTAAGAGATATGCTGAACTGTGGATAACAGTTGTTCAAGTTTAGCATAGCTAGCAAGCAAAGTGATTCAAATTTCTTTCTAGCTAACCAAATGACACCATCTCTAGCTGTAGCCACAGAAAAACATGGGGAGACAAAGTTGGCCACTCGCCCAATGTCATCATCCTCCCAGCAGCTACACTACATGACCAAAAGTATGAGGACACCTGTATCTACTGCCAATGTTTGTCTATGGAGATTGCATTGCTGTGTGCTCGATTTTATACACCTGTCAGCAACGGGTGTGGCTAAAATTGCCAAATCGACTAATTTGAAGGGGTGTCCACATACTTTTGCCAATCTAACGTTAGGCTTCGTGTTTTTAGCTTGCTAAATACATAGCTACCTAAATACATAAGCTAGCCTATTACCCACGTTATGATTGCCCTTGCTAGTTTGATTGTATTGGCATTCCCAACCTTAGTTACATTCGTCCGCTTTTCTCCAAAATATTGAGTCATTGAAACTGAAACAGTGCATCCCCAATGGCTGGAGGAAGCAAACAATGTACCAGGCCAACTGTGATTTACAACCTGGTATCAATATTTGTTGGACTACCAACATGTATTGGTGAAATATATGAATCGATGCATTGAACTGCATCAATCTATTCTGCCAACAATGCCTTACTCTGTCATTTTGAGTCATAACTTATTTTTAATCCCTCTTACAAAGTTGGTTTTGTAGCATAAACTGGGAATTTTATATTTTTGACTGATATTATGATTGTCTGTTTCATATCTGCAAAGTAGTAAAAAAAAAAAAAAGTGTTTTATCACTCTTCAGGTCATTTCAGAGAATAATATAACTGAAAGAGGGAATATGCATGGAATGTCTGTCTGATGAAGGTTCTTAAGCCAAAAATTGGTCAAATTAATCCACAGCAAAGACAGACACATTTGCATCTTCCTTTTCCATTTGAATAGTCTGTCTCCCTGTCTATCTTACCTAGGCCCTGCAGACATCACAGAGCAGCTGGTCTCAGTGCAGAACTCAGTAATGGTGCCGTAGAGCATGTTGATCTGATTGAAGAAGTCCACAGCTGAAACAGAGAGCAGACCAAAGGCCCATATTATCTAATGCAAAAGCATAACTGAATGGGCAACCAAATGCCCAATGACAAAGTACTTAATTTGAAAGATAGGCAGCAACCAAGGGTGTTCTGAGATACTGAGCACACAGACAAAATAATATTCCCTTCTTCTAAAATGGATTAAATACCCCCCCCCCCCAATCTACACACAACACCCCATATTGACAAAGCAAAAACAGGTTTAGAAATTTTTGCAAATGTATTCAAAATAAAAAACATTTACATACAGTTGAAGTCGGAAGTTTACATAGACTTAGGTTGGAGTCATTAAAACTCGTTTTTTCAACCACTCCACAAATTTCTTGTTAACAAACTATAGTTTTGGCAAGTCGGTTAGGACATCTACTTTGTGCATGACACAAGTAATTTTTCCAACAATTGTTTACAGACAGATTATTTCACTTATAATTCACTGTATCACAATTCCAGTGGGTCAGAAGTTTACATACACTAAATTGACTGTGCCTTTAAACAGCTTGGAAAATTCCAGAAAATGATGTCATGGCTTTAGAAGCTTCTGATAGGCTAATTGTACCTGTGGATGTATTTCAAGGACTACCTTCAAACTCAGTGCCTCTTTGCTTGACATCATGGGAAAATCAAAAGAAATCAGCCAAGACCTCTGAAAAAAAATGGTAGACCTCCACAAGTCTAGTTCATCCTTGGGAGCAATTTCCAAATGCCTGAAGGTACCACGTTCATCTGTACAAACAATAGTACGCAAGTATAAACACCATGGGACCACGCAGCCGTCATACCGCTCAGGAAGGAGAGGCGTTCTGTCTCCTAGAGATTAACGTACTTTAGTGCGAAAAGTGCAAATCAATCCCAGTACAACAGCAAAGGAACTTGTGAAGATGCTGGAGGAAACAGGTACAAAAGTACCTACAGTGAGGGAAAAAGTATTTGATCCCCTGCTGATTTTGTAAGTTTGCCCACTGACAAAGAAATGATCAGTCTATAATTTTAATGGTAGGTTTATTTGAACGGTGAGAGACAGAATAACAACAAAAAAATCCAGAAAAACGCATGTCAAAAATGTTATAAATTGATTTGCATTTTAATGAGGGAAATAAGTATTTGACCCCCTCTCAATAAGAAAGATTTCTGGCTCCCAGGTGCATTTTATATAGGTAACGAGCTGAGATTAGGAGCACACTCTTAAAGGGAGTGCCCCTAATCTCAGCTTGTTACCTGTATAAAAAGACACCTGTCCACAGAAGCAATCAATCAATCAGATTCCAAACTCTCCACCATGGCAAAGACCAAAGAGCTCTCCAAGGATGTCAGGGACAAGATTGTAGACCTACACAAGGCTGGAATGGGCTACAAGACCATCGCCAAGCAGCTTGGTGAGAAGGTGACAACAGTTGGTGCGATTATTCGCAAATGGAATTAACACAAAATAACTGTCAATCTCCCTCGGCCTGGGGCTCCATGCAAGATCTCACCTCGTGGAGTTGCAATGATCATGAGAACGGTGAGGAATCAGCCCAGAACTACACGGGAGGATCTTGGCAATGATCTCAAGGCAGCTGGGACCATAGTCACCAAGAAAACAATTAGTAACATACTACGCCGTGAAGGACTGAAATCCAGCGCCAGCAAGGTCCCCCTGCTCAAGAAAGCACATATACAGGGCCGTCTGAAGTTTACCAATGAACATCTGAATGATTCAGAGGAGAACTGGGTGAAAGTGTTGTGGTCAGATGAGACCAAAATGGAGCTCTTTGGCATCAACTCAACTCGCCGTGTTTGGAGGAGGAGGAATGATGCCTATGACCCCAAGAACACCATCCCCACCGTCAAACATGGAGGTGGAAAATTATGCTTTGGGGGTGTTTTTCTGCTAAGGGGACAGGACAACTTCACCGCATCAAAGGGACGATGGATGGGGCCATGTACCGTCAAATATTGGGTGAGAACCTCCTTCCCTCAGCCAGGGCATTGAAAATGGGTCGTGGATGGGTATTCCAGCATGATAATGACCCAAAACACACGGCCAAGGCAACAAAGGAGTGGCTCAAGAAGAAGCACATTAATGTCCTGGAGTGGCCTAACCAGTCTCCAGACCTTAATCCCATAGAAAATCTGTGGAGGGAGCTGAAAGTTCGAGTTGCCAAACGTCAGGCTCGAAACCTTAATGACTTGGAGAAGATCTGCAAAGAGGAGTGGGACTAAATCCCTCCTGAGATGTGTGCAAACCTGGTGGCTAACTACAAGAAACGTCTGACCTCTGTGATTGCCAACAAGGGTTTTGGCACCAAGTACTAAGTCATGTTTTGCAGAGGGGTCAAATACTTATTTCCCTCATTAACATGCAAATCAATTTATAACATTTTTGACATGCGTTTTTCTGGATTTGTTGTTGTTGTTGTTGTTGTTGTTCTTCTGTCTCTCACTGTTCAAATAAACCTACTATTAAAATTATAGACTGATCATGTCTTTGTCAGTGGGCAAACGTACAAAATCAGCAGGTGATCAAATACTTTTTTCACTCACTGTATATCCACAGTAAAACGAGTCCTATATCGACATAACCTGAAAGGCCGCTCAGCAAGGAAGAAGCCACTGCTCCAAAACTGCCATAAAAAAGCCAGACTACGGTTTGCAACTGCACATGGGGACAAAGATCGTACTTTTTGGAGAAATGTCCTCTGGTCTGATGAAACAAAAATAGAACTGACCATAATAACCATCGTAGTGTTTGGAGGAAAAAGGGGGCAGCTTGCAAGCCGAAGAACACCATCCCAACCGTGAAGCACGGGGGTGGCAGCATCATGCTGTGGGGGTGCTTTGCTGCAGGAGGGACTGGTGCACTTCACAAAATAGATGGCATCATGAGGAAGGGAAATTATGTGGATATATTGAAGCAACATCTCAAGACATCAGTCAGGAAGTTAAAGCTTGGTTGCAAATGGGTCTTCCAAATGGACAATGACCCCAAGCATACTTCCAAAGTTGTGGCAAAATGGCTTAAGGACAACAAAGTCAAGGTATTGGAGTGGCCATCACAAAGCCCTGACCTCAATTCTATAGAACATTTGTAGGCAGAACTGAAAAGGCATGTGAGCAAGGAGGCCTACAAACCTGACTCAGTTACAGCAGCTCTGTCAGGAGGAATGGGCCAAGATTCACCCAACTTATCGTGGGAAGCTTGTGGAAGGCTACCCGAAACGTTTGACCCAAGTTAAACAATTTTAAGGCAATGCTACCAAATACTAATTGAGCGCATGTAAACTTCTGACCCACTGGGAAACTGATGAAAGAAATAAAAGCTTAAATAAATCACTACTATTATTTCGGACATTTCACATTCTTAAAAGTGGTGATCCTAACGGACCTAAGACAGGGGATTTTTACTAGGATTAAATGTCAGGAATTGTGAAAAACTGAGTTTAAATGTATTTGGCTAAGGTGTATGTAAACTTCCGACTTCAACTGTAAGTATTCAGACCCTTTACTCAGTGCATTGTTGAAGCACCTTTGGCAGCGATGACAGCCTCGAGTCTTCCTGGACATGACGCTACAAGCTTGGCACACCTGTATTTGGGGAGTTTCTCCCATTCTTCTCTGCCGATCCTCTCAAGCTCTGTCAGGTTGGATGGAGAGCGTCACTGCACAGCTATTTTCAGGTCTCTCCAGGGACGTTCGATCAGGTTCAAGTCCGGGCTCTGGCTGGGCCATTCAGAGACTTGTCCCGAAGCCACTCCTGCATTGCCCAGGCTGTGCGCTTATGGTCATTGTTCTGTTGGAAAGTGAACCGTCGCCCCAGTCTGAGGTCCTGAGCAGGTTTTCATTAAGGATCTTTCTGTACTTTGCCCTGTTCATCTTTCCCTCGATCCTGACTAGTCTCCCAGTCCCTACCACTGAAAAACATCCCCACAGCATGATGCTGCCACCCCCATGCTTCACCGTAGGGATGGTGCCAGGTTTCCTCCAGACGTAACGCTTGGCATTCAGGCCAAAGAGTTCAGTCATGGTTTCATCAGACCAGAGAATCTTGTTTCTCATGGTCTGAGAGTCCTTTAGGTGCCTTTTGGCAAATTCCAAGTGGGCTGTCATGTGCCTTTTAAGGACAAGTGGGTTCCGTCTGGCCACTCTACCTTAAAGGCCTGATTGGTGGAGTGCTGCAGAGATGGTTGTCGGTCTAGAAGGTTCTCCCATCTCCACAGAAGAACTCTGGAGCTCTGTCAGAGTAGCCATTGGGTTCTTGGTCACCTCCCTGACCAAGGCCCTTCTCCCCCGATTGCTCGGATTGGCCGGGCGGCCAGCTCTAAAAGAGTCTTGGTGGTTCCAAACTTCTTCCATTTAAGAATGATCAAGGCCACTGTGTTCTTGGGGACCTTCAATGCTGCAGAAATGTTTTGGTACCGTTCCCCAGATCTGTGCCTCGACACAATCCTGTCTCGGAGCTCTACGGACAATACCTTCGACCTCATGGCTTGGTTTTTGTTCCGACATGCACTGTCAACTGTAGGACCTTACATAGACAGGTGTGTGCCTTTCCAAATCATGTCCAATCAATTAAATTTACCACAGGTGGACTCCAATCAAGTTGTACAAACATCTCAAGGATGATCAATGGAAACAGGATGCACCGGAGCTCAATTTCTAGTCTTATAGCAAAGGGTCTGAATACTTATGTAAATAAGGTATTTATATACAGTGGGGAGAACAAGTATTTGATACACTGACGATTTTGCAGGTTTTCCTACTTACAAAGCATGTAGAGGTCTAATTTTTATCATAGGTACACTTCAACTGTGAGAGACGGAATCTAAAACAAATATCCAGAAAATCACATTGTATGATTTTTAAGTAATTACATTTGCATTTTATTGCATGACATAAGTATTTGATACATCAGAAAAGCAGAACTTAATATTCGGTACAGAAACCTTTGTTTGCAATTACAGAGATCATACGTTTCATGTAGGTCTTGACCAGGTTTGCACACACTGCAGCAGAGATTTTGGCCCACTCCTCCATACAGACCTTCTCCAGATCCTTCAGGTTTCGGGGCTGTCGCTGGGCAATACGGACTTTCAGCTCCCTCCAAAGATGTTCTATTGGGTTCAGGTCTGGAGACTGGCTAGGCCACTCCAGGACCTTGAGATGCTTCTTACAGAGCCACTCCTTAGTTGCCCTGGCTGTGTGTGTGTCGGGTCGTTGTCATGCTGGAAGACCCAGCCACGACCCATCTTCAATGCTCTTACTGAGGGAAGGAGGTTGTTGGCCAAGATCTTGCGATACATGGCCCCATCCATCCTCCCCTCAATACGGTGCAGTCGTCCTGTCCCCTTTGCAGAAAAGCATCCCCAAAGAATGATGTTTCCACCTCCATGCTTCACGGTTGGGATGGTGTTCTTGGGGGTTGTACTCATCCTTCTTCTTCCTCCAAACATGGCAAGTGGAGTTTAGACCAAAGCGCTATATTTTTTTCTGACCAGACCACATGACCTTCTCCCATTCCTCCTCTGGATCATCCAGATGGTCATTGGCAAACTTCAGACGGGCCTAGACATGCGCTGGCTTGAGCAGGGGGACCTTGCGTGCGCTGCAGGATTTTAATCCATGACGGCGTAGTGTGTTACTAATGGTTTTCTTTGAGACTGTGGTCCCAGCTCTCTTCAGGTCATTGACCAGGTCCTGCCGTGTAGTTCTGGGCTGATCCCTCACCTTCCTCATGATCATTGATGCCCCACGAGGTGATATCTTGCATGGAGCCCCAGACCGAGGGTGATTGACCGTCATCTTGAACTTCTTCCATTTTCGAATAATTGCGCCAACAGTTGTTGCCTTCTCACCAAGCTGCGTGCCTATTGTCCTGTAGCCCATCCCAGCCTTGTGCGGGTCTACAATTTTATCCCTGATGTCCTTACACAGCTCTCTGGTCTTGGCCATTGTGGAGAGGTTGGAGTCTGTTTGATTGAGTGTGTGGACAGGTGTCTTTTATACAGGTAACGAGTGGAGAACAGGAGGGCTTCTTAAAGAAAAACTAACAGGTCTGTGAGAGCCGGAATTATTACTGGTTGGTAGGTGATCAAATACATATATCATGCAATAAAATGCAAATTATTACTTAAAAATCATACAATGTGATTTTCTGGATTTTTGTTTTAGATTCCATCTCTCACAGTTGAAGTGTACCTATGATAAAAATTACAGACATCTACATGCTTTGTAAGTAGGAAAACCTGCAAAATCAGCAGTGTATCAAATACTTGTTCTCCCCACTGTATTTGATTAATTCCATGTTTTATTTGAGGCATGCCTTGCTGCAGCACATTCCTTAGGATAATTAATGTTCCAGACATCATCCAGAAACAAAAAATGTCTAAAAACCTGTTTTCGCTTTGTCATTATGGGGTATTGTGTGTGTAGATTGATGAGGGGAGAAAAAAACTACTTCAACTTGACAAAATGTGGAAAAGGTGAAGGGGTCTGAATACTTTCCAAATGCAGTACCAGTCAGAAGTTTGGACACACCTACTCATTCAAGGGTTTTTCTATATTTTTACTATTTTCAACATTGTAGAATTATAGTGAAGACATAGAAACTATGAAATAACACATATGGAATCATGTAGTAACCAGATTCTTCAAAGTAGCCACCCTTTGCCTTTGACAGCTTTGTACACGCTTGGCATTCTCTCAACCAGCTTCACCTGGAATGCTTTTCCAACAGTCTTGGAGTTCCCACATATGCTGAGCACTTGTTGGCTGCTTTTCCTTCACTCTGCGGTCAAACTCATCCCAAACCATCTCAATTGGGTTGAGGTCGGGTGATTGTGGAGCCAAGGTCATCTGATGCAGCACTCCATCACTCTCCTTATTAGTCAAATAGCCCGTACACAGCCTGGAGGTGTGTTGGGTCATTGTCCTGTTGAAAAACAAATGATTGTCCCGCTAAACCCAAACCAGATGGGATGGCTTATCGCTGCAGAATGCTGTGGTAGCCATACTGGTTAAGTGTGCCTTGAATTCTAAATAAATCAGAGACAGCAAAGCACTCCCACATCATCACACCACCTCCTCCATGCTTCACGGTGGGAATCACACATGCAGAGATCATCCGTTCACCTACTCTGCGTCTCACAAAGACACGGCGGTTGGAACCAAAAATCTCACATTTGGACTCCAGACCAAAGGACAGATTTCCACCGGTCCAATGTTCATTGCTCATGTTTCTTGGCCCAAGCAAGTCTCTTGTTCTTATTGGTGTCCTTTAGTAGTGGTTTCTTTGCAGCAATTCGACCATGAAGGCCTGATTCACAGTCTCCTCTGAACAGTTGATATGTCTGTTACTTGAACTTTGAAGCTTTTATTTGGGCTGTAATCTGAGGTGCAGTTAACTCTAATGAATGTATCCTCTGCAGCAGAGGTAACTCTGGGTCTTCCTTTTCTGTGGCGGTCCTCATGAGAGCCAGTTTCATCGTAGCGCTTGATGGTTTTTGCGACTGCACTTGAAGAAACGTTCAAAGTTCTTGACATTTTCCAGATTGACTGACCTTCATGTCTTAAAGTAATGATGGACTGTTGTTTCTCTTTGCTTATTTGAGCTGTTCTTGCCATAATATGGACTTGGTCTTTTACCAAATAGGGCTATCTTCTGTATACCAACCCTACCTTGTCACAACACAACTGATTGGCTCAAAGGCATTAAGAAATAACACACATTTCAGGTGACTACCTCATGAAGCTGGTTGAGAGAATGCCAAGAGTGTGCAAAGCTGTCATCAAGGCAAAGGGTGGCTACTTTGAAGAATCTCAAATATAAAATATATTTGAATTTGTTAAGCACTTTTTTTGGTTACTACATGATTCCATATGTGTTATTTCATAGTTTTGATGTCTTCACTATTATTCTACAATGTAGAAAATAGTAAAAATAAAGAAAAACCCTTGAATGAGTAGGTGTGTCCAAACTTTTGACTGGTACTGTACATACACACGTGGCTAAATATATTGGCACCCTTGCACTTTTTCAAGTAACTCACTATTATCCCTAAAAATAAGTTGAAATTTAGTCTCCACAATTCTTTATTTCACTGTTAATATTACAGATCAATTTAAAATCAGAAAATTAACAGAAATGGTATTGACAAAATGTACACCCTAGACCTATTATTTGTTAGCACAGCCTTTGGTCAAAAAACTGCAATCAAGCGCTTCCTATAAACAGCAAAGCTTCCTGCACCTCTGTACTGGCAGTTTGGTCCACTCCTCTTGTGCAAACTTATCCAGTTCTCCCAGATTTGAATGGTGCCTTCTCCCAACTGCTGTTTCAGATCTCTTCACAAGTTTTCAATGGGATTTAGATCTTGACTCATTGCTGGCCACTTCAGAACAGTCCAGCGTTTGTCTTGAACCATTCCTGGGTGCGTTTTGAAGTGTGTTGGGGGTCATTGTCCTGCTGGAAGACCTATGACCTAAGAAGGAGACCCAGCTTTCTGACACTGGGTCCGATATTGTGCTCCAAAATGCCTTGGTATTCTCCTGATTTCATGATGCCATGCACAAGTTCAAGGCACCCATTGCCAGAGGCAGCAAAGCAACCCCAAAACATCACTGAACCTCTTCCATGTTTGACTGTAGGGAAGGTTTTATTTTCGTCGAAGGCTTCATTTAGTTTTCTGTAAACAGAGAAAGTGTTCTTTACCAAAATTCTCCCAGAAGGATTTTGGCATGTTCAGGTGTGTTATGGCAAATTGCAGTCGGGCTTTCTTATGTCTCTCTCTTTCAGCAGTGGGGTCCTCCTGGGTCTCCTGGTCCTCTGTAGCTCAGCTGGTAGAGCACCGGCGCTTGTAACGCCAAGGTAGTGGGTTCGATCCCCGGGACCACCCATACACAAAAATGTATGCACGCATGACTGTAAGTCGCTTTGGATAAAAGCGTCTGCTAAATGGCATATTATTATATAACCCCCTTTCATTGAGTTGACGGATGGTGCGAGTTGAAGCTGTCGTACCCTATGTCTGAAAGTCAGCTTGAATCTGTGTGGCAGTTGATCGTTCATTCTAACATTCCTTTGCTGCAATCATCCATCAACTTCTCTTGCGGCCATGTCCAGGGAGGTTGGCTACAGTGGCATGGGCCTTAAACTTCTTGATGACATTACGTACAGTGGAAACAGGAACATCAAGGTCTGTGAAGATGGACTTGTAGCCTTGAGATTGTCCATGCTTGGCTACAATATTGTGTCTGACTGATCTCCTCAGATAATTATCTGGTTTCTTTCGATTCTCCTTGCGGTACACACTGTGTCACAAAACAGGAGAATGGGTCCTTTTCTCTATTCAAACTCATTGAATTAGGGATTTTTATATTGCAGGCACCTGCAACTCACCACAGGTGAGTTCAATTCCAAAGTAAAGGAGAATCACCTGCTTGAAATCTAATTATGTCTAACTACTTCTAGAAGGTGCCAATAATATTGTCGGATTTCTTTGTGGATTAAGGTAAGATTAGTCAATTATTCAGATTTTTTGTTTTGTTCAACTGCAAACCAAAGACATACATATGTGGATACCAAAATATTGTTTAATTTCAACAGTTTTCTGGAAGAAATTGTGCATTATTTGAAAAAAGTGCAAGGGTGCCAATATTTTTGGCCCTGTCTCTCTCTCGCTCATTTAGCAGACGCGCTTATCCAGAGCGACTTACAGGAACAATTAGGGTTAAGTGCCTTGCTCAAGGGCACCAAAAGATTCAAACCAGCGACCTTTCGGTTACTTAACCACTAGACTGTGCGTCCGCCTGTGAAACCTAAAGGCTGTCATTAAGAACATGTGTCAATTCAATCTGTGCTCCCCTCCTTCAATCACCCTTTACTCACTGTTAACAGCAATCCACTCATTGAGATCTTCCCCCTCTGGCAGCATGACAGCCTGCCTCAGGTTCCCACTCCCCAGCGTTGCCTCTGCATGCTTCAACAGCTCGTATTGGTGGGAGCCCTCTGGGATGTTCTTCTTCGGCTTGAAGGTCTTAGATGAGCGACTGCCACTGGATCAAGGGAGGAGAGGGAGCTCGAGTCAAACTGTGATGTTCCACGTTTTAGCTATTAGTGATGAGTAGATGTGCTCAGATATGAAACCATACTAGCCAGAGTCTTCCTGTTAAACACTTTACTCCGATCAGCAGACAGCAACAAAACAGGAAGGAAGCCAGGCTATCTATAATTGTTTACTAGCTAGTTAACTTATTCACTAGTTGGCTACATGCTAAAAATGCGTCAATGAGCAGTTCCCCTGATGAGTGAAACACCTAATTTAACTAATTAACGTAAGATAACTATAACGTGACATGATCGTGTTGTTATTTAGCTAACTAACGTTAGCTAATCTAGCTAGCTGGGTAACGTTAGTCACATTTGGCTAACTATATTAAACGTAAGATAATCAACAGTTACAGCAAAGATTATGATAATCTGTGGTTACATCATGACTAATTAGTCAATATGTTTGCATCTAAAGTTATGCAAACATAGCTAACGTTATAGTTAACATGTTAGCTAGCCAGCGCGGTAACATTAGCTTGCTACGAGTAAAACGCGACATACATAGCTAGCTTTACTTACAATAGGAAGCTCATCGTTAACTTAATTTCGGTCGAAAAACGAAGACAAATGCAGACCAAAGAATGTGGACGCTCAAAGTAAAACTGTCGTGTCGAACGTTTCACTGATTGTTTGGTGAATATACAGCCTTTCTAGCTTCCCTGGTGAAAAGTCTCCGAACTTTTCAACCCTTCTCTCACTTGTCAGTGTGTGTCGTACGCAGAATAAATAATATTTTGACGTAGATAGTTAGCGCAACATTTTGTTGACATGTACGTTTGTCGCCCTCATATGGACTCACATGGAAACCATTTCAGTAATTGATGTAACATGGTTGGTTCAGCAGTATTCATACGGTCCTTACAATCTTAGTTACTTGAGAGGTCCAAACTCTGACATTATACAATTGAAGTTGAAATGGGTTAGTGTTTTGTGTATGGACGTCCCAAGGATTCCGGATAGCATTAACCGTATTTATACACAATTACAAATCATGGCATGCGCATTTATAAGAAATATTTAAGTGTCCGAGAATTATTGACTTCCGGATGCACCTCAACTTTTATGGCAGAGGCACATGTATGCTAAATGACAATGGGCTCCACGTGCCTGAGTTTGGATGTTTTCACCAGTCACAAGCCGATTGCAATCCATACCTTTGGCAATTGTAAACCAAACCACATGGGCATTTTCAATAAAACAGGGATTTTACTTTTCTATGGTTTTCAGTGGTGAACTCGAACTAGTCAAGGGTCGTTTTTCAGAACATAAGCCAGGGTAGTGAGTGAGGTAAAGGAAAGCACTGCTGCCACCAGGTTCGAGGAGGGTTCGGCAGCTTTGCATTTAGAGGTGTGGCCATTTTGCCTGGAAACTGACGTGGATACAATATGCGGGCGGGGGGACTTCAGCCTTTAAAACATCTCGAGCCTTATCTATCTTTTTTTTACAGACGGTGGTCTGTTTGTCAGACCGGGCTTGCTTCCTCTTTCAATCGCCCTCACTTCTCTCTCACCTTTCTCATCGTTTGATTACTTAGCCTATCTAGATCAGTAAACATGGCAACGCTGAGGGCTCTGAGAAAATTATGCCAGCAATCGCAGCATCAAGTGTGTAGTCTACATATGTCAGCATCAAGGTATGTATTAGTAATCCTATACAATTAAGATATCAAATAGATTATTGTTATTTATCTATCTTGGTGAACTATGATAGGTTGCTTTCTATATGAAAAATGCGCCCTCTTCTTTTTAAGGTAGCCTACCAGGTATTAATTTCCTGCTTGTCTATGGCACTTTCCCTTACGTTTGTTTTCTATGTGTCACCGTATCCCGGCATCTGACCGTCTCTATGCATATAACGTTTCTGATTGTGCCCTGAGGACAATTATGTAACGTTTTAAACGATACATTGTAGCGAAGAGTGGTCTTGAATCAATGATCGTCGTAATGCGCCGCCTAACGTTATGCCGGTATCATTGCAGTGGTACATGGCTGATGAAATCGCACAGAACACTTGCATATAGGCGAGCAAGTTACCAATGGGAGTCACCAAACAACTACAGTGATCAGTATTCAGACAGTTGTTACAAATGGGGGTCACCAAACAACTACAGTGATCAGTATTCACAGTTGTTTTTCATATCCTATGTGTTTAAACAACCTTTTAAATATAATATATATATATATATATATATATATATATATACACAGTACCAGTCAAAAGTTTGGACACACCTACTCATTAAAGGGGGTTTTTATTTTTACTATTTCTACATTGTAGAATAATAGTGACGACATCAAAACAATGAAATAACACATGGAATCATGTAGTAATCTAAAAAGTGTTAAACAAATCAAAAGATATGTTATATTTTAAATTCTTCAAAGTAGCCACCCTTTGCCTTGATGACAGCTTTGCACACTCTTGGCATTCTCTCAATCAGCTTCACCTGGAATGCTTTTCCAACAGTCTTGAAGGAGTTCCCACATATACTGAGCACTTGTTGGCTGCTTTTCCTTCACTCTGCCGTCCGACTCATCCCAAGCCATCTCAATTTTGGGTTGAGGTCGGGGGATTGTGGAGGCCAGGTCATCTGATGTAGCACTCCATCACTCTCCTTCTTGGTAAAATAGCCCTTACACAGCCTGGAGGTGTGTTGGGTCATTGTCCTGTTAAAAAACTAATGATAGTCCCACTAAGCCCAAACCAGATTAAATGGCGTATCGCTGCAGAATGCTGTGGTAGCCATGCTGGTGGTTAAGTGTGCCTTGAATTCTAAATAAATCACAGACAGTGTCACCAGCAGAGCACCCCCACACCATAACACCACCTCCTTCATGCTTTACGGTGGGAACTACACATGCAGAGATCATCCATTCACCCACACCGTGTTTCACAAAGACACAGCGGTTGGAACCAAAAGTCTCCAATTTGGACAAATTTCCACCCGTCTAATGTCCATTGCTCGTGTTTTTTGTCCCAAGCAGGTCTCTTCTTATTTTTGGTGTCCTTTAGTAGTGGTTTCTTTGCAGCAAATCGACCATGAAGGCCTGATTCACACAGTCCCCTCTGAACAGTTGCTGTTGAGATGTGTCTGTGGGCTGCAATTTCTGAGGCTGGTAACTCTAATGAACTTATCCTCTGCAGCAGTGGTAACTCTGGGTCATCCATTCCTGTGGCAGTCCTCATGAGAGCCAGTTTCATCATAGCGCTTGATGGTTTTTGCGACTGCACTTGAAGAAACTTTCAAAGTTCTTGACATTTTCCGTATTGACTGAACTTCATGTCTTAAAGTAATGATGGACTGTTGTTTCTCTTTGCTTATTAGAGCTGTTCTTGCCATAATATGGACTTGGTCTTTTACCAAATAGGGCTATCTTCTGTATACCTCCCCTACCTTGTCACAACACAACTGATTGGCTCAAACGCATTAAGAAGGAAATAAATTTCACAAATTAACTTTTAAGAAGGCACACCTGTTAATTGAAATGCATTCCAGGTGACTACCTCATGAAGCTGGTTGAGAGAATGCCAAGAGTGTGCAAAGCTGTCATCAAGGCAAAGGGTGGCTATTTGAAGAATCTCAAATGTAAAATATTTTGATTTCTTTAACACTTTTGGTTACTACATGATTCCATATGTGTTATTTCATAGTTTTGATGTCTTCACTATTATTCTACAATGTAAAAAATAGTACAAATAAAGAAAACCCCTTGAATGAGTAGGTGTGTCCAAACTTTTGACTGGTAGTGTACATAAACCTAGCTTTTGCAGACAATCTTTCCTCCAACTGTCTGCCTAAATGTACAGTGGGGAGAACAAGTATTTGATACACTGCCGAAATCCAGAAAATCACATTGTATGATTTTTAAGTAATTAATTTGCATTTTATATCAGAAAAGCAGAACTTAATATTTGGTACAGAAACCTTTGTTTGCAATTACAGAGATCATACGTTTCCTGTAGGTCTTGACCAGGTTTGCACACACTGCAGCAGGGATTTTGGCCCACTCCTCCATACAGACCTTCTCCAGATCCTTCAGGTTTCGGGGCTGTCGCTGGGCAATACGGACTTTCAGCTCCCTCCAAAGATGTTCTATTGGGTTCAGGTCTGGAGACTGGCTAGGCCACTCCAGTACCTTGAGATACTTCTTACGGAGCCACTCCTTAGTTGCCCTGGCTGTGTGTTTCGGGTCGTTGTCATGCTGGAAGACCCAGCCACGACCCATCTTCAATGCTCTTACTGAGGGAAGGAGGTTGTTGGCCAAGATCTTGCGATACATGGCACCATCCATCCTCCCCTCAATACGGTGCAGTCGTCCTGTCCCCTTTGCAGAAAAGCATCCCCAAAGAATGATGTTTCCACCTCCATGCTTCACGGTTGGGATGGTGTTCTTGGGGTTGTACTCATCCTTCTTCTTCCTCCAAACACGGCGAGTGGAGTTTAGACCAAAAAGCTCTATTTTTGTCTCATCAGACCACATGACCTTCTCCCATTCCTCCTCTGGATCATCCAGATGGTCATTGGCAAACTTCAGACGGGCCTGGACATGCGCTGGCTTGAGCAGGGGGACCTTGCGTGCGCTGCAGGATTTTAATCCATGACGGCGTAGTGTGTTACTAATGGTTTTCTTTGAGACTGTGGTCCCAGCTCTCTTCAGGTCATTGACCAGGTCCTGCCATGTAGTTCTGGGCTGATCCCTCACCTTCCTCATGATCATTGATGCCCCACGAGGTGAGATGTTGCATGGAGCCCCAGACCGAGGGTGATTGACCGTCATCTTGAACTTCTTCCATTTTCTAACAATTGCGCCAACAGTTGTTGCCTTCACACCAAGCTGCTTGCCTATTGTCCTGTAGCCCATCCCAGCCTTGTGCAGGTTTACAATTTTATTCCTGATGTCCTTACACAGCTCTCTGGTCTTGGCCATTGCGGAGAGGTTGGAGTTTGATTGAGTGTGTGGACAGGTGTCTTTTATACAGGTAACGAGTTCAAACATGTGCAGTTAATACAGGTAATGAGTGGAGAACAGGAGGGCTTCTTAAAGAAAAACCAACAGGTCTGTGAGAGCCGGAATTCTTACTGGTTGGTAGGTGATCAAATACTTATGTCATGCAATAAAATGCAAATTAATTACTTAAAAATCATACAATGTGATTTTCTGGATTTTTGTTTTAGATTCCGTCTCTCACAGTTGAAGTGTACCTATGATAAAAATTACAGACCTCTACATGCTTTGTAAGTAGGAAAACCTGCAAAATCGGCAGTGTATCAAATACTTGTTCTCCCCACTGTATTTGATTAATTCCATGTTTTATTTGAGGCATGCCTTGCTGCAGCACATTCCTTAGGATAATTAATGTTCCAGACATCATCCAGAAACAAAAAACGCCTGTGTTTGCACTGTGACTATGCACATGACTAACATCACAACTGATTTAGCCACTTTTAAGCCAGCACGAGATGAGTCTCATTTGGAGCATGCACATTCAAGATGCACTTTATTGAGTAGAAGGTTAGGGTCAACATAGGACAGTGTTTTTTCAGAACAGTTACCTATCATCACTTCAGATGAGCATAGCCTACTTTATAAAACCATAACACAAAACAAGTTGCATTGTTTGTTCTATTTACATTTCACACTCAGGACAAAGCCCATACTTGGGAACAGAGCTGGCACAGCCTTGCTGATTGGTAATTAGGAAATGTGTTAAAACACATTGGCTTGGGTTCTAGTTCAGAGCTGACAGTATTGATTCTTTGGGTCTGCTGCCAATCCTTTCCCTATCATGGTACTGGCACTGTGTGAAGGAGAACTAGTCTGGTAGGCAGCAAGTTGTGAAAAGTGCATGCATTTTTGACAAAGGTATATTAATTGGGTGGAAGTTAAGGCCTATTGTGTCCTTTCTGCATTCTGCAGACCTCTCATTGGTTGTGATGCCCTCTATCCTGTCAGAGATGAACTACTCATTAACATGGTCTGTGGTCAACTGTTTGCTGAGAACTCAACACATTTCCAACAAGGTTGTCCTCCTATGGAGACCAAAAAAACCCCAGACCAAAACATTATGTTCATGCTTTGTGTGCACGTTGGAAGTTGGGCAAAGTGAGTGTGAATGGCACTCCACACCGAGGCCAACAACTTGACTTAAAGGCCAGGGGTTCCAATAAGTTTATTTAATAGCATGGGCCACAGTGTAACTCGTGTATTGCTGTTTTTAGCCGCCACACTTCTCATGCATGGGTAACACCAGGAGCCCTGTACATGGTTTGACTGTATTTTGCCATCGCTGGCTTATGGGGAACCCTACATGGTTGCCTACCAGCACTGCTTGCTGGCTAAGACTGCCATGCACACTCACTTTGGGATTGTCAACTAGTCTGCAGGACTATAAATCACGTGCCCACCCCAGTGTATACGTTCCCCTGGCTGTTTACATGTTCTGCTGTCCTCTAACATCTGCCTCTCTGATTCTCTAGACAGGAAGCAGTGGTCATCTCAGGCAGGAAGTTGGCCTGTCAGATCCGGGAGGAGGCCAGGGCCGATGTTGAACAGTGGGTCTCCACTGGCAACCGGAGACCCCACCTGAGCGTGGTCCTTGTAGGAGATAATGCAGCCAGTCACTCCTACGTCCTGAATAAAACCCGGGCTGCAGCTGATGTTGGTATGTAAACACACTCACACACTTTACCTGTGCTGGAGCTGAATTCAGTTGCACAACAGTGTACATACTGGGCATACTTGACTTAGAAACTACTCTATGAATTTTCAACGTGGCTTTCTAATTCCCTCTTTCTTCCTGGTCACCATCCCTCTCTCTGTCCCTGTTCATATTAATCTGGGATAGAATGGGTTCATAATTCCTCCCTCTTCTTCTTCTCTGCAGGTATCAGCAGTGAGACCATCCTGAAGCCCTCCTGTATCTCTGAGGATGAACTCATGGACCTGATCTACAAACTCAACACAGACCACCGGGTCGACGGCCTGCTGGTGCAGCTGCCTCTGCCAGGTAAGGAGTGGCTTTAGGGTGAGGAGACGATGCATGGCATTGGAAAGGGCATATGGGTAGGGGGGTTATTGCTCTTGGTGAGCAAACAGTTATACAACCTTTGTAGACAAAGAAAGAGTGACAGTTTGAAGCTGTTTTGAATATGTATAGCTAATACTTGCATATCCCTGAATGGTTTGGCCTTTGCCCTATTTACTGTAGAACAGCCATTTACATACTGTCTTGTAACCATCATTCCCACTGTCTTCTCACAGAACACATTGATGAGCGGCGCATCTGTAATGCTGTGTCCCCTGGCAAGGATGTGGACGGCTTCCACGTGGTCAATGTGGGCCGCATGTGCCTGGACCAGTCCACCATGTTGCCCGCCACTCCCTGGGGAGTCTGGGAAATCATCAAACGCACAGGTGAGCTAGTGGGAGGGGAGCTCTCACCTCCCTCTGTTATATGAATGGAATTAGACTGTTATGGGGAAAATAATGACAACTCTGTCACTGACTGTTCATTCCTGTTTCCCAGGAATTCCTACCCTTGGGAAGAATGTTGTGGTGGCGGGACGCTCCAAGAATGTGGGCATGCCCATTGCCATGTTGCTGCACTCAGATGGGCGCCATGAGAGGCCTGGGGGTGAGTCTGGATGTCTTAGGGGCTACAGTGATAGGGTGTATGCTATATAATTGCGATCAATTATTATTAATTGATTATTATTATTAATAATGTCAAAGTAGATTAACAATGGGTAATAAAGATAATACTGAGTTTTAACTTAAAGCTGAAATGATGAAGTTGAAATGGAATTTGTGGATCATGGCCCTGGCATTTACTTATTTTTTGGTTCTGCAGGTGATGCAACAGTCACCATCTCTCACCGTTACACACCAAAGGATCAGCTCCGTCAGCACACAAGAATTGCAGACATCGTTGTTGCTGCTGCAGGTATGGATCCTCTCCTCCTACTGAGGATATATCTTTACCTTGTATACTACCTGTCTATCTCTTACAGTGAGGGAAAAAAGTATTTGATCCCCTGCTGATTTTGTATGTTTGCCCACTGACAAAACATATTGTAAAGTGGTTATCCCACTGGCTATAAGGTGAATGCACCAATTTGTAAGTCGCTCTGGATAAGAGCGTCTGCTAAATGATGTAAATGTGTAAAAATGTGACAAAGAAATGATCAGTCTATAATTTTAATGGTAGGTTTATTTGAACAGTGAGAGACAGAAAAACACAAGGCTGGAATGGGATACAAGACCATCGCCAAGCAGCTTGGTGAGAAGGTAACAACAGTTGGTGCGATTATTCGCAAATGGAAGAAATACAAAAGAACTGTCAATCTCCCTCGGCCTGGGGCTCCATGCAAGATCTCACCTCGTGGAGTTGCAATGATCATGAGAATGGTGAGGAATCAGCCCAGAACTACACGGGAGGATCTTGTCAATGATCTCAAGGCAGCTGGGACCATAGTCACCAAGAAAACAATTAGTAACACACTACGCCGTGAAGGACTGAAATCCTGCACCGCCCGCAAGGTCCCCCTGCTCAAGAAAGCACATATACAGGGCCGTCTGAAGTTTGCCAATGAACATCTGAATGATTCAGAGGAGAACTGGGTGAAAGTGTTGTGGTCGAGCTCTTTGGCATCAACTCAACTCGCCGTGTTTGGAGGAGGAGGAATGCTGCCTATGACCCCAAGAACACCATCCCCACCGTCAAACATGGAGGTGGAAACATTACGCTTTGGGGGTGTTTTTCTGCTAAGGGGACAGGACAACTTCACCGCATCAAAGGGACGATGGACGGGGACATGTACCGTCAAATCTTGGGTGAGAACCTCCTTCCCTCAGCCAGGGCATTGAAAATGGGTCGTGGATGGGTATTCCAGCATGACAATGACCCAAAACACATGGCCAAGGCAACAAAGGAGTGGCTCAAGAAGAAGTACATTAAGGTCCTGGAGTGGCCTAGCCAGTGTCCAGACCTTAATCCCATAGAAAATCTGTGGAGGGAGCTGAAGGTTCGAGTTGCCAAACGTCAGGCTCGAAACCTTAATGACTTGGAGAAAATCTGCAAAGAGGATTGGGACAAAATCCCTCCTGAGATGTGTGCAAACCTGGTGGCCAACTACAAGAAACGTCTGACCTCTGTGATTGCCAACAAGGGTTTTGCCACCAAGTACTAAGTCATGTTTTGCAGAGGGGTCAAATACTTATTTCCCTCATTAAAATGCAAATCAATTTATAACATTTTTGACATGCGTTTTTCTGGATTTTTTTGTTGTTATTCTGTTTCTCACTGTTCAAATAAACCTACCATTAAAATTATAGACTGATCATGTCTTTGTCAGTGGGCAAACGTACAAAATCAGCAGGGGATCAAATACTTTTTTCCCTCACTGTATTTGTAAGTTTATAATTTGTGACTACTAGCTGGCTCTATCTCTTGAGTAGCTTGTCCTGGGTGGGTCTCTTAAGGCACGGACACACCGGTAGCGTTTGCCGGCAGAGAGTACTTAGCCAACCGAGTGCAAACCAACTTTGAAAGGTGAAGCTCATTTACTGCATTTCTATACAGTTCAAACAATTTTACAATAATATTTGGAGAGCAGCATAAATTCCCCCAGCCATTATTAGCATGGCTGCTGTAGGTTCAATCACCTCAGTCCATCTACAAAAAAACACATTGCCTATTAGCTATACAATTGTAATGTTATACCCCTGTAAGGGGGAAAATATGAGAGATGATTCACACTGACACATAGCATTAACGACTAAACATATTTTTTAGAACTTTATTGTTTGCATTTTGATTGCATTTTAATGTAGGCTTATATGGAATATGGGCCATGTGGAGATGTTCATATTGAAGCATATCTTCTTTTTTATAAGTTCCTAACTTGTTTGAAAAGATTAGTACAGATTTTCTCAAGGGACCCCACATGGGGCCTGACCCCAAGTTTGGGAACCACTGTACTAACATCTCTCTGCTTGCTTCCGCTTTCTTTCTCTGTCTCCTCTGCTTCCTCCTGCATGCATTGCAGCTTGCCTCAGCCTTACCAGTGAGCGCCACATCACTGTCTGTCTCAGTAGCCTACTCTCTGTAAAGCAAAGTTATTATGAGAACTTACAGTAGAAGCCTATTTTTTGCCCCTGCTGAGGTAGGCTCCGTTTAACGTTAGCCAGCTAGAAGGATGAAGTAAGAAGCTAAGTAATTCTAGCCAGAGCCCTTCAACGTTACTGCAATAGAAGTCTCTGCCGGCTGATAGCCACCTGTCTGACATACACTACCAGTCAAAAGTTTTTGTACAATTTCTTACATTGTAGAATAATAGTGAAGACATCAAAACTATGAAATAACACATATGGAATCATGTAGTAACCAAAAAAGTGTTACACAAATCAGAAAATGTTATATTTGAGATTCTTCAAATAGCCACCCTTTGCCTTGATGACAGCTTTGCACACTCTTGGCATTCTCTCAACCAGCTTCATGAGGTAGTCAGTCACCTCGAATGCATTTCAATTAACAGGTGTGCCTTCTTAAAAGTTAATTTGTGGAATTTATTTCCTTCTTAATGTGTTTGAGTCAATCAGTTGTGTTGTGACAAGGTAGGGGAGGTATACAGAAGATAGCCCTATTTGGTAAAATACCAAATCCATATTATGGCAAGAAGAGCTCAAATAAGCAAAGAGAAATGACAGTCCATCATTACTTTAAGACATGAAGGTCAGTCAATACGGAACATTTCAAGAACTTTGAAAGTTTATTCAAGTGCAGTGGCAAAAACCATCAAGCGCTATGATGAAACTGGCTCTCATGAGGACCGCCACAGGAATGGACGACCCAGAGTTACCTCTGCTGCAGAGGATAAGTTCATTAGAGTTACCTGCCTCAGAAATTGCAGCCCAAATAAAAGCTTCAGAGTTCAAGTAACAGACACATCTCAACATCAACTGTTCAGAGGGGACAGTGTGAATCAGGCCTTCATGGTCGATTTGCTGCAAAGAAACCACTACTAAAGGACACCAAAAATAAGAAGAGACCTGCTTGGGCCAAAAAACACGAGCAATGGACATTAGACGGGTGGAAATTTGTCCTTTGGTCTGGAGTCCAAATTGGAGATTTTTGGTTCAAAACGCAGTGTCTTTGTGGGTGAACGGATGATTTTGCGCATGTGTAGTTCCCACCATAAAGCATGGAGGAGGAGGTGTTATGGTGTGGGTGTGCTTTGCTGGTGACACTGTCTGTGATTTATTTAGAATTCAAGGCACACAAACCAGCATGGCTACCACAGCATTCTGCAGCGATACGCCATCCCATCTGGTTTGGGCTTAGTGGGACTATCGTTTGTTTTTCAACAGTACAATGCCCAAACACACCTCCAGGCTGTGAAAGGGCTATTTTACCAAGAAGGAGAGTGATGGAGTGCTGCATCAGATGACCTGGCCTCCACAATCCCCCGACCTCAACCCAATTGAGATGGTTTGGGATGAGTCGGACGGCAGAGTGAAGGAAAAGCAGCCAACAAGTGCTCAGCATATGTGGGAACTCCTTCAAGACTGTTGGAAAAGCATTCCAGGTGAAGCTGGTTGAGAGAATGCCAAGAGTGCAAAGCTGTCATCAAGGCAAAGGGTGGCAATTATCTAAAATCTAAAATATATTTTGATTTGTTTAACACTTTTTTGGTTACTACATGATTCCATATGTGTTATTTCATAGTTTTGATGTCTTCACTATTATTCTACAATGTAAAAATGTGTAACAATTAAGAAAAACCCTTGAATGAGTACAGTTGAAGTCGGAAGTTTATATACACCTTAGCCAAATACATTTAAACTCAGTTTTTCACAATTCCTGACATTTAATCCTAGTAAAAATTCCCTGTCTTAGGTCAGTTAGGATCTAAGAGAGTGATTTATTTCACATTCCCAGTGGGTCAGAAGTTTCCATACACTGAATTAGTATTTGGTAGCATTGCCTTTAAATTGTTTAACTTGGGTCAAACGTTTCGGTTAGCCTTCCACAAGCTTCCCACAATAAGTTGGGTGATTTTTGGCCCATTTCTCCTGACAGAGCTGGTGTAACTGAGTCAGGTTTGTGGGCCTCCTTGCTCGCACACACTTTTTCAGTTCTGCCCACATAGGATAGGATTGAGCTCAGGGCTTTGTGATGGCCACTCCAATACCTTGACTTTGTTGTCCTTAAGCCATTTTGCCACAACTTTGGAAGTATGCTTTGGGTCATTGTCCATTTGGAAGACCCATTTGCGACCCAGCTTTAACTTCCTGACTGATGTCTTGAGATGTTGCTTCAATATATCCACATCATTTCCCTTCCTCATGATGCCATCTATTTTGTGAAGTGCACCAGTCCCTCCTGCAGCAAAGCACCCCCACAGCATGATGCTGCCACCTCCGTGCTTCACGGTTGGGATGGTGTTTTTCGGCTTGCAAGTGACCCCCTTTTTCCTCCAAACATAACGAAACACGTGAAATAATCTGTCTGTAAACAGTTGTTGGAAAAATTACTTGTGTCATGCACAAAGTAGATGTCCTAACCGACTTGCCAAAAATATAATTTGTTAACAAGAAATTTGTGGAGTGGTTGAAAAACAAGTTTTAATGACTCCAACCCAAGTGTATGTAAAGTTCCGACTTCAACTGTAGGTGTGTCCAAACGTTTGACTGGTATTGTATCTATAAGCGACTATTTAGCAGTTGTGCACTTATTCTCCGAGAGTCGTTTTTTGTTTGTTTGGGGGATGTCTGTAGACATGGCAGGAGTCGCGGGATGGTTTTTAATTGCCTTTTGTCCGGCATCTCGCAAGCTGGGGTAGTTTGTTTCACGTCGCCCTCGGCCTGTGCCGTGAGAGGGCGGAGTTAGCAATTTGAGAGTGCGCTGAATGTGCTGCTAAAAAGGGCATATCCGGGGGATGCAGGCGACCATAACGAACAAACCACTGTTCATGATTCCACTCATTCGCAGAGGCAGGTGCAATTTAGAACTCAGTCAGATCAAGAATATAAATGTTCTGAGCTTTGCTCAACGCTGGGAGCAACATTTAGATATTGACCCGTAATTGATTTTCTTTATTGTGTACAATTTATATATTTTTATTATTAAAAAAATATGAAATTAGAACAAATGACCATTACAGCCATGGATGCGGTGTGTGTGTGTGGTCCCTTACTAACTGATCTCCCTCTAAACCCTCTCCTAATCTCAGGGATTCCAAACCTCATCACTGCAGACATGATCAAAGAAGGAGCAGCCGTCATTGATGTTGGAATAAACAGAGTGCATGACCCTCTGACTGGCAAGAACAGACTTGTAGGGGACGTGGATTTTGAAGGTACGAGTTTCTAATCTAGACAGACTTCACAATTTGTCTAATTTTGCATTAATCCTAACATGTACTGTGTTCTCACACACATTTTCTCTGCAACATTTTCTCTCCCTTTATCTCTACCTTTGTAGGTGTGAGGCAAAAGGCTAGCTTCATTACCCCAGTGCCTGGAGGAGTAGGACCCATGACAGTGGCCATGCTTATGAAGAACACCATCAAGGCAGCTAAGAACCTCCTGCTGACTCCCCCTGAGAGGATCCGAATGGTAGCCTCTTCATAACAGGCTATGCCTAACCCCGTCAACAGTGACACATTACATCCCCACACCCCTCCACTTTTTACTCTGAGCAACTCGGTGAACTCCCTTGCACACAGACATGGATGAAAACATGATAGCTTTAAGGTTCTCAACTTGCTGGTACCTTACACTTACATAACCTCTACCCGCCATTTCAGAATGTTACAACTCACCCATGCAGCTACTACATATTTATTATTTTCTAGGCTTTCTATTATATTTTTTGTCTCATGTCCTTTTTATGAGACCTGTTGGTTTTAGGTGAATTTGAACTACCTGTTTATTTATTTCTCTGCATTCATTTGTCAAATATGTTGAAAGCATAAAAAATTGCAAGGGGAACCGGTCAATTTAAATTACCAAGAAAGACAGTTAATTATTCCAATTAATTATTCCAATTCCTTATTCTATGGACAGTTTTGTCTATCTCCCATCTCTACAACACCCTTTAGATCAGGGATGGGCAACTTTGATGGGGGTGGGGGCCACAAAAAAATCTGCTCATCATGAGGGGCCGCATTTGGTTGCGAGTCTGCGTACCCACATCCAACCCCCCCCCCCCGACCACGATAACAAGTTTAGATTGCTAAATTCGTTTAGTGGCCAGCTATCTAAACAATTTTAGCTGACATGGGCTAATTCACTGACTATCAATGACTGACATAACAAGAAAAACTGCTGATGCACAACCAAATATCAAAATGCACCTTGTGTATTCTCAGTGCTTGACTTAGGCAGGAGCTCACCGGTGCTGAGCACTTGCACCTCAAATGTTCTACTGCTTGAGCTCCTGTTCCTCTTATAGAATATTAGCTCAAAAGTATTGTGGTGCTCCTGCCCCTAAATATAAACAGTTCTGGCACACAAAATGAATACCGGCACCTATTTTAGTCCAAGTCAAGCAATGTGTATCTTACTATTCTAACTCGCAACAGTAAGTAAAAAATAAATAAAAGCCCATCCCTGCTTTAGGTCACATAAGCACTGTGAGCTAAGAGGGTTAAGGGCTAGTAATGAAATGTAAGCAACAAACAAGTCTGTTAAACACCATAACATTTACATTTAGTTTCAAAAAATGCCTTTGTAAAAATTATTTCGAAATAAAATGTTTTTGCAAATGGATGGTCTTCATGTTTTTTTGGGGTGAACAGGTGCCTATAGCATAGCTCTGCAACAGACACATCAGTCTTAATATGATAATTTCCATTGTAAAGATTGCAGGTAGGTCACTCTCGTTAAGTTTGTATAGGAATGATACAAAATATCACATAATGCAATACCTTTAACCCTCTACTTCAACCCTCAGAGGTGAAAAATAGTTTTGAGTATGATATACATCTTGATTTTATATCAGTCTCATAAATAAAATAAAAAGGTTTATTCAGGTAATTCATTGCCAATATGATAGGCGGCCCATAAAAGTACATGATCAGTGTGCAAGAGGACAGCAATGTGAAGCGGACACTCTTCCTAACGATCCGGAAATGCACTGGGGAATAAAACAGTTGCACGACCTATTTATTTTGGGGTGGACATGTTTTGTCGCCACTCATTTTCAGCTGTAGCTAGCAATGTATTTCTACATTTATTTACAGAAACGTCAGTAAAGTTTTAGAGGAATACGATTAATTGATTGCCATAGCATACATTTTCGACTATGGAGCGCAGTAGATCTCGCGACAGTTCCGCGGATACGACCAAGAGCACGAGCAGACAATTCGGAGAGAAAAAACTGGCCAAGAAAAAGCGAAGACACTCCTCCTCTTCTTCCTCATCGTCCAGCAGCAGTGCGAGTCCGACCCCTTCAAAGAAAGCATCACGTTCCTTCAGCAAGAGCCAAGGTTTTATTCACTAGTAGTAGTAGACAGCTTCACACTGTACATCCTCACATAGACAGATATCTAATGTCAGAGAATAAGATAATGAAATGTCTTTGTATGTCTATCAATGTTACAATGTGTACATTTGTCTGCTTCAGATGGGAAACTGAAGAAAAAAATGAAAAATAAAAGAAGTTCCTCATCTTCCTCGTCAAGCTCTTCTTCTTCATCCTCCTCATCCTCCTCAAGTGATGGAAAGTCCAAGAGGAAGGAAAGGAAAAAGAAAAAATTCAAGAAGAAGTTAAAGAAGAAGAAAAGAAAGTTGAAGAAAGAGATGAAATTGGAGAAGAAGAAAATGAAGAAGATAAAGAAATTGGAAGAAAGAAGAGCATCCCTGCTTGTAGATTTGATGCCCCCTCCAGCCCCCCCACAGCCTGTAGGCAGCGCCCCCCAGCCCTTCCTGGAGTTGTGGCAGAGTGATGATTGCACAGAAGATCATGGACCAGGTATGCTGGTCAATGAGATCCATAGGGAATTTGCGCCAGCAGTTGAGTTTAGACTTGTAGCGGTCTCATATTTTGTCATATATCGTCAGTAGTTAGATGTTTATTTGTTACCTAGCTCAACAAAGAATGGAAGATGAAACCAGATATAAAGCTGAGCAGATGGATGTTTTGTTTTTGTCCATTCTGTAGCAATGACAGATGAGCAGAAAGCCAGGCTATCCACCAAGAGGCCCTTAACAAAGGAGGAGTATGAGGCTAAGCAGAGTGTCATCCGCAGGGTGGTAGACCCTGAGACTGGACGCACCAGGTACACCAACGCTATATACAACAGTGTTCCCATGGCATCTATGGTTCAGTAGTTTCAGTCTCTATTCCTATATGGGTGTGTGCTGGTTTTTATTCCTTCTGTTTTTGTTTTTCAGGCTGATAAGGGGAGAGGGAGAGATCATTGAGGAGATTGTCAGTAAAGAGAGACACAAAGACATCAAGGTAAATGGAAAACCATCAAAGGCCATGCAGCTATGTGTGCTGTGGGTTAAAATGTTGTCATCTACCTAAAAAAAAATGCCTACCTAACACTGGCCCTCCTCTCTTGTCACAGCAAGCCACAAAGGGAGACGGAAACTCCTTTCAGAAGAAACTAGGACTAAACAGGTAGAGGGTAACCCCCTGATGTAAAGGCTATGGGAGGAAGTAGCCATCTATACTATTGTGTTTAGATAGGACAGAAGAATAAATCTCCAGGTAGTTGGGCTGTGCCTAGTTTGTGACAGGATCCCTACATGTCTCCAAAATGAAAGTGAAAAACAACCCTTTCTGTGCCTATCTATGACTGTACTGTACTGCAAGTGTGACTCAATCAAATACATAATGTTTGGTCACACTTTAAATTAGGTTTGGCCACACTTTGTTTAATTGCTCAAATTAAATGTAATAAAATGTTATTTTTTATTTTAGTTGACCAGCATCCTTTCATCACAATTCACTTTGGACTTTCTCTGAATGCATCAGAAATTCAGAATGACAATGATGGCTGAACTGTCAGTTTTTATAAATTAAATGAAACATACATTCAAACTGACCACAAAAACAGAAGTCAACTGTGTGATGCGATTTACTTTTTTACCATGTAATAAAGTATTTTTCTTAGATAATTATCCTTGACCATTCCTGTGTGCATCGGGTATTTACTATTTCAGTTACAGGTTTAAAACCTAATCTTACACCCGCCATTCAAATAATTTAGAGACAAGTAACCACACATTTAATTTCTGTTCTTCATACTTACTTTTTATACACTGTACAGGGAAACACAGGGAACTGGTAAATATAACTGTCAAACTTTAGAGTAACACAAATAAAATGTATACTAAATATACCACGCTTTAACAAAGCCAAGGTATTGGGACGTTTTGATGTGATCAAATTGTCAGCATTGCCATTTCAATAAGCGTGTGAGATGAAACATGTTTTTAAGCGCAGTGTGCAAGTCGTTTTATTTAATATATTCCTATGTACATTTATACTATTTCCCTGGAGATAAAACCAACCAAACACAAGTCATACCAAAGTCTCATTGGGAAATAATGGCCCTTTTCAGTGACCATACAGCAAATTCTATTGGAGGATTATTCCATGGAGGCATGAGTCAGACCAGGGAAACAGCAAATTTAAGGCAAAAGGGGAAATGTACAGTCGTGGTCAAAAGTTTTGAGAATGATGCAAGTATTGGTCTTCACAAAGTTTGCTGATTCAGTGTTATGGTATATTTTTGTCAGATGTTACTATGGTATACTGATGTATAATTACAAGCATTCCATAAGTGTCATAGGCTTTTATTGACAATTACATTAAGTATATGCAAAGAGTCAATATTTGCAGTGTTGACCCATCTTTTTCAAGACCTCTGCAATCCACCCTGACATGCTGTCAATTAACTTCTGGGCCACATCCTGACTGATGGCAGCCCATTCTTGCATAATCAATGCTTGGAGTTTGTCAGAATTTGTGGGGTTTTGTCTGTCCATCCGCCTCGAGGATCGACCACAAGTTCTCAATGGGATTAAGGTCTGGGGAGTTTCCTGGCCATGTACCCAAAATGTCGATGTTTTGTTCCCCGAGACACTTAGTTATCACTTTTGCCTTATGGCAAGGTGCTCCATCATGCTGGAAAAGGCATTGGTCGTCACCAAACTGTTCTTGGATGGTTGTGAGAAGTTGCTCTCGGAGGATGTGTTGGTACCATTCTTTATTCATGGCTGTGTTCTTAGGCAAAATTGTGAGTGAGCCCACTCCCTTGGCTGAGAAGCAACCCCACACATGAATGGTCTCAGGATGCTTTACTGTTGGCATGACACAGGACTGATGGTAGCGCTCACCTTGTCTTCTCCGGACAAGGTGTTTTCCAGATGCCCCAAACAATCGGAAAGGGGATTCATCAGAGAAAATGACTTTACCCCAGTCCTCAGCAGTCCAATCCCTGTACCCTTTGCAGAATATCAGTCTGTCCCTGATGTTTTTCCTGGAGAGAAGTGGCTTCTTTGCTGCCCTTCTTGACACCAGGCCATCCTCCAAAAGTCTTCGCCTCACTGTGCGTGCAGATGCACTCACACCTGCCTGCTGCCATTCCTGAGCAAGCTCTGCACTGGTGGTGCCCCGATCCCACAGCTGAATCAACTTTAGGAGACGGTCCTGGCACTTGCTGGACTTTCTTGGGCGCCCTGACGCCTTCTTCACAACAATTGAACCTCTCTCCTTGAAGTTCTTGATGATCCGATAAATGGTTGATTTAGGTGCAATCTTACTAGCAGCAATATCCTTGCCTGTGAAGCCCTTTTTGTGCAAAGCAATGATGACGGCACGTGTTTCCTTGCAGGTAACCATGGTTAACAGAGGAAGAACAATGATTTCAAGCACCACCCTCCTTTTAAAGCTTCCAGTCTGTTATTCTAACTCAATCAGCATGACAGAGTGATCTCCAGCCTTGTCCTCGTCAACACTCTCACCTGTGTTAACGAGAGAATCACTGATATGATGGCAGCTGGTCCTTTTGTGGCAGGGCTGAAATGCAGTGGAAATGTTTTTTTGGGGGATTAAGTTCATTTTCATGGCAAATAGGGACTTTGCAATTAATTGCAATTCATCTTATCACTCTTCATGACATTCTGGAGTATATGCAAATTGCCATCATCAAAACTGAGGCAGCAGACTTTGTGAAAATTAGTATTTGTGTCATTCTCAAAACTTTTGACCACGACTGTACTGAAAGGCCTCTAGTAATATCTGCATCTGCCAGTAGCAGAACTACGGGGAATGTCTTTGTCCAGATATGTCTGAGCATAACTGATGATTGCACAAGTCTATCTTTACATTCTTGGGGTGTCAGTGTCCAGTTGATTGATACAGTATCTCTGGAGCAAGACTGATGCTTTAAAGAGCAACCATGTAATAATTGTTAGAGAGGTGTATGTTTTCTTTTAGCTGGATGTGCTAACCAGTCTTCTCCAATTTCACTGTTAGGATGCACAGAAAGACTGTTGTCTACAGAGAAATCCATGTGGGTTGCCCTTAGAGTTATGTGCCACAAAAAAAGGTAAAAAGCATATCATATGGACAGTGACTCGTAGCCCAAAGTATCAGTTACAACTGCATTTCTTCACAACACAAGCCCTTCCATCTCAACTGACTGCATTCTTCACCATGCCTGTTGCATGTTCATGTGTATTTGGGGTGATGCTTTCTGGGTCACCCTGAAATATGCCTATAGTAGGGCAATGGACAGGAATAGCATGAGCTCATATTATATGTATGAGATGAATTGGTGGTAAAGCAAGGATTCTAGAACATTGGGTTCACAATAGCCTCATTTAAACCTTGTGCTAACATGTGAGTTTCATGATCTGATCAGTATGATCCAATCACTCTTATTAAGGTTAGTCAAGTCTACTAGAGCTGGGACGATAAACTGAAAATGATCAAAACCGACCATTTATCGAGGACATTTTACTGATATGGATAACAACAATAAGTAGCCTTTACTAGAGAAATGTGAAGTTTGAAATGAAATAGGTCTAAGTCTGCTAATATAGTCTATTGCTAACGGGACAATTGATAAGTCAAAGTTGTAGGAGTAGTTGAAAGGGTCAAATAATTACTGGTGATTATTAAGCTTTTCTTTCATTACTGATGCCATAAGTACATTGTGCTACCTGTCAATGATTTTAGAGGCCGGTATAATAATTTAAATGGTTTGACCATCCATATCTGCTTTCACTAGATTGATATCCAGACACAATGCGTGCCTGGTCAGGAAGATCTGATCACAATCAGATCACAATGTGTATTTTAATAGTCTACACCAGTCTGAAAATGTGGGCACAATCAGAATGTGGACAAGATCAGGACAACGGGCACATGTTAGTACCAGGTATAAACAGGGCTATAGACCAGAGCAGTCTGGATTGCGAGGACCCCACTTCACCATGATGCTCCTCCCTCCCCATACACCTCTAACACTGTCTTCCTTGCTGTCCCAGGATCACACCAGAAATGTAATGACAGTTCAACCAAGATCCCATTTGGCTAAACAATTTGCTATGATGATCATGTGCTTTGAAAATGTTTATACCCGTATGTCTCAAATCACAGGGCACCTATACATTTTGTGAGTGTGTTAGCACGAGGTTCTGTCTCTGCTGCTGCATGTGCCTGCTTAACTGATTGTCGATGCATTGTGGCATTCTTTCTATATGGTGGATCTGCTGCTGTGGCATGATTGTGGGTAATATTGCACCTTCTCACTAACATTTCAGTACTCAGTGGTCCATTACAGTCATAGTTCTACACAGTTTTGAAACAGGGAAAAGGTACACACATCATTAGCATGAATAATCCTAAAATCAATCATCTTAACTCTACAGTATGTTCCTACTTTCCAAAGCATATTTTTACAAATATCTACAGATTTTTCATCGGAGGCTTCAACAAATAACTCCCAACTGAACCTAAATAGTATTGTCTACATGCTCAATAACATTCAATGCCTCATTTACAGCTCAGGAAGTGATTGACTTTCAAAATACACTACATATACAAAAGTATGTGGACACCCCTTCAAATTAGTGGATTCGGCTATTTCAGCCACACCTGTTGCAGACAGGTGTATAAAATCGAGCAAACAGCCATGCAATCTCCATAGACAAACATTGGCAGTAAAATGGCTTTACTGAAGAGCTCAGTGACTTTCAACGTGGCACCGTCATAGGATGCCACCTTTCCAACAAGTCAGTTTGTCACATTTCTGCCCTGCTAGAGCTGCCCCGGTCAACTGTAAGTGCTTTTATTGTGAAGTGGAAACGTCTAGGAGCAACAACGGCTCAGCCGTGAAGTGGTAGGCCACACAAGCTCACAGAACGGGGACGCTGAAGCGCGTAGCGCGTACAAATCGCCTGTCCTCGGTTGCAACACTCACTACCGAGTTCCAAACTGCCTCTGGAAGCAACGTCAGCACAAGAACTGTTCGTCGGGAGCTTCATGAAATGGGTTTCCATGGCCGAGCAGCCGCACACAAGCCTAAGATCACCATGCGCAATGCCAAGCGTCGGCTGGAGTGGTGTAAAGCTCACCGCCATTGGACTCTGGAGCAGTGGAAACGCGTTCTCTGGAGTGATGAATCATGCTTCACCATCTGGCAGTCCGACGGACGAATCTGGGTTTGGCGGATGCCAGGAGAACGCTACCTACCCGAAAGCATAGTGCCAACTGTAAAGTTTGGTTGAGGAGGAATAATGGTCTGGGGCTGTTTTTCATGGTTCGGGCTAGGCCCCTTAGTTCCAGTGAAGGGAAATCTTAACGCTACAGCATACAATGACATTCTAGGCGATTCTGTGCTTCCAACTTTGTGGCAACAGTTTGGGGAAGGCCCTTTCCTGTTTCAGCATGACAATGCCCCCGTGCACAAAGCGAGGTCCATATAGAAATGATTTGTCGAGATCGGTGTGGGAAGAACTTGACTGGCCTGCACAGAGCCCTGACCTTAACCCCATCGAACACCTTTGGGATTAATTGGAATGCCGACTGCGAGCAGGCCTAATCGCCCAACATCAGTGCCCGATCTCATTAATGCGCTTGTGGCTGAATGGACGCAAGTCCCCGCAGCAATGTCCCAACATCTAGTGGAATACCTTCCCAGAAGAGTGGAGGCTGTTATTAGCAGCAAAGGGGGGACCAACTCCATATTAATTCCCACGATTTTGGAATGAGATGTTCGACGAGGTGTCCACATACTTTTGGCCATGTAGTGTATATCATAATAAACATATGACACATTAAGATAGCAGATACATTAACACAAGACTCATCATTTGCATGATCAGTCAATGTGGTAGAAATGCAATACTATGGAAGGCAAATACCTCTGCTGTGTATTGGCTGCTGCGGATGATTGCATGAGAAAATAACATAAAAAATGAAACACTATGTAGTTAGAAGCACTAAAACAATAGTTTTTCTGTTCACAAAAAAGGAATATATACATTTATATCTATGTAACATGTTAAATAATAATGAAAAAGTGTATCCTGAATGTGCATGTCCTCAGTGTGAAGAGGATACTAGAGAATTGCCCCATGGTAGGCCTGACCCCAGCTCTACATACAATATAATCAACGGACATCTTCCATTCAGCTTCTCCCTTCACATACAGTAGTAAATTGAGCACAATTTCATACTGCCTACTTTGGCACATCACCTTACAGTGATACAAGTTTGCCCTGCAATTGATATACATAAATATACTTAAGTATAGGCAATAATTACAGTGGACTATAATGTAACACATTCTGTATGATAAAACAGACAATGATTGGGGTCTCTACTGTAATCAAAGCGCAATTGGTATACAGACTTAAGAGTATTGCAGCTGCTGAAGCACTGCTATAATTCTATTTCGGCTGTATGTGTGTGGTTCTGGAGACTGTAGACTGTGTCATGGTGCAACCCACCTGCGTACCCCAGAGTGGGAGATGGGGCACATGGATCTATCAGGAGTTAAGCCAAATCGGCAACATGGGGGCGCTGGAGTTACCACATTATGGAACCCGCATGAAACCAGCTCCAATCTGAAGCCCCAGTCCAGGACACACACTCTGTATATCCATATATGGTATTAAAGACATATATGATAAATAAAAACTTTAAAAATATGCAACTCAGAAACAGTCCAAGTCTCTTTCTTTAGGAGTCTCTTCCTATTGTTGGCCAGAGTTTTGTTTGTGTGCTGTGCATGCATGTTCCTTGCTTAAATAAGATGCTTCTTAAAAAGGCCTTTCTCCATTGTATCATTGTCTGAAAAAAAAAAGAGGCATTGCCTCTGCCTGTTGTTATTTTTGTTGATTCAGGTATATTGATGGTGTTGCTTTATAAAGACTGGTTCGTAGCACCAAAGGTTTTCAATGCTGTATAGATGTGGTAAAGAGATCAATGGAATTTGACCAAAACATCAGAAACACCATGCACACAAGATTCAGAATCTCCTCATTGTCGCCCATCAAAATTAGCCTACATTTATGCTATTGTTTATATGTGTATTTCACACAATGTTGGGGTAGAATTAAGCAATAAGGCCCGAGGGTGTGTGGTATTTGTCCAATATACCACGGCTAAGGGCTGTTCTTATTCCCGACGCAACGCGGAGTGCCTGGACACAGCCCTTAGCCGTGGTATATTGGCCATATATCACAAACCCCCGAGGTGCCTTATTGCTATTATAAACTGGTTACCAACGTAATTAGAGCAGTTCAAATAAATTGTTGTCTTACCTGTGGTATACTGTCTGATATACCATGGCTCTTAGCCAATCAGCATTCAGGTCTCAAACCACCCAGTTTATAATTCGGAGTATAATGCTTTTATGGATGTCATGTTTATGTTATTGTCACCAAGCATTACACTTAAAAACGGCTTCAATTACCGCCAACGATTTCTATGACTTGCTTTACTACCAGCTTATACGAACAGAAGTTAGCATTTAGCAGACATTTATATATTATGAAGCGAAAACTGCCAAATATATCCAAATCTGATTTTAGTAACCACATTGTGGGCCTGTTAGAACACATAAACTCCTGATGGATTTGACGAATATCCAATTTGTTAGATCAGCTTTTTTGAATAGGCGCCAATGACAGCGTCCTTGCGCTTTCCCCCACGTTACATTGACCTCTTTACTGCATGTATTCTCTCATTCTTCTTCCTGTCTCTATTTAGAGCTTTGAAAGCCTACGATCAGCATCTCACTCTCACATCTTTAAATTATTCTCTTGTCATCTCAATCTTCATTTCTTGAATTTCTCTTTCTGCAGTTTTTCCCTTTCCTCATCACCTTTGTCCTTTCTCAATTTCATCCTCCTACTTTGGGTTGAAAACCCCAGGCTCCAGCTTGGTGCTGCCACTGCGGCCCCAGCAGCCTGCTGCAATGCTCATGCTGCGCTGGGCTGGTCCCGGGCCGTGCTGGCTGTGGCTGTCTGACTGGCTCTTTGTGCGCTCTGGTCTACTGTGGCCGCTGCCAGTGGGCAAGCTGGAGGCCGGCTGGGCGGAGATGGTGCGCAGCAGGTGGTTCCGCTTCCGCAGGAAGTCGCTGTTTGCACCCACACCAAAGCTGCCTTTCCGTAGGACCATGCGGGCACTGCTGGTCTTTGCTGGCCGGGAGCGCTGGTTGTACTCCAGCTGAGAGAGGTGGGTCGCATAGCCCTCTGTAATGAACTGTTGGGACAGGCAGGGGAAAGAGACAGTCATATAATGTAATGAAGTGCTGAATATGGTAAACCAGGACTAAACTAAAAAGTCAGTGCTTGTGTATCGTACCTGGCACTGAGCTTGCATCTTCTTGGAGGGTCGGCCAATGATGTAGATCTGGGAGGGAGAGAGGCCGATGGAGGTGTAGACCGCGATGTCTTTGGTAGAACCGTAACAAGCAAAGATCTTCATGTGAGCCTGTGGAACCAGCAATGAAAGTGTCATCTACAAATTCTGACCAAGAAAACGTATTTACTTGAAAATCTCTCAATCTTTTTGTCTGCCCCATCTCTTCCTTCATCCCTTCATTGTCCACCTATCATGTATTTTGCACCATTCCCCTCAGCCCTCACCTACTTCTGAACCTACCCCCAGCCCCTGTTACCCACCCCAGTACCCTCAACAAACCCACCACCCAACCCCCACTCCCACTCCCATCCTGACCTCCATGAGTGACTTGAGGAAGTTGGCCTTGTGTCTGAGTGGGTCGTGGACCAGGCCATCACAGAAGGAGACAATGCCATGGGGGAAGTTATGCTGAGACAGCCAGGCCACCACTCTCTGCTTCTGCATGTCTGGACGCCCCGTCACATAGACGATCAGATAGCCCAGGTCCTGCCAGTGCCTGGAAAGAAATCAAACAGTATAAGAAAGAGTGGAGAGAGTGCAACACAATGGGTTATAGAGACAGAAACAGACATAAATCATTTTGGCAGATGCTTATGACTGTTCAATCCCAAGTGATGCCAGGTGCATGTTACCTGACCACATCGACTGCTCCGGCTCGCACTTTGGGATCGCTCCCCATGATGGACACGCTGGCAGCGAATGAGCCATCTATACTGAACACAACAAACTCTGTCCCATGGGGAAGCACTGTCAGGTAGCTGTCTGCAAACGTGTGGTCCCCCCTGGCAGTGATAGAAGGACACAAAAAAATTGGAAGATGGAGGAGAAGAGACAGAGACATATGGAAAGAAAAAGAGGCAGAGGAACAGAATAAAAAAAGAAGACAAAAGAGATGTAAGTGTTTTTTGACAGAGTCACCTAAAACCCTCCAAAAACAAAGGTCAGCATTTCTGAAGCCTCAGGACCGGATTGGCTGAAAGAGGCCATAGAAGAGTGTGCCATAGATGCCAGTCTCACCTGACCACCAGTTTGACCGGATAGATGCCAACCCCCAGCCGTTTGCTCTCTGGGATGATGAAGGACACGCGGCCACTGCTGTTGGTCAGCTCCGTGTCAAAGTACACCCAGTCTCCAGACGGGGGCTGGGTCATGATGTGGATGTCCACCTGTAAACATAATATATACTATATATACCATTTAGTAGACGCTTTTATCCAAAGCGACTTACAGTCAAGCGTTTTACGTATGGGTGGTCCTGGGAATCAAACCCATTACCCTGGCGTTACAAGCGCCATGCTCTACCAACTGAGCTACAAAGGACCAGCATAGAGATAGATATACGACCACTTTGAACACAAACACATTGGATATGCACACATACACGTAAAGTATGTTGAACTGAAAACAAATACAGATAAGACTCATGGATGGAGGGATAAGTACATAGGGATAAGGTGGATGGAGGGATAAGTACATAGGGATAAGTACATAGGGATAAGGTGGATGGAGGGATAAGTACATAGGGATAAGGTGGATGGAGGGATATCTACATAAGGATAAGGTGGATGGAGGTATAAGTACATAGGGATAAGGTGGATGGAGGGATATCTACATAAGGATAAGGTGGATGGAGGTATAAGTACATAGGGATAAGTACATAGGGATAAGGTGGATGGATGGAGGGATAACTATATTTGTATGTAGGCCTTTGTGTGTTACAGACCCATTGTTTGCATTGTTCTAATGGGAAATGATCATACTGATTGCTGAGAGAGAGAGAGAGAGAAGAGAGAGAGAAAAAGAGAGAGAGAGCCCACCTTCTCCCCCGTCAGTGTGACCATGTCCAGAGGTCCGTACATGAAGCGGCCAGTCACGATCTGCAGCCCACCTTCTGTGAACACTGCATCATTTACACGATGATTGGCTGTCACATTCTGTCAAAGAAATACACACACATGAATAGATTGAGACACAATTACAGTGTTAGCTAGAGTGAATCTCTTCAAGTGGTCAACACTGTTGTAGCTGCAGCAAGACTGTACCCTGATCTTGACGTGGGTTCTCTTCCTGAGCCACTTCTCCCGGGGTTTAGATGGAGTGAACTCTGACACCTCCTTACCATCCAGCTCCAGTATGCTGGAGTTGTCATGCCGCATAATCTAAAATAAACATATAGATGACAACACACATACTCACCATAGCTACATTAGTGTACATTTTAAAGTGGGCCAGAAGCACAGGCCATGGAAGTTTGTGGGGTGAGCTCACCTGTCGCAGCAGGAAGGACACTACATCAGTGGACTCCCAGTAGGATGCATGAAAGAGGTGCGGTAGTGCCACTGTGGGGAAGGCTGTCAGGGCATCAGGGCAGTACAAGGCAAAGTCCACCCGCTTGGTGCCCCACCAACGGGCTGCGACTGCATGGTGAGAGGGGGTACATGGGTAGGGGTGGGGTGGCATAGTTGCAATGTGAGTAAGGCAGAGGGGCAAAACATCCCAATACACACCACTGGAAAAGTTCAACCATAAACCGTTTGGCTGTATTGAAGGCTGTACTCAATCATAAACCACTATCAAAGCCCAGATAGTCCACAGCAGTTCCTCAGCTATAGGGGAAGTAAGGCAGGAGTTGAAGATTGTTACTCTTGAAATAAATATAGATAAGGAAGATAATCATTATTATGCAATAATTACATTGTTAAAGTTGGTTCAAGACACGAGTCAACGTAAATAGCAACAAACCAGCAGTTATTTGTATTAGTATATGAACTATGAAGAAAAGGGACGATGGGATTATAAAGTCAATGATTTTGCCAAATAAAACTTCACTAAGTGGATTCACACTGGGACTGTCACTGATGAAGTAATGTTTGCCTCCAGAACAGGCTAGGGCACAAATTTCTGAATAACCGTTTTGTTATTGTTTCACTCTATTGAATCTGTTACAATGTCCATAGGGCTCCACCACGTGGCAGTGGTAAAATTGTGTGATGGTTTTGTAAAGAATCTTCAGTATTAATACATTTAGTTGGTGGTGGACTGCTCACAAACTTGCCTTTGTTGAATGGTGTCAACTGTGAGGCAGAGACTGGGAAGTTGGGCAAGTAGCATTCTTGGATGATGGGTATGTTACACTTTTAAAGTCACAATATCATCTCAGTATGTAGAGGGTCTCTCTTACTGGTCTGGTTTGTGAAGTTAATGGGACTGTGCTGTATTCGAAAAACATAGTCCACCAGGGAACATGGTCATCATAGAAACAGAAAGGGAGAAACCGAGACAAGCTGAGAGAAATCTCTGGTAGACAAGAACAATGTTAAAAAGAGATTGATTGTGCAATATATTAGGATTTCACAGAATAAAGTCAGTAGTAGGCTGAGCCTGGATTTGGTACATAGTTGATAGGGTCCAGTGTTTTATAAGAATACCCTGATCCATTTCTGCCTTGGAGTCCAGTGAGACCAGGTCATATATGGCATAATCCAGGCCAGCTGACAAGTGTCTCTAACTGACCAGAGCCACAGGGGCTCACACCTCTGTTGGCGTCTGCGTCTGGGTCTGCCTCTAGGTCTGGTTGTGGCCCGTTTCCTGGATCTGTATCAGTAGTTCCTGGGACTGGGTCACTCCTTTGTTTTCTAGGGGACTTGAGGGGGCTTCTCAGGGAGAATTTGGTTTGTGATGTCAAGGCAATTTGGGACAAAAGGCTGAGTTTTTTGGTTTGGTTAATTTGGCATGCTTGTGTTATGGGAAACAAAACAAAAATAAATCAACCACGTGAAAATGAATGATGGATAATGACAAAGGGAATCGTTTTCATACAGTCGAGTACAATATCTTATAGTGCAGTTAATTCCAGTTAGCAAACACGTGTGAAGTACTTCTGCTACAAGCTGCATTCACAACCTGAAACTGGCTACAAAACAAAGTAATCAATTAAGTGTCCGACTGGTCCTCAGATGAACTGAAAAAGGAAGATTAGAATTATCTTTGACAAAACCCATTTTCGTACTCTTTTTTTCACGACAAAACTTTCCATTTTGTTGCATTTCTGAACAGCGACAAAAGCATTCCATGGCACTTGCTTTTGACAAGCAACAAGCAATTCTTCCAACGACCATGAACTGGAAATGACCTCATCAATGCACTATTACAACTTCCCAACTGAGTAGAACGTTAGTAAATGTTTTGAAAGCCATGTGATGCGTATGTATGTGTTATTGGTCCTTATATAGGACATATCCACTTCAGATAGAGATTACAAGGGAAAGCAAGACTTTGGGAGACATTCTTCTTTACATCAAACACAACAGAAGCTTGGGCATCTGGGTAGACAGTGCGACAGGGAGCGAACGATGCAGGAATGACTCAGCGAAACGGGGTCTCTTTACATGCATTGCAAACACATTAAACAAATGCAGAACTCCTCCTTTGCATTTACATTCAAACAATGGCTCAGAGTAGGACAAACACGCAGTGGCAGGACGTGAGCTTTTGATTCTTCAGTAGAAGTGTATTAATCTTCTGGCACATTGTATTTGAACAATGGATAAGGTCCACTGTATGTCTGTGGTGATGTTACGCTCCCTCTATGATGAAGGGGCTTAGAGCAGTGTAATCCATCACAGGTGTCGTAATGTGTTGGAGCTGAGTTAGCAGGTAACTAAGTAGTTATTCTGTGAATGCAGGCACAACTGGGTCACTACAGAGCCGCTCGGGATCCGGCGCACTGAGTGATGTGTGCAGAGTGTGAGTAAGGAGGGTGAGAATCAGAGAGAGAAAGGATTGGGATGAGAATGAAGTGGAGTAGGACGAGGAAGAGAGAGCAAGAGAGAAAGGAGAGAGGGGGTGAAAGAAAAGAGAAAGAGGAACGAGAGAGAAATAGAGAGAGAGAAAGAGAGAGAGAAATAGAGAGAAAGACTAGAGAAGAGATTGACTGAAAGAGGAGTTGAGATGGAGCAGTGTGTCTGTGTGTGTGTGTGTGAGAGAAAACGAGAAGAGATTGACTTAAAGAGGAGTTGAGATGGAGCAGTGTGAGTGAGAGAGAGAGAGATACTTGTGGTAACGAGAACACTTACTGTTGGCTATGTTGGTGGCAGTGTAACTGTCTGCCATTCCTGAGACCTGGCTGGCAATGCTGCCCTCACTGCCCCTCCGCAGGCCCCGGCAGTGGGGGCCCGTAACAGGGGAGGAGGGGTACGAACTGTCCATGAAGACACCACCATGAGACTGAACAACATCCGCTATTGAGCCGAAACAAGGATATCCCATTAGACATAGACAAGAGGAGAGGAGAGGTGGATGAACAGGGAGGAAACAGGATGAGAAGGAGGGGGTTTGCAACCAAGATATGTGATGGGCCATGGTTTCAGTGGGTGTGAAACCAGCAGGAGCCAACATCAGATTTCTGGGGCAATCAGTGAGTGGTCAAATAGTAGTCTGATGAATAAAACAGCATGTGAAAAGTGACATGTGTGGCAACTTTTACTCTATTGGCTGTCACATTACTATGTCTCAAAATGTTTAATGTCTGTCAAAGGATTAGCTGGATTATTATTAGCATGTATCACTAAGGTGATAACAGTCCATTTAGTATGTGTAATCAACATGTTGTTGTAACAGAAAGGTCAGGAGAAACTATATTGACCACAAGGATACACAAGGATACACAATTACAATGCAAGCGGCAGGGTTCCATGGTTCAAGCAGACATCTGAGCAACACAATCCGTATAGCTTCCAAGCCTCCAATTTGGCAAAATCCCCCACTAGGAGAAGATAGTTCTCTAGTCACAGTGTTATGGTTTATAAGGAGACATTTTCCTATCACCTTTACACACTCCCCAACTCTTGTATTTGTCGTTAAGGAGATGCTGCAGCAGCAAAGAAACCACATCACAACAATGAATGCAGGTAGTGGTACTGTATTTTCATACCATTACAAAGGACATTCATAATTGATGGTAACAGCAAGCACAACACAGCAGAACAAGGACAGACTCTTCCAGGTCAAGGTTTCCTCCAAGTACCTATCTGAATAATTCACTGTGAAAGCCATTGCTGTCTCTCTAAATCACTAAAATGCCAACAACAATGACTATTACATTTTGATTAGCAAAATGACCTCATTTTCGTAGAGATAGTGTAAACAGACAGGCTCTGAGAGCCATGCTAATGAGCTATAATAAAGGTAATGGACTGAATACTGCAGAAACAGGGCTCATGCAGGACATGTTTGACCTGGAACAGCCAGTAATGTGACCCCAACTCATGACTGGGGTAAACATTCTCACAGCATTTTCATGCACCAGTATTGGTAAGGGTGTGAAAACATACACACACAGACACAGTCAGTGTGGAAAGGGAGGGTGCAACTGCAACTAACACAAAAATACACGTGTATGACACAGAGTGAGAGACTTCCCCCCCGAGAGGTGAAGAGGAGACGCTACACACACTCCAGAACAGCAGGTGTGGCCTTGAGGGAGCCCTCCTGCCAGTTTAGCACGGGCACAGGGATGCAGGTCTCGCTGATGGGCTCCTGACAGCGGAAAGAGAGGGGGGGCCCACTATCGAGCAGGAGCTGAGGGTTGCTCTGGACTGTCTCCACTAGAGGGGGAGGTGGGGGGGTCAGAGGAGAGGGGGCAGGGGGGCAGGGGAAGGAGGCCGAGAGAGGAGGGGGAAAAGGAGACAATGAAGACACAGAAAAGACAGCAAAGGCGAGTCAAGCCCAGGAAATACTGCAGTAGCTGTAACTAAGGCAACAACAAGTTCTAGAGTTGAGCTAAAGTGAGCAGTAGAAGGGTAATGCTGGTACTAGATTCTAATTCAGACTCGGCTGGCTCTAACTCACATTTAAATGTACCTCGGCACATACTGATTAACGAACCAAAATGTATCTTTTAAACTTTCTCAATGCTGCACAGTAAACCTGAGGATATGGGCTGACAGCTCATTAGATCAAAACTATCATCATATTACTTAACAATCTATTATATCATATCTAAGATAAAAAGATTCACAGCTAGTAGCCATTCACAACTAGCACTTCCCTTGTTGCTCTTGCTGATTAAAGGATATCCATGAATGGAAAAGAGTATCAGCAAAGGACTGATTGAGTCTCTAGCATTACTTCTTGAATAGCAACTTAGATATCCAGAATAATAGTGTATCATTGAGCCCTACTTAAACAGAAAGGATGCAGTGTAGCCTGTAAGGTTCCTCTACTGTAAGAGCTAGCCAGCCATAACAGAAACTAGCAGCACCATGAAAACATATAGATGAGAACATTGCTTCACAAAGACTTGAAGAACAAACAATAGAACATTTTTCTCAACTTGAAGGCCTTTTCGGCCTCTAACAGCAATCCACAGACCACTGGCAAAAGGTCTGAGACATTCCTTGTGGGAAAGAAAACGAACTACATAATCCATCACTTGTCAGTTTCTACACACCCTGTTACATCACACAGAGTCCCCAATGGTTAATCAAAACACGGGTTATATAACCTATGAATGTAACAAAATATGTAAATTTTTCTTTGCATATGAATGCACAACAGTTATATGCTCATACAGGTACAAGAGTGTGTGTGTGTATGTACAAGTTTCCAGCACTCAATCCAGTGTGCTCACCCAGTAGAGCTGAGTTGCCGTCCCCCAGGGGGAAGCGTGTGTAGCGGGGAACATTGAAAGGGGGCAGGAGGTGGAACTTCTTCTCCAGGAGGGGCTCCAGGCGCGAGGCCGAGGGGTCAGCTGGGTGGAACAGGTTGTAGACCTGCTGGCAGGTAGGGTGCAGCTGGGCCACTAGGGGGAGACAGAGAGTTAACTACTTCACTTGCTTTGGCAATGTTAATGTACTTTTCCCATGCCAATAAAGCCCTTAAATTGAATTGAGTTAACAGGCGTAAAGGGGTTGTCATTAGTTACCACAGCCACAAAGTCAGAAGGCCTGCTTACTCAACCAATCAGATGAGGAAGTGTGATGACACATATGCCGACCGGCTTGCAGGGACAGACAAGAGACATGCATTTGTTTTATCTAGTGATCCATCAATGATTTGGTAATTGATTAGCTATAATAAAACCAACCGTTCTAAATGCAAAGTGGTAATCGGATGTCTTATTCAAACTCAGCTTGCAAGCTTATCTTGATGTTTGCCCTTACTCATAGTTACTTTGTCTTAAACCCAAATATACTGAACCCAAATATAAACGTGTTGGTCCCATGTTTCATGAGATGAAATAAAAGATCCCAGAAATGTTCCATATGCACAAAAAGCTTATTTCTCGCTACTTTTGTGTACACATTTTTGTACATCCCTGTTAGTGAGCATTTCTCCTTTGCCAAGATAATCCATCCACCTGACAGGTGTGGCATATCAAGAAGCTGATTAAACAGCATGATCATTTCACAGGTTATTGCTGGGGACAATAAAGGGCAGTTTTGTCACACAACACAATGCCACAGATGTCTCAAGTTTTGAGGGAGCGTGCAATTGGCATGCTGATTAAAGGAATGTCCACAAGAGCTGCTGCTAGAGAATGTAATGTTCATTTCTCTACCATAAGCCACCTCCAACGTCGTGTTAGAGAATTTGGTAGTACGTCCAACCGGCCTCACAACCACAGACCACTTGTAACCATGCCAGCCCAGGACCTCCACATCTGGCTTCTTCACCTGTGGGATCATCGGAGACCAGCCACCCGGACAGCTGATGAAACTGTGGGTTTGCACAACCCAATAATTTCTGCATAAACTGTCAGCAACCGTCTCAGGGAACTCATCTGTGTGCTCAATGCCCTCACCAGGGTCTTGACCTGACTGCAGCTCGGCGTCGTAACCGACTTCAGTGGGCAAATATTCACCTTCGATGGCCACTGGCACGCTGGAGAAGTGTCCTCTTCAGGGATGAATCCCGGTTTCAACTGTACCGGGCAGAAGGCGTTGTGTGGGCGAGCGGTTTGCTGATGTCAACGTTGTGAGCAGAGTGCCCCATGGTGGTGGTGGGGTTATGGTATGGGCAGGCATAAGCTACGAACACAATTGCATTTTATCGATGGCAATTTGAATACACAGAGATACCGTGACAAGATCCTGAGGCCCATTGTCGTGCCATTCATCCGGCGCCATCACCTCATGTTTCAACATGAGGCGGCAGGTAGCTTAGTGGTTAAGAGCGTTGTGCCAGTAACCGAAAGGTCGCTGGTTCTAATCCCCGAGCCAACTAGGTGAAAAATCTGTCGATGTGCCCTTGAGCAAGGCACTTAACCCTAATTGCTCCTGTAAGTCGCTCTGGATAAGAGCGTCTGCTAAATAACTAAAATGTAAAATGTAAAATGATAATGCACAGCCCCATGTCGCAAGGATCTGTACACAATTCCTGGGAGCTGGAAATGTCCCAGTTCTTCCATGGCCTGCATACTCACCAGATATGTCACCCATTGAGCAACTTTGGGATGCTCTGGATCGAAGTGTACGGCAGCATGTTCCAGTTCCCGCCAATATCCAGCAACTTCGCACAGCCATTGAAGAGTGGGACAACATTCCACATGCCACAATCAACAGACTAATCAACTCTATGCGAAGGCGATGTGTCATGCTGCATGAGGCAAATGGTGGTCACACCAGATACTGACTGGTTTTCTAATCCACCCCCTACTTCTTTTTTAAGGTATCTGTGACCAACAGATGCCTATCTGTATTCCCAGTCATGTGAAATCCATAGATTAGGGCCTAATTCATTTATTTCAATTGACTGATTTCCTTATATGAAATATAACGCAGTAAAATCTTCAAAATATATTATATTTTTGTTCAGTGTAGGTTTACTCAAATATCTGCATCGTTTTTTAAATGGCATGTAAACAAAGAAATGTACATCTTGATTTTAGATTTTTATTTTCAAAATCCACAAGTAAAACATGTTTGAAATTGGCCATTCTTTTGGCTGATTTAAGATGAAAACTTCAACCCTGTTACTTTATTTGACACCTAGGCACTTACTATAGTAATTTATTTATTTAACTTAACATAGCCTTGCAGTCCAGTTTCCATCTCTGTACAAAGGCATGGTCTTCAAGCTATGGAAGGTGACAAAACATTTAATAATAGCAATTGATTGAACTTACATGGCACTTTTCTAGACACCCAAAGCTCTTTACAGTATATTTTTTCCCTGCCAAAGGCTGTGCATCTGTTGAAGGTCAAAAATATGTTATATTACTATTAGATTGAAAGGCTTGTAGGGAAACTAACAACGTTGCTCTATCAAATAGAATAACATTTACATTTTACATTTTAGTCATTTAGCAGACGCTCTTATCCAGAGCGACTTACAGTTAGTGAATACATATTTTTTATTTTTTATATTTTTTTATACTGGTCCCCCGTGGGAAACGAACCCACAACCCTGGCGTTGCAAACGCCATGCTCTATCAACTGAGCTACATCCCTGCCGGCCATTCCCTCCCCTACCCTGGACGACGCTGGGCCAATTGTGCGCCGCCCATGAGTCTCCCGGTCGCGGCCGGCTGCGACAGAGCCTGGATTCGAACCAGGATCTCTAGTGGCACAGTTAGCACTGCGATGCAGTGCCTTAGACCCCTGCGCCACTCAGAATAACTCTGTGCTTGGAATGGAATCCTTTATGCTAGCTAGCTAGCTCATTTTAGACTAGAGTAGCCAAAGTTTGTTACTAGTTATCTAAAAAAGAAAAGACAACTTACACTTTTGCCAAAAAAGTTTGTCCTTTTTCAATGTTATGAATTTTAATGACGTTGCCAATTCTTGTTCCCAAATGTATTTAGTCCGCAAACTTGAACTCGAGATATGCCATTTCGGAAATTAGGCGTTTCCCACGAACCGGAAACGTGTCATCACACTCTCTCATCTGATTGGTCGGGTAGACGGGCCTTTTAAACCGGCATACGCGTCATCACATTCCCTCATCTGATTGGTAGAGTAGGCGGGCCTTCTGACTTTGTGGCTGTGGTAACTAGTGACGACCGTATAAAGGAGAAGAAGGGGGTTTCAAGGAGATAAGACCCCACAGTACCTCCTACGTTTTCACCACCCAATTCATAGCACAACACTTTTAAATGTTAAATAACACATTTTTAAGGTGCTTTATTCATTTTACCTCTGTTTAGGTGGGCTTACCATCCAGCACAGGAATGACAGTCTTCCTCAGGGCGAGGACAAGGCCCAGAGGAGAGCCGAAGAGGAAGAAGTCTGCCACCTCAAAGTCAAACTTCCCCAGAGAGCCTGCATCCTGGAAGGTGCTGCTGCTGGACCTGCGTGAGTATGGGTCGGTCCGCAGAACACTGGAGTGAAGGCTGAGTGGACAACAAACAGTCAGAGTCACAAGGAGGGAAGCACACCCACATCCACATGTACTGTATACACACAAACACAGCACACAGTAAGAGAAACCGAGACCCATGTAGGTAAACGATTATAGCAACCCATGACTAGGGCTGTGGAGGTCACAAAATTTCATCAGCCGGTGATTGTCAAGCAAATAACTGTCGGTCTCACATTTAGCATCTCCTGGCTTCCACACATAGCCTACAAGCCACTGACGCAGACCTTTGGAACATCTACATTTAAAAAAAGTAATACATTCATGTAATATAGCCTACAATAAATGCATTATTTATTTTAGACAGGTCTAAAGAAGCATGATATGAAGAAAATGTAGTCTATTTCAGAAGAACAGAATAGCATACTCTTGAGTTGTCCTTATTTTAGGTCCTGATCTGGCTATGCCAAATGGCTGTGGGCTACACTAGTTCATTTAGCAAAAAATATTTTCTTAGAATTCCATGGCATTATTTTATAGCATGAAGAATACAACTGAACAAAGCTGAATATTTTCTCCAAACAATTTGAGGGAGTGCCGCACATGCAGCTATTCTGTGTTGAGCGGTCAACAAAGAAATAGGTATTCCTATATGCTTAATTTAGAGTTATTAATGTAACTTTAGTTGTTCTACAAACGTTGGGCTATATGTTTTGATTTTTAATACATTCTCAGGCTGCATGATGCGACTCTAATGATGATTTGAAAAAAGTTGCTTGAAAGGCATGAGCTCTGCTTTGTTTTTTGTACAGGCTGTACACACTACACCAGTCACTCATTCACAATTTGACAAGCACTTGATAATGCCTTGAATTTCACGGCGGCATCCCCTTTATGTGGCTGTAATGCACCCTAAAAAAATCCTTGCCTTTTGCAGCCATTGGCCGTTGTGCCCTTCTCCCTGAGTGCTGTGCGCTCCATCACATGATCAGGTCTTTCTCACAGGCTACAAGTGAAGACAGACACATCGGGGACGCAACTGCGCGCGTCCTTATCCAATTCCGAGGTGCATATTGAAGATATTGGAAGAACTGTCCACATTTACTTTTCGTCAGCCAACAAGATGAGTAGGCCTAACGAACAGCAAACGCACTAGCCTATGTCAATCTACTATCCCCCATAGTACAAAAGTCGACCTCTTCTAATCTGTGCGAGAAATAAATATTCCAAACATAGTCTGGGACAGTTGTGGGATGCGATAGATCCCAAATTAATACAACCACTAGCATCCAAAATTTTTTTAATGCAATGTGCTTACGCAACAGATCAGAACGTTTAGCTTAAAATGATAAATTATAGGGCTATTTTCTTCACATTATAAGCACAGCAATGCGCACATGGTAGTAGGCTATAAGTGACCGCAAATGCAATTCTGCATGTAATGCTTTTATTATAAAGGTGCATTTTTATGGTGCAAATTATCTTCCCCAAAATTGAAACTCACGCGCTGCTTATGCCAGTAATGCTCTACACCCCTTGTAAAGCGGATTAATGTGCTTAATTTTAAGAAGTTATTTGGCCACTTTAGTTGTGATACAAACCTTATTAAAACATATAGGCCTATGGGCTAGGCTACATGAGGTGTGCGACTATGATTCGAAAAAGTCACAGAAAAGGCATTGTTTCTTATGCTGTGCATCATTCACAAGTGATAATATATCATTCACAAGTGATAGGCTAATATTGTCACCCATCAGACTATTCTTGATGTAATCTTGTCTTTACATATACTAAATAATATACAGTGGGGGAAAAAAGTATTTAGTCAGCCACCAATTGTGCAAGTTCTCCCACTTAAAAAGATGAGAGAGGCCTGTAATTTTCATCATAGGTTGAGAAGAAAAAAATCCAGAAAATCACATTGTAGGATTTTTTATGAATTTATTTGCAAATTATGGTAGAAAATAAGTATTTGGTCACCTACAAACAAGCAAGATTTCTGGCTCTCACAGACCTGTAACTTCTTCTTTAAGAGGCTCCTCTGTCCTCCACTCGTTACCTGTATTAATGGCACCTGTTTGAACTTGTTATCAGTATAAAAGACACCTGTCCACAACCTCAAACAGTCACACTCCAAACTCCACTATGGCCAAGACCAAAGAGCTGTCAAAGGACACCAGAAACAAAATTGTAGACCTGCACCAGGCTGGGAAGACTGAATCTGCAATAGGTAAGCAGCTTGATTTGAAGAAATCAACTGTGGGAGCAATTATTAGGAAATGGAAGACATACAAGACCACTGATAATCTCCCTCGATCTGGGGCTCCACGCAAGATCTCACCCCGTGGGGTCAAAATGATCACAAGAACGGTGAGCAAAAATCCCAGAACCACACGGGGGGACCTAGTGAATGACCTGCAGAGAGCTGGGACCAAAGTAACAAAGCCTACCATCAGTAACACACTACGCCGCCAGGGACTCAAATCCTGCAGTGCCAGACGTGTCCCCCTGCTTAAGCCAGTACATGTCCAGGCCCGTCTGAAGTTTGCTAGAGTGCATTTGGATGATCCAGAAGAGGATTGGGAGAATGTCATATGGTCAGATGAAACCAAAATAGAACTTTTTGGTAAAAACTCAACTCGTCGTGTTTGGAGGACAAAGAATGCTGAGTTGCATCCAAAGAACACCATACCTACTGTGAAGCATGGGGGTGGAAACATCTTGCTTTGGGGCTGTTTTTCTGCAAAGGGACCAGGACGACTGATCCGTGTAAAGGAAAGAATGAATGGGGCCATGTATCGTGCGATTTTGAGTGAAAACCTCCTTCCATCAGCAAGGGCATTAAAGATGAAACGTGGCTGGGTCTTTCAGCATGACAATGATCCCAAACACACCGCCCGGGCAACGAAGGAGTGGCTTCGTAAGAAGCATTTCAAGGTCCTGGAGTGGCCTAGCCAGTCTCTAGATCTCAACCCCATAGAAAATCTTTGGAGGGAGTTGAAAGTCCGTGTTGCCCAGCGACAGCCCCAAAACATCACTGCTCTAGAGGAGATATGCATGGAGGAATGGGCCAAAATACCAGCAACAGTGTGTGAAAACCTTGTGAAGACTTACAGAAAACGTTTGACCTGTGTCATTGCCAACAAAGGGTATATAACAAAGTATTGAGAAACTTTTGTTATTGACCAAATACTTATTTTCCACCATAATTTGCAAATAAATTCATTAAAAATCCTACAATGTGATTTTCTGGATTTTTTTTTCTCATTTTGTCTCTCATAGTTGACGTGTACCTATGATGAAAATTACAGGCCACTCTCATCTTTTTAAGTGGGAGAACTTGCACAATTGGTGGCTGACTAAATACTTTTTTCCCCCACTGTATATGTGTGAAATTTGTTTTGATTTAGAATGGACCATTATCATGCACCTGTATCGAAACAGGGGCAGCGGGAAAAAATACATGTCATCTATGCACTTAAATAGCGAATGGAGGACGCTTTTCCCCGTGGTTTATTTTCATGCCAGCCAGGTAGGCTATACATCTGTTGTACAGTGGCTTGCGAAAGTATTCACCCCCCTTGGCATTTTCCCATTTAGTTGCCTTACAACCTGGAATTAAAATGGATTTTTTGGGGGTTTGTATCATTTGATTTACACAACATGCCTACCACTTTGAAGATGCAAAATAATTTTTTGGGTGAAACAAACAAGAAATAAGACAAAAAAACTGAAAACTTGAGCGTGCATAACTATTCACCCCCCCAAAGTCAATACTTTGTAGAGACACCTTTTGCAGCAATTACAGCTGCAAGTCTCTTGGGGTATGTCTCTATAAGCTTGGCACATTTAGCCATTGGGATTTTTGCCCATTCTTCAAGGCAAAACTGCTCCAGCTCCTTCAAGTTGGATGGGTTCCGCTGGTGTACAGCAATCTTTAAGTCATACCACAGATTCTCAATTGGATTGAGGTCTGGGCTTTGACTAGGCCATTCCAAGACATTTAAATGTTTCCCCTTAAACCACTCGAATGTTGTGTTAGCAGTATGCTTAGGGTCATTGTCCTGCTGGAAGGTGAACCTCTGTCCCAGTCTCAATTCTCTGGAAGATTTAAACAGGTTTCCCTCAAGAACGTCCCTGTATTTAGCGCCATCCATCATTGTTCAATTCTGACCAGTTTCCCAGTCCCTGCTGACAAAAAACATCACCACAGCATGATGCTGCCACCACCATGCTTCACTGTGGGGATGGTGTTCTCGGAGTGATGAGAGGTGTTGGGTTTGCGCCAGACATAGCGTTTTCCTTGATGGCCAAAAAGCTCAATTTTAGTCTCATACTTTCTTCCATATGTTTGGGGAGTCTCCCACATGCCTTTTGGCGAACACCAAACGTGTTTGCTTATTTTTTTCTTTAAGCAATGGCTTTTTTCTGGCCACAGCTCTGTGGAGTGTACGGCTTAAAGTAGTCCTATGGTGTCACGCCCTGACTCAGGGGACTCTTGTATGTTGAGTCAGGGTGTGGATTTTCTATGTTGTGTATAGCTATGTGTATGATCTAGTATGTATAGATCTATGTTGGCCGGTGTGGTTCCCAATCAGAGGCAGCTGTCGCTCGTTGTCTCTGATTGGGGATCATACTTAGGCAGCCTATAGGCACTGTTTAGTTGTGGGATCTTGTTCCGTGTTTAGGCTTGTTTTGTGTTAGCCTTTGGACTTCACGTGTCGTTGGTTTGTTGTTTTGTCGTGTGTTTAGCATTTAAAAAACATGTATGCATATCACGCTGCGCCTTGGTCTGATCCGTCCTTCAACGAACGTGACAGAAGATCCCACCAAACACGGACCAAGCAGCGTGCCCAGGAGGACCGAACACCCTGGACACAGGTGGGGAAGATTTGGTCATGGGAGGAGATATTTGCGGGGAAAGGACCATGGGCGAAGGTAGATGCCCAGGCAGGAGAGGAGCAACGTCAACACAGAGGACGCCGGTCGAGGAGGAAGCCCGAGAAGCAGCCCCAAGAAAAATGTTTGGGGGGGCACACGGGGTGGTTGGTGGAGCCTAGTTTCAGAGCAGAGCCAACTCCCTGTACTCACGCCAGGAAGCGTGTGACTGGGCAGGCTCCGTGTTATGCGGAGCTACGTACTGTGTCGCCAGTGCGCCGGGACAGTCCTGTACGTCCTGTGCTAGCACCACGCACGTGCCGTGCGAAGATGGGCATCCAGCCAGGACGGGGTGTGCCGGCTCAACGCTTCTGGTCTCCAGTACGCCTCCTCGGTCCCGCATATCCTGCGCCGGTTCTACACACTGTATCGCCAGTGCGCGTGCACAGCCCAGTGCGTCCTGTGCTAATGCCTCACACATAATGTGCGGAAGTAGGCATCCAGCCAGGATGGGTTGTGCCAGCTCTCCGCTCCAGACCTCCAGTCCGCCTCCACAGTCCGGTACGGCCCGTGCCTGCTCCCCGCACCAAACCTGTGGTGCGTGTCGCCAGTCCGGTACGGCCCGTGTTTGCTCCCTGCACCAAGCCAGTGGTGTGTGTCGTCAGCCCGGTACGGCCCGTTCCTGCTCCTCGCACCAAGCCAGTGGTGCGTGTTCCCAGTCCGGCCCGGCCCGTTCCTGCTCCTCGCACCAAGCCAGTGGTGCGTGTTCCCAGTCCGGCCCGGCCTGTTCCCGCTCCTCGCACCAAGCCAGTGGTGCGTGTCGCCAGTCCGGCCCGGCCCGTTCCTGCTCCTCGCACCAAGCCAGTGGTGCGTGTTCCCAGTCCGGCCCGGCATGTTCCTGCTCCTCGCACCAAGCCAGTGGTGCGTGTGTCCAGTCCGGCCCGTGCCCGTTCCGCCAGAGCAGTCCGCTCCACCGGGGTCAAGTCCAGCTCCTGTCAGCTGCTCCACTCCGGAGCCAGAGCAGTCCGCTCCACTGGTGCCTAGTCCAGCTCCGGTCAGCTGCTCCACTCCGGAGCCAGAGCAGTCCGTTCCACCGGTGCCTAGTCCAGCTCCGGTCAGCAGCTCCAGTCCAGACCCAGACGTCAGCCCCTCTCCAGGTTCAGGGTGTCCCACACCGGGGTCCATACAGGGCTTGGAGTATCGTGAGAGGAAGGAGAGGGGAAGCAGCGCGCCGAGGTCCAGACCAGACCAGGGGCGCAACAGGGAGGCGGAGAGTATGTGGTCGTCACGCCCGCAGCTGGATCCGCCCACCCGGCCCCTACCCTGTTAAGTAAAGTTTGTGCGGTCGGAGTCCGCACCTTTGGGGGGGGGGGGGGGGGGGGGTACTGTCACACCCTGACTCAGGGGACTCTTGTATGTTGAGTCAGGGTGTGGATTTTCTATGTTGTGTATAGCTATGTGTATGATCTAGTATGTATAGATCTATGTTGGCCGGTGTGGTTCCCAATCAGAGGCAACTGTCGCTCGTTGTCTCTGATTGGGGATCATACTTAGGCAGCCTATTGGCACTGTTTAGTTGTGGGATCTTGTTCCGTGTTTAGGCTTGTTTTGTGTTAGCCTTTGGACTTCACGTGTCGTTGGTTTGTTGTTTTGTTGTGTGTTTAGCATTTAATAAACATGTATGCATATCACGCTGCGCCTTGGTCTGATCCGTCCTTCAACGAACGTGACATATGGACAGATACTCCAATCTCCGCTGTGGAGCTTTGCAGCTCCTTCAGAGATATCTTTGGTCTCTTAGTTGCCTCTCTGATTAATGCCCTCCTTGCCTGGTTTGTGAGTTTTGGTGGGCGGCCCTCTCTTGGCAGGTTTGTTGTGGTGCCATATTCTTTCAATTTTTTAATAATGGATTTAATGGTGCTCCGTGGGAAGTTCAAAGTTTCTGATATTTTTTTATAACCCAACCCTGATCTGTACTTCTCCACAACTTTGTCCCTGACCTGTTTGGAGAGCTCCTTGGTCTTCATGGTGCCGCTTGCTTGGTTGTGCCCCTTGCTTAGTGGTGTTGCAGACTCTGGGGCTTTTCAGAACAGGTGTATATATACTGAGATCATGTGACAGATCATGTGACACTTAGATTGTACACAGGTGGACTTGATTTAACTAATTATGTGACTTCTGAAGGTAATTGGTTGCACCAGATCTTAAAACAAGTTATTTTTTAAATTTCACTTCACCAATTTGGACTATTTTGTGTATGTTCATTACATGAAATCCAAATAAAAATCCATTTAAATTACAGGTTGTATTGCAACAAAATAGGAAAAACGCCAAGGGGGATGAATACTTTTGCAAGGCACTGTAAATATAAGCAATGTGCTTAATATTAGAAAAATTGAGAAATAAATATAGTAGGCCTAGCCTATAGAAAGCTGATGGGATCGAACAGAGTGATGGCTGATTATTTGCGGCCATCACTCTGTTTTCTCCCTCAATTGCATAGCCTATAGAAATGTTGCGCAACATGAGCACATGGGCTCTCATGAAGTGTTTGATTCGATTTTCGAATACATTTGCATTGAATCGGCTTCCTATTTCGCAACAAAGCCTCCTTCACTCATGCTGCCAAACATGCCCTCTTAAAACTGACTATCCTACCGATCCTTGACTTCGGCGATGTCATTTACAAAATAGCCTCCAACCCTCTACTCAGCAAATTGGATGTAGTCTATCACAGTGCCATCTGTTTTGTCACCAAAGCCCCATATACTACCCACCATTGTGACCTGTACGCTCTTGTTGGCTGGCCCTCACTACATATTCCTTGCCAAACCCACTGGCTCCAGGTCATCTATAAATCACTGCTAGGCAAATCCCCGTCTTATCTTAGCTCACTGGTCACCATAGCAACACCCACCTGTAGTCTGCGCTCCAGCAGGTATATCTCACTGGTCATCCCCAAAGCCAACACCTCCTTTGGCCGCCATTCCTTCCAGTTCTCTGCTGCTAATGACTGGAACGAACTGCAAAAATCTCTGAAGCTGGAGACTCTTATCTCCCTCACTAACTTTAAGCGTCAGTTGTCAGAGCAGCTTACCGATCACTGCACCTGTACACAGCCATTCTGAAATTAGCCCACCCAACTACCTCATCCCCATATTGTTATTTATTTTTGCTAATTTGCACCCCAGTATCTCTATTTGCACATCATCTGTTGCACATCTATTATTCCAGTGTTAATACAAAATTTTAACTATTTTGCACTATGGCCTATTTATTGCCTTACCTCCATAACTTACTACATTCGCACACACTGTATATATATTTTCTGTTGTATTTTTGACTTTATGTTTTGTTTACACCATATGTAACTCTGTGTTGTTGTTTTTATCGCACTGCTTTGCTTTATCTTGGCCAGGTCGCAGTTGTAAATGAGAACTTGTTCTCAACTGGCTTACCTGGTTAAATAAAGGTGAAATAAATAAATAAAATGTCAGAGTGATTAGAGGGACAATAGAGTGCTGAGTACCAGGCAGTTAGCAAGTTTGGTAGGCAACTAATGACCATCAGCTGCATCAGAGCTTGGAGAAGCCTAATTACCGTGACTAAACGGTCATGTGGAATTTGACTGCCTTCATGTCTTGTGACCGCCCGTGTGGCGGCCATACCCATTACTCTACAATATCACATGCATAGCCATATACCCTTCTCAGTACAGTGAAAGTAACAATATTAACCATCAGCTACATCAATGATGTAATGTAACTGTAGTAATGTAACCCCCCGTCACACCTGGTCAGGAAGGCCTGATGGTGTTTGATGGTGTCCAACTCATATGTGGAGGAGTCGCTCGTCTTGCGGGGCAGCTCTCTCTTGGGGTCGTCTGGTCCTCCTGAGCGGGGGATGTCAATGTTGCTGCGGCTCAGGTGGCGGCTGCCCTCCAGGGTGGGAGAGGCAGAGCCGTGCCCACTGTTGATGATGATACCTGGGGAGAGGAGGTCCTGGTCCTGCAGGGAGGTATGGGAGGAAGGACAGAGATTGCAGAATGTATAGTGAAATGACCGATAAGTAAACGGCACCAGAACTAGGATGGGCGCTGGATAAGTGTCCTTTCTTAGAGGAGAAATGTGGTGGTGAAATAGTGGAGGGCTGTATTTAGGGTGAATAAGAGCTTCTGGGTGAGTGTCTGGGATTTGGGGGAGGGGCAAAACTTAGGAACAGGGAGAGTAGCTAAGCTTTAAGGTTTGGGTCTTACCTGTATGCTGATTACACTACCCCTGCGGCTGCTGTTCTGGCTCTCACCAATAGTCTGGTTGCTGCTACACAAGGCGTCAAACCCCAGGATCCCTCCCACGCAGTCCCCAATCAGGCACACCTACAAAGAGGTCACAGGTCAATTTACTAAAACAGATCAGATCATTAGATATCTATCAAACAGGATGCAGATAAGATGGTCCAACCCTTTTTAAACTAATCAGATGTCATAACCATGTAATCAAACAAACCCGCTCACGCAAACACACACGTTTGTTTTACTATCCTTGTGGGGACCAAACAATGGATTCCCATTCAATGTCATATTTTCCCTAACCGTAAACCTAACCCTTAACCCCAATTGTAACCCTAAACCTAACCCCTATGCCTAAAATAGCCGTTTTCCTTGTGGGGACCGACGAAATGTCATAATTGTCCGAATTGTCCTTGTGGACTTCTGGTCCCCACAAGGATAGTAAACCCCCCCCCCCCCCCCCCCCCCCCCCCCCCCCCCCCAAAAAAAAAGAAAACACATACACCTACACACAAACCAAAAGCTAGATGAATTTGTTATAAAAAGGATAGAATTTATACTAAATTGAACCTGTGTCAAATATATCGAATGCTAGCGTCATTTTGGTTATCTAAAGGAACATTGAGGAACAGAAAACACCCACATAATTCAGAAACAGAAACCACTCACATAATTCATTGGTGCTAAAAGGCTTCAAAACTGATGTTCTTCACAATAAATCAAGTGTATCTCCTCCTTGACTTGGGAACATGCTCTTGAATCTTAGTGTTTGGACTGAAGATATTATGTTCGGCCATTTGAGAGCTCCAAATAAAGAGCAGCCCATGCCCACACCTGGAACAATGGAGAGGCTGACAGGCCAGTGGCAGCACCTCACCTTGAAGGTTGTCCCATCAATGGACCTGATGAAGTCATTGTACACCTGGTTGGCTTTCATGATTACGGTGGCCACAGCCTCCTGGTACTGGGGGGCGGAGGTGGCCAGGAGAGGCAGGACAGCCAGGGGGATGTGGTCCTGACTGCTAGACAGACAGCTCTCATCATAGCTGTACGGGCTCAGACTGAAGCCAGGGACGGACACACACAGGGTAAAGGTTCGTAATAGTAGTAGTATTGGGTAGTGTGTGTACTGTAGTTATGTACACATTACAATATTTATGGTTGTGTAGTGTGTGTGTGTGTGTGTGTGTCTGTGTGTCCCTCACTTGGACACCAGGGAGATGGCCTCAGCACAGATGGCAGGGCAGGGCACCAGGCGGATGGCGATTCGTCCCAGTGCGGTGGGATAGTGCACGCGCATCACTGTGTCAAAGGTAGTGCTGATGGTGTTGATGTCGCCCTGCTTACTGGTCTGGTCCCCTCCTCCCGTGTCCAGGATGTTGCCTCCATGGAGCACCAGGATCAGCATGTGGATCTTAGAAGGCTGCAGACACTGCTGGGAGGAGAGGTCCTATTATGGGGAGAAAGGGGGGAATTGATGGGGTGAATGGGAGGTAAAGAGGAAAGGCAGGATGAGGGGCATTAGAGAGATCTGTTAAACTCAAGGGAAATGAAGCCATTCACCCATAGAACCATGCTTCTGGCTTGGCTGCTAATGATTCATGACCACTGACAACTGCAGCGTTGCAGTTCTTGACACACTCAAACCGGTGCGCCTGGCACCTACCACCATACCCCGTTCAAAGGCACTTAAATCTTTTGTCTTGTCCATTCACCCTCTGAATGGCACACATACACAATCCATGTCTCAATTGTCTCAAGGCTTAAAAATCCTTCTTTAACCCATCTCCTCCCCTTCATCTACACTGATTTAAGTGGATTTAACAAGTGACATCAATAAGGGATCATAGCTTTCACCTGGATTAACATGGTGAAAGGAAAGAGCAGGTGTTCCTAATGTTTTGTACACTCAGTGTATAGTGATACATCTCATTGTGTGTTCAGTGTGCACTTCCACTTCCTTCAGACATGAATCACAGGAAGTCTATATGTGATGTCACCCTTCTGGTAACGCAATATTGATAGTAAAGCAATAGTAATGTAGCAGCACAACAGCATGCCCGTCCAGCTTTCATCTTCACACTCAGACAGCATTAGAGCATCATTAAGAGACACTGGACCAACCTACACCCCAGCTGGTCACACAGCAAACACTTCCAACTTTAGCCAACCACAACAACAAGCCAAGAACAACAACATAAACCAAGGGCAAAGACACATTTGTATACATCCATGGAGAGCTCTTTGGTCTTGGCCATGGTGGAGAGTTTGGAATCTGATTGATTGATTGCTTCTGTGGACAGGTGTCTTTTATACAGGTAACAAGCTGAGATTAGGAGCACTCCCTTTAAGAGTGTGCTCCTAATCTCAGCTCGTTACCTGTATAAAAGGCACCTGGGAGCCAGAAATCTTTCTGATTGAGAGGGGGTCAAATACTTATTTCCCTCATTAAAATGCAAATCAATTTATAACATTTATGACATGCGTTTTTCTGGATTTTTTTGTTGTTATTCTGTTTCTCACTGTTCAAATAAACCTACCATTAAAATTATAGACTGATCATTTCTTTGTCAGTGGGCAAACGTACAAAATCAGCAGGGGATCAAATACTTTTTTCCCTCACTGTATATGGACGAGCAATGACAGAGCGGCATGGACTAAGATATAGTACAATAATATAGAATACAGTATATACATATGAGATGAGTAATGCAAGATATGTAAACATTATTAAAGTGACTAGTGTTCCATTTCTTAAAGTGGCCAGTGACTTCAATAGGCAGCAGCAGCCTCTAATGTGCTAGTGATGGCTATTTAACAATCTGATGGCCTTGAGATAGAAGCTGTTTTTCAGTTTCTCGTTCCCAGCTTTGATGCACCTGCACTGACCTCGCCTTCTGGATGATAGCGGGGTGAACAGGCAGTGGCTTGGGTGGTTGATGTCCTTGATTATCTTTTTGGCCTTCCTGTGATATCAGGTGCTGTAGGTGTCTTGGAGGGTGGGTAGTTTGCCCCTGGTAATGCGTTCGGCAGACCGCACCACCCTCTGGAGAGCCCTGCGGTTGCGGGCGGTGCAGTTGCCGTATCAGGCGGTGATACAGCCCGACAGGATGCTCTCAATTGTGCATCTGTAAAAGTTTGAGGGTTTTAGGTTCCAAGCCAAATTTCTTCAGCCTCCTTAGGTTGAAGAGGCTCTGTTGCGCATTCTTCACCACACTGTCTGCGTGGGTGGACAATTTCAGTTTGTCAGTTTTTGTGTACGCCAAGGGACTTGAAGCTTTCAACCTTCTCCACTGCGGTCCTGTCGATGTGGATAGGGGGGTGCACCCTCTGCTGTTTCCTGAAGTCCACGATCATCTCCTTTGTTTTGTTGACGTTGAGTGAGAGGTTATTTTCCTGGCACCATACTCCCAGAGCCCTCACCTCCTCCCTGTAGGCTCGTCATTGTTGGTAATCAAGCCTACTACTGTTGTGTCGTCTCCAAAATTGATGATTGAGTTGGAGGCGTGCTTGGCCCCACAGTCATGAGTGAACAGGGAGTACAGGAGGGGGCTGAGCACGCACTCTTGAGGGGCCCCAGTGTTGAGGATCAGCGAAGTGGAGATGTTGTTTCCTACCTTCACCACCTGGGGGCGGCCTGTCAGGAAGTCCAGGACCCAGTTGCACAGGGTGGGGTTCAGACCCAGGGCCTCGAGCTTAATGATGAGCTTGGAGGGTACTATGGTGTTGAATGCTGAGCTATAGTCAATTAAAAACATTCTTACATAGGTATTCCTCTTGTCCAGATGGGATAGGGCAGTGTGCAGTGTGATGGCGATTGCATCGTCTGTGGATCTATTGGGGCATTAAGCAAATTGAAGTGGGTCTAGGGTGACAGGTAAGGTAGAGGTGATATGATCCTTGACTAGTCTCTCAAAGCACTTCATGATGACAGTGGTGAGTTCTACGGGGCGATAGTCATTTAGTTCAGTTACCTTTGCTTTCTTGGGTACAGGAACAATGGTGGCCATCTTGAGGCATGTGGGGACAGCAGACTGGGCTAGGGAGAGATTGAATATGTCCGTAAACACACCAGCCAGCTGGTCTGTGCATGCTCTGAGGACGCGGCTAGGGATGCCGTCTGGGCCAGCAGCCCTGCGGCGGTTAACATGCTTAAATGTCTTACTCATGTCGGCCACGGAGGAGAGCCCACAGTCCTTGGTAGTGGGCCGCGTCGGTGGCACTGTGTTATCCTCAAAGCGGTCAAAGAAGGTGTTTAGCTTGTCCGGAAGCAAGACGTCGGTGTCGGCGACGTGGCTGGTTTTCCTTTTGTAGTCCATGATTGTCTGTAGACCCTGCCACATACGTCTCGTGTCTGAGCCGTAGAATTGCGACTCCACTTTGTCTCTATACTGATGTTTTGCCTGTTTAATTGCATTGCGGAGTGAGTAGCTACACTGTTTGTATTCGTCATATTCCCAGTCACCTTGCCATGGTTAAATGCGGTGGTTCGCGCTTTCAGTTTTGCGCGAGTGCTGCCATCTATCCACGGTTTCTGGTTAGGGTAGGTTTTAATAGTCACAGTTGGCACAACATCTCCTATACACTTCCTGATAAACTCAGTCACCGTTTCAGTGTATTCGTCTAAATTATTTATTTTCGCAAGCTACCCGGAACATATCCCAGTCCGCGTGATCAAAACAATCTTGAAACGTGGATTCCGATTGGTCAGACCAGCGTTGAATAGTTCTTAGCACGGGTATTTCCTGTTTGAGTTTCTGCCTATAGGAAGGGAGGAGCAAAATGGAGTTGTGGTCAGATTTGCCGAAAGGAGGGCGGGGGAGGGCCTTATAACCATCCCGGAAGTTTGAATAGCAATGGTCGAGAATTTTAGCAGCCCGTGTACAACAGTCGATATGTTGATAGAACTTCGGCAGCCTAGTCCTCAAATTTGCTTTGTTAAAATTCCCCGGCTACATTAAATGCAGCCTCAGGATATGTGGTTTCCAGTTTGCATAAAGTCCAGTGAAGTTCTTTGAGGGCCGTCGTGGTATCGGCTTGAGGGGGGATATACACGGCTGTGACTATAACCGAAGAAAATTATCTTGGGAGATAATACGGTCGGCATTTGATTGTGAGGTATTCTAAGTCGGGTGAACAAAAGGACTTGAGTTCCTGTATGTTACTACAATTACACCATGAGTCGTTAATCATGAAACACACACCTCCGCCCTTCTGCTTCCCGGAGAGATATTTATTTCTGTCTGCGCGATGAACTGAGAACCCATCTGGCTGGACCGATTTCGACAGAATATCCCGAGAGAGCCATGTTTCCTGTTAAACAAAGTATGTTACATGCCCTGATGTCTCTCTGGAAAGAAATCCTTGCACTGAGCTCGCCGACCTTGTTATCCAAAGACTGAACATTAGCGTGTAATATAAGTCGAACCAGCAGGCCGCCCCAAGTGCCTCTCCCCCGCCGGCGATGTTTTGGGTCAGCCGCTGGAATCAGTTCAGTTGCCCTGGGGAGAGCAAACAAAGGATCTGCTTCGGGAAAGTCGTATTCCTGGTCGTAATGCTGGTGAGTTACCGCCGCTCTGATATCCAATAGTTTTTCCCGGCTGTATGTAATGATACAAAACACTTTCTGAGCTAATAATTTAAAAAACAATACATGAAAAAACGAAATACCGCAAAGTTTCCTAAGAGCTAGTCGCGAGGCCGCCATCTTCGTCGGCACAATCAATGTATATGATCTCAGCCAGACAGATTCTATGTGACATGCTACTGATATTGGATCTGGCTGTCATGGTGTTGTTGGTATACCAATGTTCAGTTGAAAAGCCATTCACCCTCCCAGGTACCTACCTCATCTAGTCTCTCCTCGCTGGCCTCCCTTTCATAGTCCCCTGTCATGTCCTTGTATAGCTCTCCTGCAGAAACATCCACAGACACACTTTAATATTGAGAATCAGAGTAATATAATACTGTCTGTAAAAGGAAACTTTGACACAAACTCCATCTCTCCTCTGTCTCTCAGACATCTCCAATCAATTAACACACACAGCGTTCCTCTCCATACCAGGAGTGTCTTCTGCATCAGCCGATTCAATCTTGTCCATGAGGTCGTTAGAGTTCCACTTGGCGATCTCCTTGGGAAAGACCTCTTCATCACCTGACAAGTCCTCTGTGTGGAGAAGGGACAGACATGATTTTTACTAACACCTGCTAAGTCAATGTGCCATTTTATCTCATCTTCAGTATATTCAGATGACCAGTCACAGATCATTCTCAAACATTCTGTGACAAGGAACACCAAACTTTTTAGACATTTATATGTTCACAAATGTGAAAGGGGCCTCCATGTACTGGCTGAGTACAGATACAGACAAACATACACCCTGATCCCTACCATATTACATTATGTGGCCATGTGAGCACTACTTTAAGATAAATAAATATGAATACTGATTAATAAAGTAATTGCCACCCTGCATTTTATGTGTTCCTCTGAAAACCAGTGGTTTTGCAGTAGCATAGCCTCCTCAATTGAATCAACAAGCCACTGGGACACTGGGATCTTTCAGTGAAATCACATTACACATACTGTAGCCTATGCACGTCTGCTTTATCAAAAGGTCACCACTCATAAAAGGCCATACATTTTTTTGCTGGTCCTCGGTTGCACAGATCAGGGAGAAGCTGAGGAGTATAAAAGCTTTTACATGAGCATGAGCATTTATCTGAGTATGCTCAATGAAACACTTTTCAGCATAAATTGATCAAAATGGTGCTACAAACGGTAGCATTCATGTGTCACATTGGTCATGTCATCATGACCTAACATAGAATGTCATGAATGGATACAGTGTAAGTAGTGTGGCACTATGATTATGGATGAAATGTTATGGCTATATACACTGAGTGTACAAAACATTAAGAACAGCTCTTTCCATGACATAGACTGACCAGGTGAATCCAGGTGAAAGCTATGATCCCTTATTGATGTCACTTGTTAAATCCACTTCAATCAGTGTCACTGAAGGGGAGGAGACAGGTTAAAGAAGGATTTTTAAGCCTTGAGATGGATTGTGTATGTGTGCCAATCAGAGTGAATGGGCAAGACAAAATATTTAAGTGCCTTTGAACGGGGTACAGTAGTAGGTGCCAGGCGCACCGGTTTGTGTCAAGAACTGCAACGCTGCTGGGTTTTTCACGCTCAACAGTTTCCTGTGTGTATCAAGGATGGTCCACCACCCAAATGACATCCAGCCAACTTGACACAACTGTGGGAAGTATTGGAGTCAATATGGGCCAGAATCCCTGTGGAACGCATTCGACACCTTGTAGAGTCCATGCCCGACGAATTGAGGCTGTTCTGAGGGCAAGAAGGGGGTGCAACTCAATATTAGGAAGGTGTTCCTAATGTTTTGTATACTCAGTGTATACACCTACTATCTGACTTGACATTGTATTACATATGCCTGTATGTACGCTTTTGTCATCCTTGTAATCTCTTTGATCGCATCACCAACTGATCATAACCATCTTAATGAATGGCTAACACAGAGACAGGGTGGAGAGGCATGGGTGTTCTCAACTCTTATGATATACTACCGTACTCACAAGGAAAATGTAATGAGGAAAAGATTCAGTGGAGCCAATGTCAGTGCTCAGTGCTTACTGTCCTATAAAATTACAACCCCACAAGACTGCTGCTCTAGAAATCTTTGCTCATATGGCAAAGTTGGCTCAGTTCATTTTCAAGGGATTAACTCATGAAGCGACTGAGTAGGGTTGCTTGTTATAAAAGAAGAGTTATAGTGAAATATTGTTCATTGTGTTTCAGCATTTATTTTCCACATTGTAATTGATTTAAATATACTAATCAGGTGTCCAATGAGAAGTTGAAGAATCCCTTTAGCCACATACTGGGGTATGCATGATGTATATACCACTGTATGATTGTTAGTGAAAAACAGATTAATCCATGAATGAAACAACAATTTATCATCTCATTGTGAACATAAATAATGGCACAAACACCAAAAGCATACAGGTATATATATTTGAACATGCAGCTAAATGCAAATGCAGTTAATTCATGACATATCATGAACAGTTTCAACAGTTAGATAAAGATGACAACCAAATAGCATCAGTATCATATAAATAAATAGATAAAAAGAAAACATGCATTGCTTTATTATTCTTACTTAATTACTTGTTATTCATACTTCTAAATGCATGATGTCATATAGAACATCTAAGTGAATCATGCTTCCACACATACCCCTACACAATAGAACATCATTTTGTGGATTGACTTGATGGGATGATTTACTCGCCACAGGGAATGTGTGTGCGTTTGTGAGCATGTGTGTGTGTGTGTGTGTGTGTGAGGGCAGGGTGAGATAGTTTTGGCAATTGGGAACAGGTGAAGGTAGAGGGTGGTGATTTCAGCACTTCTTCAGGACAAGCCAACCCGGGTTGAGTCATCTCCTGGACTCACCCAACAGACGAACAACCGTGTGTCGAGCTACACCCACCTATTTCAACCGCAGGCCCAAATCATGCTGGGTATCTGGGTAGCTTAAGAACTGATCTGTGTTGAAGAGACGCATGCAGAGTCAGAGGAGGAAGCACCAGGAGGGTTATGGGAAAGGGAACACATTACTAGTGTTATCTACTCTAACCTACTTTAGGCTTTTTTGACGACTATCAAAATGGTGGATTTACCATGAGCATCAAAGAACTCCTCCTCTGAGCTGTCCTCGGAGTCTCGTGCTATGCTCTGCATCCTCCATTCAGAGAGGCTGTGGCGTGATGGGCTCGCTGAAACACACAAACAGGGAGGGAAACAAACAGTACCGCTGTTATTTTAAAGATCCAACTGAATAATATTCTTACTGACATACGCTCATACTGACACACACACACACACACACACACACACACACACACACACACACACACAGTGTTATATAAACACTCAACAGTCTCTGTAATGCTTGACTTAATCACAGAAGGATTGCTCAGTGGTCAGGAGGGGGTGTGAAGAAAAGAGCCTGGACTAAAAGTAGGACTGTCCATCATATGTCTTTGTTGTTTGCCTCCTATATCACTGAGGAGGAGTGGGGAGGGGAGGGGGTCTCTTTGAAACCCTGGCTGGCACATACTGGATGCTCATGGGCTGGGAAGCGCAGCTGTGCCTGTCAGCCGATAGAAGGGAGCCGCAGGGGTGGAGCGGAGGGTCAGTGTGAAGAGCGTCAGCCTCCTCTAGCCTGTGATGTCAATACTGCTGCTATAAATAGCCCAGGAGCGCTCTGGAGAGGGGGGTAATAGGGGATGAAATTAGTCTGGCTGGTGGAGAGCGAGAGGATCCAGGTGGCAAGCAGGATTCTGACTGCTGCTTAGAAGTGAGGATGGGGATAGGGGTTGTACTGTCTGTAGGAGAGGGGTTTGTCCATAGACTGTATATTTAAGCAGGTTAAAACTATCTGGATAAAGCTGTGACAGTGGTACTGTAGATACAGCACCTAGATACATACTCACTAACACATGATGTTTGTACACCACCTGCTTGAACATTTTATTTTGGAAAATTAATTGTCAACAGTCCAATACCTCCACACAGATACAGACAATTGGGCTCAAACATCTCACCTCCTCTCTTGGATGAGCGGGAGGATCTGGAGGAGGTGGACCACTGCTTGGTGAGCCCTGCTCGTTTTGTTTGGAGAGAGTCTCCCCCGCCCCCTGCACTGACCACCTCGTCAGCTTCTAAGGAGTTGATGGTATCTTTGACCTCCTGGTTCTTGTCTGAGGATGAAACAGCTCCATTGGCCTCTGTGGCCTCGTCTGCCTGGCTGAACTGGGCCATCTTCTGGGCCAGGGCCAGCTGGGTCTCCAGCTCCAGCTGCCTGATGTCTTCGATGGTCAGGCCGTACCACTCGTCCTGCCAGCACCAGGCCTGCCGGTGGGCCCGCACCATCACCTTCCTCAGACCTGAGAAAGGTCAGGGGAGAGAGTTTAGACAGACAGCACTGGAAAACATCAGGGCATCCCAACAGGCCGCCACCTCTAACATCTTGACACGATGTCAGCAGCAGCATGCCTGTAGTATGGAAACACAACTGCTCCATGGACCTAGCACTCATATAGCCAGCAACGGGCAGGGATATATTAAGGTATTGTTCAAACTACTCTTCCAACACCTCATCCCATCTCATACGCACCTACATCATGGATGAAGCGCTCGATCTTGGACTGCATGCCCCAGTAGCGGAACTCCACCTTGCACAGTTTGTAAGCACACATGATGGGCGTCTTCCCCGGGTTGTTGTTGTACTCCTTGATCCAGTCCTCCTGCAGAGGCCCTCTCTTGGTCTTGTCTGACCTGTAGATCCGAGGGTCCTCCTCTTGCAAGTACTCATGTGGGGTGATGGGATCTTTGACAATGTCGATGGGGTCTGCAAGAGAGAGTCTGACTTCAACACTTGCCACAAATAACATTTACAGTGCCTTCAGAAATTATTCACATCCCTTTACTTTTTCCACATTTAGTTGTTTTACAACGTGGGATTAAAATGGATTTCATTTTCATTTTTTGTCAAGATCTACACAAAATACTCTTTAATATCAAAGTGGAAGAAAAATTGTAACATTGGTAAAAACATTATGAAATATAAAACACTAATATATCTTGATTACATAAGTATTCAGCCCCCTGAGCCAATACATGTTAGAATCACTTTTGGCAGCGATTACAGCTGTGAGTCTTTCTGGGTAAGTCTCTTAGAGCTTTGCACATCTGGATTGTATAATATTTGCACATTATTATTTTTAAAATTGTTCAAGCTCTGTCAAGTTGGTTGTTGATCATTGCTAGACAGACATTTTCAAGTCTTGCCATAGATTTTTAAGCCAAAACTGTAACTAGGCCACTCAGGAACATTAAAAGTCATCTTGGTAAGCAACTCCAGTGTATATTTGGCCTTGAGTTTTAGGTTTTTGTGCTGCTGAAAGGTGAATTTGTCTCCCAGTGTCTTTTGGAAAGCAGACTGAACAAGTTTTCCTCTAGGATTTTGCCTGTGCTTAGCTTTATTCTGTTTATTGACAAGCATACCCATAACATGATGCAGCCACCACCATTCTTGAAAATATGAAGAGTGGTATTCAGTGATGTGTTGTGTTGGATTTGCCCCAAACATAATGCTTTATATTCAGGACATAACATTCATTTCTTTGCAACATTTTTTGCAGTTTTACTTTAGTGCCTTATTGCAAACAGGACGCATGTTTTTGACTATTTTTATTCTGTACATGCTTCCTTCTTTTCACTCTGTCATTTAGGTTAGTATTGTAACTACAATGTTGTTGATCCATCCTCAGTTCTATCACAGCCATTCAACTCTGTAACTGTTTTAAAGTCACCATTGGCCTCATGGTGAAATCCCTGAGCGGTTTACTTTTTCTCCGGCAACTGAGTTAGTAAGAACTCCTATATCTTTGTAGTGACTGGGTGTATTGATACACCATCCAAAGTGTAATTAATAACTGCACCATGCTCATTGTCTGCTTTTTCTTTACCCATCTACCAATAGGTGCCCTTCTTTTTTTTTTTTTCTTTTTTTTTTTTTCTTAGGGGGTAGATCAGCTTAATATTGCAGATAGATTGTAACTTCCATCAATGTAATTGTTTGCATCACTTCCAATCCCCCATGTTTTTTATATATATACATACATACATACATACATATATATATATATACACATACATACACATACAACCCTGGCGTTGCAAGCGCCATGCTCTACCAACTGAGCTACAGGAGGCCAATGCCATTGGTAAACCTCCCTGGTCTTTGTGGTTGAATTTGTGTTTGAAATTCACTGCTTGACTGACGGACCTTACAGAGCCAGTATGTGTGGGGTACAGAGATGAGGTAGTCATTCAAAAATCATGTTAAACACTATTATTGCACACAGAGTGAGTCCATGCAACTTATCATGTGACTTGTAACCAAGTAAGGAATTTCTTGGACGTATATTTTCAATTTTCAGTCCAAGAGCTGAGGATGAACCATGGTAGAAACGTCATTAATGACATCTCAGAAACATTGTGACAATGAATCACGTAAATTGGGTCACTGCATGGCCTCAAACCACGAGCATCTGAGCAGCGTCAGAACGAGAACCTCTGTTGCCGCCAACAACAGGAAAACAGCTGCAGTGGAAGCAAACGGCCACCAGTGGGCCTCTACTCTACTGGCTGCTGTGTGAGCCCAGGAGCTTCACTCTAACCCTGGTGGAGGTCATGCATCAGGAAGCCCTCAACAATAACCATGGCTATTCAAACAAGACCACTAACCTAGACCTGTCATTTTGACTTTACTGCTGCAGGTAGTAGAAAGTTGTCCATAGTGAGGAGAAATCATCACCATCATCATCTAAAAGTGCTGTCAATTTGGACACTGTGGTCTGAAGCTCTATTGTCCTTCTAATCTCCCACTATTTGTCCCAGACTGGCACCACAGGGTCTTACCCAGAGTCCTTAGCCTCTTCTCGGCTGGGGACATGTTGAAGACGTCTGGCTGGTTTCCCAGGTCTGGCTTGTAGTACGTCTCAATGTCAATGGAGAACTTCTCGACAAAGGGACAGGTGTATCTGGAGGAGAGAGGAGAGCAAGCTTAGAGGCGTCGGTAATAAATAAGCACAATATGTTGACCTGGACACAGTATATCATCACAGAAAAATGCTTTGTGTATGGTGGAAACATCACATTTGTACATTTGAGTCATTTAGCAGACGCTCTTATCCAGAGCGACTTACAGGAACAATTAGGGTTAAGTGCCTTGCTCAAGGGCAGATCGACAGATTTTTCACCTAGTCGTCTCGGTGATTTGAACCAGCAACCTTTCGCTTACTGGCCCAACGCTCTTAACCGCTATGCTACCTGCCGATGTCTCTGTTATTTAGTGGGTTCTGGGCTAAATGATGGGCAAGTCTTAAACATTTCTACCTGGCAAGAGCTAGCTACTGCTCATCTTTGTCTCTGTTGGTCACTCTAGCTCTTTCTCACTCTCTCTCTGTCTCTGGCTCCAGGCGAGGTGGAGAGCTGTTAGCCCTGCCCATCTGTCGTCTGCAGCAGAGCTGTCACTGCTTTGATGAACGTGTCAGCAGACGGCTCCAGTCTATCAATACCTTGACAGTGTTTTCAAGGGGCGCTTCTCATTTCAGCCTCACGCCTGCAGCTCTGCCCAGGCCCCAGACAGACAGACAAACAAACAAACACACCCTAAGTCTAGGGGGTCATCAACTCCTAACGATAGGCTGGCTAGCAGAGCTGCTGACCGGATGACTGCCCATGTCTTGGTTGGCACGCTCTGCAGTGTTCTGATAACTGCTCTGGAATCTTTTAGCTTTGCTTGGCTCTTTACTTGGCTCTTAGTAACATTATTTTCTTCCTGAAGGGGCAGATTGGATAAACAATCACTCCATTATGGATAAGGTTTGATGTTGTAAGGGTGGTACTCTTGTGGGGGTGTGTAAGGGTGGTACTCCTGTGTGTGGGAGGTGTAAGGGTGGTACTCCTGTAGGGGGTAATAGTCTCACACCTTGTGCGGGTGTAGGGGTAGGCGTTCCAGGACTCCTCCTCCACCCGGAGCGCTGCCTTGGGCAGGATGGAGCGGAACCAGCTGGGGATGTGCATGCCGATGTGGTAAACCTTGTGAGTGTACTGTCCGATTCCCCCTGGGCCGTCCTCATACGGCTTGTTCTCCAGGATCTCCACTCCGCTGCCCTCGCCACAGGTCTCATCCCGGCTCTTTTTCTGTTCAGATCACAATACATTACAGTGATGGGTTAGGGGAGGAAGCATAGGTCAAAGGTCAACTGAGGACTGAAATGAGGTTAAACAAGGGAGGTCAGGTGAAGCACACTGATGTGAAGACAACAACAAGTCAAGTGTGGCATCAAAACCAAAACAAATGTTGTTTTTATGAATCTAAGCTCCACCAGTAGGTCTAGAAATCACCGGGTCTGTTATTTCACCGGTTCCATATGCGACTCACAAAGGATTTCTGCCATAAAACAGATGCTTGGACAAACTCTACCCTGCTAGTAAAGTTCCAGCAGTTGAAACACTGCATGTCATGACTCATATGTGTGGACAATAAACATTTGTCTCTAGGTATGATCTACACTGCTTAGTCAGGAGAGCTGCTGAGCCAGCTCAGTGAGACACACCTTTCCCATATTTACATTCCAGGTACACAACAGTAATGGGGGAGGGTAGGGGGCTGGAAGGACACGTCATAGGGGACTTAATGGTTTGATGACTTTACTTTTCAAACATAACGCAGTGGGATCCACCAGGGAGAGGCTTCCTGCTGATGTAGAAACAAGGGAAACAGGCTTGCTAAAAGTACACTAGGGAACAGAGTCCAAGTGGCTGAGGACGGTGAAAACGTGAGGGTAAGGGCAAGGACTACAGTATAACATTCCCAGAGACTCTGAGTTAATATCAGAGAGTCAATATTACATGTGCGTTTAATACCTTAGCTACTACCTGCTTTTACATAATGCTCTATTTTTCACTTTGATATAAATGATGGTACATAAATCAACCTGTCGAAGCACACAGTGCATTTTACTAATTACAGGCAGCATTTTTGGGCATGGTGAGGGACAACAGGACGGAGAGGGAGAACAGGATGGAGAGGACCACCAGGACGGAGAGGGACAACAGGATGGAGAGGACCACCAGGACGGAGAGGGACAACAGGATGGAGAGGACCACCAGGATGGAGAGGGAGAACAGGATAGAGAGGACCACCAGGATGGAGAGGGAGAACAGGATGGAGAGGACCACCAGGATGGAGAGGGACACCAGGATGGAGAGGGACACCAGGATGGAGAGGGACACCAGGATGGAGAGGAACACCAGGATGGAGAGGAACACCAGGATGGAGAGGGACACCAGGATGGAGAGGGACACCAGGATGGAGAGGGAGAACAGGGTGGAGAGGGAGAACAGGATGGAGAGGGACACCAGGATGGAGAGGAACACCAGGATGAAAAGGGAGAACAGGATGGAAAGGGAGAACAGGATGGAGAGGGAGAACAGGATGGAGAAGGACAACAGGATGATGAGGGAGAACAGGATGGAGAGGGACACCAGGATGGAGAGGGACAACAGGATGGAGAGGGACACCAGGATGGAGAGGGACACCAGGATGGAGAGGGACAACAGGATGGAGAGGGACAACAGGATGGAGAGGGACAATAGGAGAGCAGGCAGTGAATCAGTGGTGTAGTGGAGAGATGAGATGCGCGCGGCGAGGCATCCACTCCTCCAGCCCTCATGACCTTTGACAGGTTGTTCATTAGTCACCTACCCTGCTCTCAACAGCCAGACAAAGCTCCTCAGACACAGCACAGACACTGACAGACTGACTGCAGAAGCACACAATACACACACACAAAGATACACACACACACAAACACAAGCAGATGCTCAAAAACACTCTGCAACGCATACAGTATAGGCCTATGTGCACACAGCCGCACACACGCACGCCCATATATAGACACAGCCAGACGCTTACACAAACATACTGTAGTTTGTACACACCCACACACAGAAAACGCACACCCACACACATGCAAGGCACTTCATTATCCTGCTGACAGGTGCCTGTGGCCTGCAAACCCGGGTGCCACTGGCCAGTATCAATCCTGCCCTCCTGCCAGAGGCTGGCTCTTGGTGCTCTGGAGCTCAGAAGAAACCATCAGGAAGATAAAAAAATGCCAGGCCACAGCTCAGCCCTCCCCTTAGGGAGAATAGAGCTAAAGGAACAGGCTCTAACAAGGGTCTCTAACAAAACTGAACTGAAAAAGGAAGGGAGGAAGGGAATGCAGGCAGGGGTGTTCCATTGCTATTTCTATTTATGTATCTTTCCTCATTGGTTTGACATGTTTCCAGGAGTTAAACCCAAACTGACAGAGAGAGGTAAGGTTACTAAAGGATAAATTACATTCAGGAAGGAAGCTACATTACATGAAGTTATTCAGGAAGGACTAAATATAGAGGACAGTCTTTCTGTAATCTATCTGTTCAGCTTCCTCATAACTACCTGGCTGGCTGTATTGACTGGAGGAGAGAGTCATATCCTGGCCTATTCCTCACGACATCAGATCAGGGAAACTGGAAGAGCAAAATGGTGGGTGGTGAATAAATACGGAAAGGGGAGGGAGAGAGCGAGCGAGAGAGAAAGTGCCCACTTAATTGAACTTACACCCTGCATTTCTGATATCTTTGCAAATCACAGTCGCGATAATACATTCACAATTAACTATCAATTGAGGAGGCAGCGTGATAAGGTATGAAGGTAAACAAGAGACAGCAGTGTGGAACATGGAGTCAGGAGGAGTCTGGCCTGCTGAAGTGAAGATACTCATACAGTAAAGAGAAGATTTTCATTGTACGGAGAGGCCCAGGCTTGAGCCACCATGCTTACACTGGGGATAAATCAGGGGCAGGCATTCTGCCTGAGGTTGCCCTGGTAACATGCAGTAATGAAGACAGGGTATCCATCCACACCCTGCCTCTCCTACTCTCCCTAAAATATATTTCCCTCTCTGTTTCTTCCCTCCCCTCTTCCGCTCCGTCTCTAACTCTCCCTGTCCCTTTTCCTCACGCTCTCTGTTTCTTCTCCTCACCGTTTCTTCTCCTCTCTCACGTGCTCTCTCTCTCTCTCTCTCTCTCTAACAAAACCTGACTGCCGGCATGCTGCTGATGTCATGGTTGGCATGGTAACATGGCTCTACAGTGTGACCATTTTACTCGTATATGCGCCTAAATATTTTTCTGTGCGACCTGGAATTTTATTTTAGGAACACCAGTGAAGGATTCTAGCTTTATTATCTCAAATATGTTTCATTAGGTGCACAACTTAGGCGCACACGTGCTCCTTGTAAAAAAGGTCAGCAGAGCCCTGGGTAATGGGAACTTCACAGCAGCGAGAGAGTGAGGCTGCACACAGAAGGCTGAGGTCAGGGGGAAAGGTAACTATGGGTCACTGATCCAACAGGTCAATTTAACACCATCCTTCCTCCCTTGCCTGCCTGCCTCAGCCTGCCTGTAAACACCCTATCCTTGTGGATTCTCTCTCTTTTCACTTTGCTGAGGTTCGCCAGTACCTATGGCACTGGGCCAGAATCAATGGCTCTGGAGCTCAACCCCATTTTTGGAAATTACTTATCAGCCACTCTTCCTTCTAGTGTCAAAACCCTTCCTCTGATACAGTCCTATTTAAACAGGTCTAGTACAAGTCCGCACAGTACCCAACCCCTTTAATACAGTATTGACAAAGCACTAAAGAAGCAGGCACACAACTTTTATGACTGCCTTGGGGCATGTCTGTTCACATGCCCATGTTCAAACCCATTTACAGGGAAATGGAGCTCAACTGGATTAGTGGCCAGTGATGTACACCGGAGGATAATGCACAGCACAAAAATAACAAATAACAATGTTGTAGACAAAGAGGCCTGGCACCCTTCCAGAGAGTACCAGCAACAACATTAAGGAGTGGTGCTTTAATCTCCTCGGATTTTTTCCACCACCATCAGCTACAGTAGGAACAAGATCTATTATGGAGCGATATTGCAAAATCTAATCCAGCAAGGTTAAAGACAAATTGTATTTACTGTACATAGGCAGGCAGGGGAAGAGGGAGAGGGCTGGGCTGGCTACATGTAATGCAGCTAAATAGGGACAGCTGCAGTTAAATCAACCTGCCTAGTAGACAGAAGAGAATTCAGAGGAGCGTTGATTGTGATTCTCAATATCCTGTGTTAGCAGCTTCTTAATTATCCCTACATAGTGCCTACAAGCAAAATGTTTCTGGCTTCTAAATAAACAACAGAAAGAATGAATCCATTAGAAACATCCCTCCTGGGGGAGAATGGGCCTTCCTAGCAGCTTCAGACTGCCGGCTTTCACGTCACAGCAGTTCCTGCCTGCTGTAAGAGAGTAGCAGAGTGCCCCTCCCTCCCTCCCTGGACAAAACACACACCCAGCTGAGGGAGGGGAGGGAAGGAAGGAGCAGCCAGATTCAACTAGATTCAGCCGCGGGACGACTTTATCTTGAGCGGATGGTCAGGGACCTGAACATAATTACAAATAATTTGCTGACTAAAAAAAATCATTTAAAACTTTGCTTACATTTGTATACGATCAGGTGTCTCTCTATTATGCGCGGGAATACTTGGGAACAGATTGCTTAAATTAAAATCACTTGGAGCTGATTTCCTGGTGTTTTTACAGTATTTTATGTCAAACAAATAAAATTCTAAGTTTATATATATTTTTTTTTGCTCAGAAAACTTAGGGGGCAAAATACTTGGGCGCCGGACACCAGTTTGGGAACCCAGCTGTATTACAACATTAAACGCTGTGTGACCAATCAATTTATAATTGAGCACTTTAATGACCAATCGCGGTAGAAAATCCCCTGTATAATATTTTTATATTTTAGTCATTTAGCAGACGCTCTTATCCAGAGCGACTTACAATTAGTGAGTGCATACATTTTTCATACTGGCCCCCCGTGGGAATCGAACCCACAACCCTTGCGTTGCAAGCGCCATGCTCTACCAACTGAGCTACAGGAGGGCCAATAACAAAACCTCCCCTTCCGCTCCAGTACAGATTTGTTGTCCAGTGAGTGTTCTGTTGAACCCTGGGGTGGAGGTGTTGTCCTGGAGGTGAGTGGTCAGGAGTTGGAGGTGTCTGTTGGCCTCACCTGGATCATGTAGAGCTGGGCGATGCGGTACTCGTCCACGCTCATTGGCATTGGGATCCGGTACTCCTTGATCAGCATGGTGAGTCTGGGGTGGGGGGATAGGGGTCAGGAAGAGGGGAGAGGGACAGAGGGAGGGGAGGGGGGCTGGTGGTGGGAGGGACTGGGGGGCTTCTATGTGTGACTCGTCAGTTCACTGCTGGCGTCCTCATCGATGGTGCCTGTGGATGAGAAGAGAGACATAACGGTAAGATAGCTGAACAGTTCAAGTAGGCTTGTGCAATATACCGTATATACCGTATACCGGGGTATTTGGAAATAGGCAGGGGATGCTTTTTCAATACCGTCTAAACTATTTATTTGAAGTTTTTCAATACATTTTAATATTTGTTGCAATTTTTTTAGTAAATACCTGCAGTCAACTTGTGCAATGCGTAAAGCAGATCATGTTCTTATTTCACCTGTCACATTATTTTAGCTTACTTAGTTCCCCAGCACAGTTGAGCCAGTCACGTGTTTGTTTGCAAATAGCACAACAGGAGAAAGTGGGAGCAGGTGAGTCCAGCTGTGTATTGACAGGGGTCGTGTTTTATATTGAAAGTCAACAGTGTTTTTTTGCTTCACTAGAGTGATCAGGGACGTACAACTATAGTGCAACACATTCGGCATAAAATAGCTTCATTTTCATCAGATGACAACAGAAGTGCAATGCTATTTGGCTGGCAGCCACACAAGTAAATGAGCTTACAATGAAAAAGCAAGGTAATTCTTGCAAAAACGATGTATGGCCATCATATTTCTAATGTTAAGGCCTGTCATATAAAGAATGTAGCCAGCTACATTTCCTAACGTTTTGCTTAAAGTTAATCTTGCATTTTACCGGAGCAAAATAGGCTGGCTACACTGAGAAAAGTACCGGAGAAAAGAAGCTCCACATCAGTGGGAGCACTGTCTGCTGATAGAATGCCTGTTGGTGAATTCTCATCCGAGTTTAGAAGTGCAACTGAAGCACAAAATTAGTCTGATGCCGAGCAGAAATTACAATAAGAAGCATTTTAGATATGTGTTTACAAAACGGAGCAAGATATTTCTTATGCGTTTTATATTTATTTCCTGCGTGAAAAACGCAGAATGATGCGTTAACACGGCCCCTAGTTTAACTTGCTAGTGGATGAATTAATAAGGTGATGGGCATCATATTATGTTAGCTTTCTGCCTTGTTTGACAAGGAGAAGCCCTTTGGATGAGTTATTTGTACAGCTGCCACTGCTATCTTGATTTACTTGTTTTTTCTCCTCCCTTTCGAGGCCTGTCTGCTTCTCCCCCATCTTCTCAAAACAGAGCAGGCAGGCCCGTTGCCCTAGTGACTCCAGACTCCACACAGACACAGCATGTAGACATGCTGCTGAAGAGCCAGTACTGCATGCATCAAAACTTTGTACATTTGCACAATGTCCCTCGTTAACATTCACTTGTAAATGTCCAAACTCACAAAAAATGACATGCAGTAGATTCTACCTATATATGTATAACTTTATGAGCTGGATTGCCTGTCTTTGCAATTAGTTTATTTTCGTTTGCTCTCATTAGCATATTTAGCTAGCAGCCTCCATGGAAATTCACTATTACTTGTGCTAATTCTGTTAGCATTCTGATAATAGACACCCAATGGGCTTTTTTGCCCAAACCGGTAATACCGTAAATCCCGGGGTGATCTGGATACCGCCCAACCCTTAGTTAAAGTAACTGTCCAGTGAAAATCTCACTTTTAAAACTTCATATTCTGTTAACTCATACCCAAATAATGTTGTTGACTCATCCTATCCTCATATATTGGAGAATAAACACTTTAAAAAACCCACCTCAAACTTATATCTCAAACAGACAGTTTCAAAAATGTTTGCTATTTCCTCATAGAGGATGAGCTGGCCAATCAGCGGTCTACAGGCATGAATATTTTTAATAACCGGTATACAGTATGCCCACACAACAAAACCTCCCCCTCCGCTCCAGTACAGATTTGTTGTCCAGTGAGTGTTCTGTTGAACCCTGGGGTGGAGGTGTTGTCCTGGAGGTGAATGGTCAGGAGTTGGAGGTGTCTGTTGGCCTCACCTGGATCATGTAGAGCTGGGCGATGCGGTACTCGTCCACGCTCATTGGCATTGGGATCCGGTACTCCTTGATCAGCATGGTGAGTCTGGGGTGGGGGGATAGGGGTCAGGAAGAGGGAGAGGGACAGAGGGAGGGGAGGGGGGCTGGTGGTGGAGGGACGTTTTCTGTAAGTCGTCACAAGGTTTTCCAACACTGTTGCTGGTATTTTTGGCCCATTCCTCCATGCAGATCTCCTCTAGAGCAGTGATGTTTTGGGGCTGGTCCGTGGGGCAACACAGACTTTCAACTCCCTCCAAATATTTTCTATGGGGTTGAAGATCTCGGGGAGACTGGCTATGGGCCACTCCAGGAACCTTGAAATGCTTCTTACGAAGCCACTCCTTCGTTGCCCGGGCGGTGTGTTTGGGATCATTGTCATGCTGAAAGACCCAGCCATGTTTCATCTTCAATGCCCTTGCTGATGGAAGGAGGTTTTCACTCAAAATCTCACTATACATGGCCCCATTCATTCTTTCCTTTACAACGGATCAGTCGTCCTGGTCCTTTGCAGAAAAACAGCCCCAAAGCATGATGTTTCCACCCCCATGCTTCACAGTAGGTATGGTGTTCTTTGGATGCAACTCAGCATTCTTTGTCCTCCAAACACGACAAGTTGAGTTTTTACCAAAAAGTTCTATTTTGGTTTCATCTGACCATATGACATTCTCCCAATCCTCTTCTGGATCATCCAAATGCACTCTAGCAAACTTCAGACGGGCCTGGACATGTACTGGCTTAAGCAGGGGGACACGTCTTGCACTGCAGGATTTGAGTCCCTGGCGGCGTAGTGTGTTACTGATGGTAGGCTTTGTTACTTTGGTCCCAGCTCTCTGCAGGTCATTCACTAGGTCCCCCCGTGTGCTTCTGGGATTTTTGCTCACCGTTCTTGTGATCATTTTGACCCCACGGGGTGAGATCTTGCGTGGAGCCCCAGATCGAGGGAGATGATCAGTGGTCTTGTATGTCTTCCATTTCCTAATAATTGCTCCCAAAGTTGATTTCTTCAAACCAAGCTGCTTACCTATTGCAAATTCAATCTTCCCAGCCTGGTGCAGGTCTACAATTTTGTTTCTGGTGTCCTTTGACAGCTCTTTGGTCTTGGCCATAGTGGAGTTTGGAGTGTGACTGTTTGAGGTTGTGGACAGGTGTCTTTTATACTGATAACAAGTTCAAACAGGTGCCATTAATACAGGTAACGAGTGGAGGACAGAGGAGCCTCTTAAAGAATAAGTTACAGGTCTGTGAGAGCCAGAAATCTTGCTTGTTTGTAGGTGACCAAATACTTATTTTCCACCATAATTTGTAAATAAATTCATTAAAAATCCTACAATGTGATTTTCTGGATTCTTTTTCCTCAATTTGTCTGTCATAGTTGACATGTACCTATGATGAAAATTACAGGCCTCTCTCATCTTTTTAAGTGGGAGAACTTGCACAATTGGTGGCTGACTAAATACTTTTTTTCCCCACTGTATGTGTTTACAAAACGGAGCAAGATATTTCTTATGCGTTTTATATTTTTTTCCTGCGTGAAAAACGCAGAATTATGCGTTAACACGGCCCCTAGTTTAACTTGCTAGTGGATTAATTAATAAGGTGATGGGCATCATATTATGTTAGCTTTCTGCCTTGTTTGACAAGGAGAAGCCCTTTGGATGAGTTATTTGTACAGCTGCCACTGCTATCTTGATTTACTTGTTTTTTCTCCTCCCTTTCGAGGCCTGTCTGCTTCTCCCCCATCTTCTCAAAACAGAGCAGGCAGGCCCGTTGCCCTAGTGACTCCAGACTCCACACAGACACAGCATGTAGACATGCTGCTGAAGAGCCAGTACTGCATGCATCAAAACTTTGTACATTTGCACAATGTCCCTCGTTCACATTCACTTGTAAATGTCCAAACTCACAAAAAATGACATGCAGTAGATTCTACCTATATATGTATAACTTTATGAGCTGGATTGCCTGTCTTTGCAATTAGTTTATTTTCGTTTGCTCTCATTAGCATATTTAGCTAGCAGCCTCCATGGAAATTCACTATTACTTGTGCTAATTCTGTTAGCATTCTGATAATAGACACCCAATGGGCTTTTTTGCCCAAACCGGTAATACCGTAAATCCCGGGGTGATCTGGATACCGCCCAACCCTTAGTTAAAGTAACTGTCCAGTGAAAATCTCACTTTTAAAACTTCATATTCTGTTAACTCATACCCAAATAATGTTGTTGACTCATCCTATACTCATATATTGGAGAATAAACACTTAAAAAAAAACACCTCAAACTTATATCTCAAACAGACAGTTTCAAAAATGTCTGCTATTTCCTCATAGAGGATGAGCTGGCCAATCAGCGGTCTACAGGCATGAATATTTTTAATAACCGGTATACAGTATGCCCACACAACAAAACCTCCCCCTCCGCTCCAGTACAGATTTGTTGTCCAGTGAGTGTTCTGTTGAACCCTGGGGTGGAGGTGTTGTCCTGGAGGTGAGTGGTCAGGAGTTGGAGGTGTCTGTTGGCCTCACCTGGATCATGTAGAGCTGGGCGATGCGGTACTCGTCCACGCTCATTGGCATTGGGATCCGGTACTCCTTGATCAGCATGGTGAGTCTGGGGTGGGGGGATAGGGGTCAGGAAGAGGGGAGAGGGACAGAGGGAGGGGAGGGGGGCTGGTGGTGGGAGGGACTGTGGGGCTTCTATGTGTGACTCGTCACACAATTCTGTTATTGGGGTACGCCCACACCATTCCAACACAGAAAAGCTGTTTTTTAACAATTTCACTCATATTTTAATGAATTATAGGTCATATTTCATAGACATCTGGAAACACTGGACAGTTCCTTTAACAGCAACTGATGATCTACAGGCTTCTAGGTGGAAGTTGGTCATAGAGTGTGGAAAGTTAACCAGCAGCTTGGTCTTGAAAAATCAGACCTTAAAACACTAGAGATGATGGGGCGGCAGGTAGCTTAGTGGTTAAGAGTGTTGTGCCAGTAACCGAAAGATCGCTGGTTCTAATCCCCGAGCCGACTAGGTGAAAAATCTATCGATGTGCCCTTGAGCAAGGCACTTAACCCTAATTGCTCCTGTAAGTCGCTCTGGATAAGAGTGTCTGCTAAATGACTAAAATGTAGAGAAAATAAAATCCAGTTCTAAAATTCTCAGATAGAATTACCTACTTTTATTTCGTCACATTGTGGCAGTAAGCTATTTTCTGTAAGCTCGCAATTACCTTGTAAATAATGATGTTGTTTTGGGTTTATTTTCCTGTAGTAATGAACAAAAAGTAGCTAAAGTTAAAACGGTGTCAGCTATACACTGGTCATTATTTGAACTGGCTAGTCAGCTAGCTAGCTAGCAACGAACCAAAAGATTTAGAAAATTGATTTTATTTGCCTGGATGGATGGGTTTATTGGTGTTAAAATAGAGAAAGTACGCTATTTGGAGTACCGGGCTGTTGATGTCATGCAGAGGCTGTCGTTTTGTCTTTATACTATGACAATAGAATGTTCATGATGTCATTACGACAATTGTCTACAGAAATGTCGATAGACTGACTGTAAACCAGCCTTTAGATTATTTCCACTGATCCAATCCCATTTCCCCATTCTCCTGAGGCCTAACCTGGGGAGCGAACCCAGAGCACTGACTGCAGGCCTGACACTGGTAGCCCATGGTCATCCATTAGTGATTACCCCAGCATTGCATAACCATAACGCTCCCCCAATAGCAGCAACTGTGGTCGTCTCTGGCTCTCAGTCATCCCATCTAATCACGCTAATATATTCCCACTGTGACACTCATCCACTGAACAAAGGCTGACTTTGAGAGAACCTCCTAGTGACGCCGCCCTCCACACTCTGGTCTTCGACCTGTCGAGAGCTCCACCCAACCTCCCACCCGCACCCCTCCACTCAGACACTCTCACTTAACCCGTTAAAAGGTGAGTGATGCACCACTAGAACACAGAGGACATGGATGGGACCCATCCAGCTCGAGATAAACACTTCTACATCAACACAGCTCATCGTTCAACACCATACTGCCGTCCAAGCTCATCACTAAGCTCAGGACCCTGGGACTCCCTCTGCAACTTGATCCTGGACTTCCTGACGGGCCGCCCCCCGGTGGTGAGGGTAGGCAACAACACATCCACCAAACAGACCCTCAACATGGGGGCCCCTCAGGGGTGCGTGCTTAGTCCCATCCTGTACTCCCCGTTCACCCACGACTGCATGGTCGCGCACGACTCCAATACCATCATTAAGTTTGCTGACAACACGACGGTGGTATCCTGATCACCGATGACAATGAGAACGCCTATAGAGAGGAGGCCAGTATAGGGCTGTTGCGGTGACTGTATTACCACCACACTGGCATACATGTGTCATGACTGCAGTAAAATTCCACGTGACCATTGAGTCACGGTAATCTCCTCTTATGCACTCTGGACATGCGTTGGTAGTGCCCAACTCAATAACGACCATTAGGTCACTAATGGCCTGGTACACAGGGCTCTATTGTCCCTCTTCCAGTGCATCAACAGTTGAATTAAATTGTTGTGAAAACATGTTACTAGTGATGTTCCCAAACAGATTTCACTTGGTTTCCCAAATTAAGCACTGGGTAGCTGCAGAAACAGGGTTGGAGAGCCCAAGGCATACAGAGTCTGGGCGGAATATCACATGTCGCACAGCAAGAGGCTGCATGCTCCTCAAACAGTGGTTGACGCATGGAGTGAAATAACCGGAGTAGCCTACCTGGCATGATTGAAAAGCGAGCCAGTGGGAAAGCGGCCTACATTCACTATTCCAGTGCATACAGATGACAAGTATTTTTCCCCTGCCCCTGTTCCTGCCCATTTGATAATGGGCCATTCTAAATCTAAACTAATTTGACATTTTAGTAAAGACAATATTAAATTGAGAATAGTCTGATGGGTGAAAATATGATCACTTGATGAAAGAACAGTGTGTGCAGCCTGAGGCAAGGAACAGATAACATAGATTTTTTTTAAACAATTTTCTCAAATCATCAAT